TACACAACAAAAAATGTTTTATGCGGTAACTCGATAGGCTTAAGATTTTGCAGCGGGCTCTTGGACTATTATGGTTACATAACATTTTTATCTACATTGATATTGTTTCAATTGATAAAAAAATTGTCAGCAATGTATTTTTATTCGATTTCATTGCTTTTGTTTACTCTTCTATTATTCTTCAAGTGTAATTTGATTTCTTTAGTGAAATGAATTTTTCCTATTTGGGGGGATTCGAACCTACGACCGCCTGCTCGCATGCAACTTAAACCTACGTTTCTACCCACTAGGCTATTCTGATACTCAATTCCCAAATTGAAAATAGGCCCATATAAACATATATTTTAGTTACATGGATAGATATATAGAAAAATGAAAATAATTGTGTGAATTATAGTTCATTTTACTTATTACGTAATAATTATTGTATACAATGTCTTTTTTTTATTTTTAACTTCCCAGTGGGAAGTTATAGTAATGGGTCCGATTTTGCGAATTCCAAATTTTGACATATCTCCACGTTTCAAAGTCCCCAGAGTTGACTACGATAGTTTTTACGTGGACGTCTGTGTGTGCGTATGTACTTATGTGCGTATGTTTGTATGTTCGTACGTGCGTTCGGAATTATTTTTCGCCTCGATTATCTCGAGAACAAAAAATGATATCGACGTGGGACCAACTGCATTCGACGCGTAATTACGTAACTTAGAACTGATTAGATTTTCAGCAAAATCGGTCCAGCCATTTTTTATGCAGAATCAAAAAACTGAAAAAATAGTGAACTACCTAAATTCTGCAATTTATAAATTATACCATTTTTTAGACGGAATTTAGAGATCTTTTGAAAAATATGAATATCAAATGTTTAGAATAATTGTACAGAAATATGATGACAGTATTTCATAGAAAAAAAAATTTTTTAAAAACGAAATCAACAATGGAAAAATTTAAAACTTGTGTTGGGATAGAGAAAATAGCGTTGAGGATAATAAAATAGTCAATGATTATTGTTAATAATAAGAAATTGTGTTCATAACAATTGAACATTGTTAATAACAAATGATTATCAATCATAATAATATTTGAATAAAAAATCTCATCAAAAACAGCCCCCTCCTTCTGGGCTGTACAAAAATGTGCGCTAAACATAAATAACGACAATGATGGAATTACAAAAAATCCTAAAATAATTAAACGCCAATTATTTAAATCAACAATATTTGAAATTAATTATTTTCTTCGGGGGTTTTTTTTTTTTTTGAAAAAAAATTTAGTACGTTTAATGACACAATAAACATAACAACCAAAAACTTGACGTGACTGGTAAGATTTTATAAAAGCATGAAATTGTGAAAATATTGAAAATATTTAAGCCAATTAATAAATAACAGTCACGCCAAGTTTTTGGTTGTTATGTTTATTGTGTCATTAAAGGTACTAAATTTTTTTTCAAAAAAAAAAACCCCGAAGAAAATAATTCATTTTAAATATTGTTGATTTGAATAATTGGCGTTTAATTATTTTAGGATTTTCTTTAATTCCATCATTGTCGTTATTTATGTTTGGCGCACATTTTTGTACAGCCCAGAAGGAGGGGGGGGGGCTGTTTCTGATGAGATTTCACCATTTTTTGTACATATCAACCGAAAAGGAATATTAAAAAAAAATAAATCTGTTCTGAAAATATTTTAATTATTTGTATATTCGCGCTCGAGCAAAATTAACTTGTTACCAACTTTATAATCTGTTAGTGAGAGAACTTCATAGCAATTAAAAACTCTGATCATCAACTTGATAAAAAAAAACGTATGATTGCTCCATGAATAAGCTCTCATTTTACTCAATTTTTGCGCAACGAAATTTTTTCAATTTCGTATATTATGAATGAAGCAATTATAATATTTCATCGTATGCTTAATAAAAAGTCAACGATCGTTTTCCGAGAAAATTCTTAATTTCAGCCCATATTTATGTTATAATAAGAAAAAAATTTTAAATTTAAAAATAATAACCTGCAAAAATCATCCTATAATTTGTATAGAGACACGATAGTGCCTCGTCGAGACGTAAGGGCTAAATGGCGGCGATTTATGCTTGGCGCACGAGACACTACCGTATCTCTTGATTTTTTAATTGTTATAAACAATAAAAATAGAGATCTATGCAATATATTTTAATTCTTCTAACGCGTAATTTTTTCTTTCGCTAAAAAACAGTTACTAACCGTACGACATAAATGGAAACTCATTTTTTTGTTTATAACAATTAAATCTATTATAAATAATTGGAAACGGGTTTGATGCAAGGTATTCAAGTTTATCTAACGGGAATTTTCTTCCACTATTAAAGCGAAGGTCCTGACTATGTATTATGATTAACAACGGTTGTTTTTCTATAACAATTAAATTGTTGTAAAGGCACAGAAATTTGATTTCATGATAAATTAAAAATTTTTTTTGTTCTCTGTTTATTATTCATGCCTATGAATTTATTTGTATATCAAACAACAGAGTTTATAACAATTGCATTTGTTGTAAATAATAAATTTGTTATAAATAATTAAAAAGAAGGATCTATGAAATATATTTAAATTTTTCCAACGCGTAATTAATAATAATAACTATCATTATAACAACAAAACATGGTTTTTTTTTATTCTTTCCACTGGGAAGTTGGTCGTGTGGACCTCTCGGGTCGCACCCAGACCACTGCAAAGCACTGATATTTAATTGAGATTTATTCATTTTTGAGATTACAAAACATTTTGTAAATGTCTTAGGTTAAACAAATTGATAAAAAAATCCTTTTTTTCTGAGTATTAAATACACATAGCCAATAATAAAGTAAACGAGAAATTCTCTGACAATTTAGGTACACAAGTAGTTCTTGAACTGTAAAATATCCTTATAGCTTAGAAACAATTACCTTGATCTGCTATTAATCTCAGTTTATCTACACATTGAAAAGAGAAGCAACTATAACCAGAATTTTGTAATGTTACATCTGTAGAATATGCCGTCAATACAAAGAACGTATGTAACTGCTGACTACATTTCTTAGCTCCCATATGGACTAAACTGCTATACTGGTCTCTCTTCTCTGCTCAGGGGTAAATTCTCTGTCGACGAATCTTTTGGTGACTGGTTCGAATCTCGCCAGTTGCTTTTTTTTTTTTTATTCATTAATTAAATAAAATTTATTACATTTTCTTTTGTAGCAATACTACAAATACCTTTTTTCTTTTCTAGGTAATGGATAAAAATCCCAAATTTTTAAAATTATTTTTTACTTAATTTTAATAACAACAATGAACAACTTATAAATATATATACTATATTTTAAAATTCTAGTATTACTTAGTACAAGCCGTATGTAGATATTTCACCATGTCTTTCGGTCATACATTTATGAGTTGTCCATTTTTGTTATTAAAATTAATTATAAAATGATAAAAAAATGTTATATTTCTATCCATTACCCAGATAAAAAAAAGGCACTAGTATTGTTACAAAACAAAATAATAAAATGAATATTATTTAATTAATGAATGGAAAAAAAAAAAAATTACTGCTAAGATTTGTATCAGTCACCAAAAGATTCACAAGCAGAGATTTAACCCCTGAGCTATCTACGTGAAGATAAAATCATATTTAAAGTCTTAAGTGGGGTGGGTTTGCCCTACGGAACTCAGCGGAAAGATTATTTTGTTATTTGTCTTATTTCTATATAATGTGATGGATAGGACTCCGAAAAGTCCCCATTGTTGGTGAGATTGAGGCTGCTGGGACAACAGAGGTTTTATTGCCCAAGAAAATTTTGTAAAAAACTCTCTTCAGGTACCAAGTTCCAGGGCTTTTGAGCAGTCCCAATATATATTCTTTAAAAAAATATTGTTATATTGTTAAATATTTTTTTTTCAAAAATATATTATTAACATTATAAATATCATTATCGAAGCCTTGGACTCACTATCATCATGCATAATTAAAATCTCTTTTTTTCTCCTTATAAACATCGTTATTTGCTATAAAAAATTGCTTCGGTCGTACATCATTTTTCACTCTCCTTTAATGTGATTGCGTATAAAATTTGTCCTAAAAAAAATTAATTATTACAATTAATTAAATAAAAAAGAAAAAATAACTATGATAAAAATTTGTGCTTGAAAATAAACTGGCTTAGGATTCTTGTTATGAGAGTAAAAGAGAACACAAATCTTATTCCATTTCTCTCTTAGATTAAGGGGCGTGGCTGAAATAAACCGTTGCCGTGCCATCGCTCAATGGGTTCACAGAAACTTTCATGTTGTGACCTGAGATTACCGACATGTTGACCCAAACTTCGTCCGGATTTTTAACACAGCATTGGACTTCTATGCTGGTCTCTCTTCTCTGACACCAGGCATTAATAAAGCCAAGTGTATATCTAAGCATTTTTCACAAATTATTAAACAGATTTACATACTTGTAAAATATATACTCGCTGTAAAATATTCTTTATTCGATCCTTGTTGATAACCATTTTATACACTCGGCGTCATTAATGCCTGGTCCATCAAAAACTTTGATACCATCCGAGCAATTATCGATGGAGTAGTTTTTTTTTTTTTCAAATAGAGAATTCACATCTAAATTAATTTAGAAAGTTTATGATTAAATACCCTTTTAGATAGTCCCTATAACAATAGAATATCCTGATTAAAAAATTTTTAAACCTTAATTTACATAATTACAAGAAAATTTAAATAATGATAATTATAATTTAATTATAAACTTAAGTTTATAATTACTATAATCAAACTAACATTAATGGTCACGATTATTTCATGATGGCTGAAGAAATAAGTTTGAATTAAAATGATTATTATTCAAATTTATTATTATTATTTAAATTGAGGTTCAAAAATTTTTTAGTCGGGATATTCTATTGTTATAGGGACTATCTAAAAGGGTATTTAATTATAAACTTTCTAAATTAATTTAGATGTGAAATCTCTATTTGAAAAAAAAAAACTACTCCATTGGTAATTGCTCGGATGGTATCAAAGATAAACTATTTAATTCGATTTAAAAATCTCGCAAAATGTACGAGAAATGCATAGTAAAGTCATCTGGTGAGTAAAATATCAACACACGCTTCAGTATTATCTACAGTAGATGGAGCTCATTGTTGTTACTCCTTCACAGTAATGGAAGATTGTCTGAATAAACATCTGTTATGATTTTCGCCGGTCTTATGAGAATAGTAATTAAAGTTATTAAACGAGATATTCATTATTAATAACCAATTATCCGTGCTTATTATCATACTCTTTCATCTTTACTATCAATTCCGATCGTTTGCTAATTAAATCAAGTATTATCAACATCAAAACATATTCGAGAAAATGGGTGATCAAAGGAGAATGCAAAATTCAAAAGAAAATTATAACGAACTTTGTGATGCGTTTGTTAATAAAAACAGAAAGAAAATTAAGGACTTAATAAACGATAATGTTCCTATTGATTGGCCGAATTCAAGAGAAAATACGCCACTACATTGGACAATTATTCAATTCAATGATATAGACATCATGGTAATATTACTGAATAATGGCGCGGATATTTATGCTAGAAACCACAATAATGAAACACCATTGTATGTTGCTGTTCAGAATGGCAGAATAGAAGCTGCTAAATTACTTCTGCAAAAAGGTGCTCTTGATAATGATAATTTAAATTCATTACTACTTGCAGCTATTGATAAACATCATGTAAACATGGTTAAGTTGCTAATTGAATATGATAAGAAACGTAATGCATTAATGAATTTGGTGATGCCTCCTCAACAATATATTCCTAGAGATGTTGTACTGAAATTTAATTCAAAAGCTGAGGCATGTCTTGACTTGTTGTTGAATAATAATTTCACCATTCATCCAGATTGTTACCATGATGCAGATTTTATTTATAAAGCTGTAGAAAATAATCATCTGTTAATCGTATTACAGCTTTTGGAGCATGGAATTGATGTTAATATGATCAATTCTAGTACAGGATTCAATTTACTAACAATTGCTTGTCTGAAAAAACGTTATAAAGTCATTGAAGTACTTTTAGAACATCATGCAGATGTGAATATGCCAATACCTGATGAGAAGTTGAAGAATATGATGCCGTTCTCTTGTAATTTAGAATTATATCGTCAATTATTAAAATCTTATGATCAAGAAAGTGAATCAATTGACGTCACCTGTTTACATGTAGCTGTTTTCAGTTCTGATCCGGTGATGACAAAACTTTTAATAAAATTTGGTGCAAAAATTACAAATGATCCAACATATTCAACTTTAGTTCGTATTGCTATATATAATCGTTGTGAAGAAATTATTCTAATATTCTTGGAGCATGGTGTTAGTCCAGATAATCTTGATCCTAAAGGAAATTCACTTGTGCATTTTTGTATTTATTATGATCCTTCCAGAAAAGATCATTATGAAAACATCATTAAATTACTTTTAAAAAGAGGAGCAAACATTCAGACACCTGGTAATGATCTTGTTTTAGGAACAATCATTAATAATAATCATAAAATACTTCAACTATTATTAAATAACAATGCTGATATTCAATATCGTAGTCCTGATGGTGATTCTCTTCTTCATGTAGCCATAAAAAGGAAAAATGATATAACTATGATAGAACAATTGTTAAAATATGGTATTCCAATAAATGCAACAGATAATGAAGGAATAACACCACTTACTTATGTTTGTCAAAGTACTTTCTCAAGAGATACAATAATAATTATCAAGTTACTTTTAAAATACGGTGCTGACGTTAATTGTGTCGATAAATATCTAAAAACACCTCTGCACTATGTTTGTCAATTTCAATATCAAACTGATAGAAGAGCTACTTTTCTCATAAGTCAAGATATAATAAAAACTATTGAGTTACTTCTAGAAAATGGTGCTAATGTTAATTGTGTTGATAATTTTTCAATGACACCTTTGTTCTATGCTTCTCTTCAACAAGAGAAATTAGTCAAAACGAGGGACAGAAGGAATTTCAATGATGATATTATGGTAATAGTAAATATGATAAAGGTATTATTAAAATATCGTGCAGATGTTAACGCAGTTGATGATCGTGGTTGGACACCATTTTTAATAGCTTCTAATTCTGATAATGATGAAGTTATTAAATGTTTCTTGAATCACCATATAAGTTTTGATAAGAACACTGAACCGAAACAATTACCTATTTATATTGAATGGCAATGTCAAAACAATTTTATTCAAGACTTATTTAGATCAACTAATGTTTCTCAATATATTACAATAATGTTCCAACTTATCAGAAATTTACCTTCCACATATATTAACTTAAATTCAATTGATAAGAATGGAAATACCTTTCTTCATTATGCTGTTATAAAAAACGATGAAACATTAGTTCGAGATCTTATAAAACATGGTGCTGATATTAACATTTGTAATAAAAAGAACTTAACTCCTCTTCAGGTTAGTTGCTCACCGACGAGAAGAAGGTCAGATAATATAGCAAATATGCTAGTACTACATCAAATTAAATTAAAAGCTGCTGGATTGAATGTAATTCGTCAAAATTCATTACTTATCGGTCGTGATATTCAATTATTAAGAAGTGATATAATGGAAAACTTTTACAAAGAAATTAACACAATAGCATGTGAAACAATTAATATTGACAATGGTAATGTTACTCGTTATATAACATTACATAATTTGTTGACAAAAAGTATTCATTTTTTAAGTAAATTTGTTAATGTTGAAGATGTTGAAGAAATTTTGAAATCAACAAAATATGATGTTAAGTTTCCATCTTATGTGCACATTATTAGAAATCGATTTCGTGAGGCTAAAGTTCGTCGCACATTATTAAATATTGCTAGAGTGTATTTTAAAGAAGCTATTAGGCACATATTACCTGATGTATGTATTGATGAAGTCTTGAGTAATATGGATAATGAAGATTTAGAAAAAATCATCATAGCTTATAAGCCATCTAATGCTATGCAATCTTCTCTGTTAATTAAGGTTATATCAAATAATAGAGAAATGTTGATTTTTCACTACTGACATTCTTATTTAATTAATTTATCATAAAATTTTGTTAGATTTTCAGTAAAATATTCAATATTATTAGGTTAAATAGTGTGATTTTAAATATTAGATCATAAAAATTTTAAGGTTATTTTTTGATGGCATTTATAAGAATTTATACAAATGTAAAATCTATTCTTCTACTGCATTGATTATTTTGAAATGTTTTTTAATAATGTAGCTATTCTATTTTTTATCAAGTCAATTGTTGCTAAAATATAATCAATAAAATGTAAATAAATATGTTTGTATAAATTGTAAAAAAATTATGAATGAATGTAAAGTGTAAAATAATTGTCATATATTGTGGACATACAAAAGTTGGTAAATAATTGAGAGAAGTTTTAATGTAAAAAAAATTATTATTTAACTATTTCTTCAATTTTTAATGATTAATAGTAACATTATTGATAAATGATTGCATTTGAATATTAAATTTAAACAATATCTAATGTATTTAACCTGCAATCATGACTTTTACATTATAAATTGATTAATTTTATTCAATAAACTGTTCTTGAATTCTCTCATGACAATAATGTTTTAATATTTATTTTATTTCTACCCAGGAAAAAATAAAATCGATCTACATTGATCACTTTAGATCTTCTGTGATCTCTGCTGATATATTAAATTTTTTTATCATTGACATCAATGGAGATCTCCATAGATATACAGTAATTAGTGTAGATACACAGTGATCTCATTAGATATACATAGATTTACTTAGATCAAATTTTCTTGAGTTTTTTAGATATGAGTAGATTAAATTAGATCTAAAAAATGGTGAAAATGTGGATCTGTGTTGATCTATTTTATTTTTTCTCGAGCATTGTCACTATATTTAATTTATTGAGTACTTATAAAAATTCTCTGTACTTTTTAGATCTAAATCAACATCTAGAATTTACTCCTTTACTCAAATAATTTAATGTAATACTTGTAATTACAATTATGTTACTCCATTAATTATATCCCAACATTTAACCTTATTTTTACTATTAATTGATATCAAAGGTGATTTAAAAAAACCCGCTTTTTTCGATTAATGCGCAAAGATCTATCAATTTCACCCCTACATCAAAGCCATAACATAACCCCCAGTAGTAGATACTATTCAGAAAATTGTTGGTCAAATAATAAGTGAGTTTAATAAAAATAATAATAAGCCAATGATAATAAGTAATTAATAATAATAAGTAAATAATGATAATAATAATAAGTTGATAACAATAATAAGTGAGTGAAATAAATAATTATTGTTTATATTATAATATCTACAAGCTTATGTGAAAGTGAAAAAAAAAAATCAATAATGTTACACTACGGAAATTTCTATCATTATAGTTTTCATGATTCCCTTCATCGTGCCATAAAAAGACGTGTCGATTTACTAAATCTAGAAAATATGTTAAAATGTAAATTATTAATTAATACAGTAGACAATGATGGACGTTCACCCCTTCATGTTGCCTGTGCTGTTAAATCAGTAATTCAATTAAAAATCATTAAAATGCTTTTATATCACAAAGCAAATATTAATTATGTTGATAATAATTTAGAGACACCTTTATTCATTGCATGTCGAGGTGCAAATCTAGAAATTGTTAAAACTTTGCTCAACAATGGTGCTAATCTTCATGCTAAGGATAAGAAAGGACGGACTCCTCTTCATGCTGCTTGTGAATCTAAGAGTAATATGACTAGAAGTATAATACAATATTTGTTGGAACATGGTGCAAATGTTGATGCTGTAGATGCTAAAAAATGGACTCCTCTTTTTGTAGCCTGTAAAGAAGGCAATTTGACAGCAGTCAGATGTCTTGTAGATCATCATGCTAATCTTCATGCCAAAAATGATGAAAGTCAAACACTTCTTCATATTACTAGCGAATATTGGCATAATTTATCTCCAGGAATAGTGAAATTATTGGTACAACATAATGTTAACATTAATAGCGTTGATCAGAAAGGTTTGACTCCACTTTTAAGAGCTGGTGAAAAAAACTGTTATAAGGTAGCTAGGTGTCTCTTAAGGAATCATGCTGATGCTAATGTAACTAATGAAAAAGGTCAAACTCCTCTTCATTTAGTTTGCAAATGGCATCTTGATAATACAGATACAATACAAGTATTGTTGGATCATGGTGCAAATGTTGATGCTGTTGATAGTCATGGTTGGACTCCACTTTTTTTTGCTAGTAATTACAATAATTATAAAACCATTCAACTTCTTTTAGAACATAATGCTAATCCAAATCATACTGATTTGAAGGAATTAACTCCTCTTCATGTTTCTGTAAAAAAAGCGTTCGGGCAAAAGTATGGACATTGTAAGCCTCATTTATCAGTAGAATTGTTGATAAAATATGGTGCTGATATCAATGCTTTGAATAAAGATAATCTAAGTCCACTTCATATTGCTATTCAAGGAATGATGGCATATTTTAGTAGTGAGTCAGAGTTTATTGTTGAATTATGGAAAAGCTATGAAACAATAATTAAAACTTTAGCAGCACAAGGAATAAAATTAAAGACTGCAGGATTAGAGGTTATAAATCACAATACAAATGGAGTTTATAAACCCAATGACTTTATACTAATTGAAAAAGTAAGATATCCTATGCTCGATTTTCTACAATTCAATGTAGCTTATGATTCTGACAGTATGTTACATAAAGCTTATAGAATTGTTCAGGAAAAAGATTCTGTTGATGATTTACGAAATCTTAAGAACAGATGTGAGCAAGAAATTGAAGCGATGAAAGAAAGTATTGGCATTGATGGCTTTACTTTCTGTGATTTTCTGAAAGGTAATATTCGACTCTTAAGTCAATTGACTGAAAATGAAAAATTCCAACAAATTCTGGAAACGGAAATTTATAATAACAAGTTTCCATTATATATTGACATTATAAGAAATCGACTTCGAGATGCTAAAATTTATTATGATCGCTATATGCTGAAAATGTCTGCTATTGAATATTTCGCGTTAAACATTTGTAATAAATTACCTGATGAATGTATAGAAGAAGTTATGAATTATTTGAACATTGAAGAAGTAAAAACTTTTGTTAAAGCTATTCAATAATAATTACATTACAATTAAATACTCTGTTTTAATAATTAATAGTTGTGAGATTGTTGTTTGTTTATATTGATTTGAGTGTGTATATACTATTTGTCAATAATGATTGAATGATTGTCTTTTCTTAAATTTTATATTTTCAATCGCTTTCTAGTCATTGTAATTCTTTAATTATTCGAAAAATCAATAAAAAAAAGTATCCCCATCTGCTACATAGTGTATTTTCTTCAAATTAGTATTAAGATCTTTCATACCAGTATGTTTATTTCTAACATTTTTAACTCTTTTTTAATACTTTAGATTGGATACTATAGTCAAACTACCGAAAGAGTGGTTACGCTGTTATGCTCGAACCTATAGGATAAGCTTATAAGCTAATCGTAGCAATCTTTCGGTGGTTTGACTATATAGTCGAACTGAGAAAAGAATTCCTGAGTTGCTTCAATGCTTTCGGGCTCCCCACCACTGATTTTCTACTCCTTCTACCATGTTTTTTACTGCTGCGCAAGCGTACAAGAACACATGAAGAACATCTGAGGAACTCTCTTTTCAGTCCGACTATACTAACATAATTATAAGTCACATCGTCACGACAAATTTAAAAAATTAATTTGAAAAAGCTGCCATGGTTGTCAAAAAACTTTATTAGAGACCCTTAAGATAAAGTCTAGCAAGATAGAGCCCCTCAAGACAGTCTGGCAAGACGACGCCATATTGCTCGATTCCTGCCTAAATTCCTATAAGTTCTTATGGGCTTTTAGGCAGGAATCGAGCGATATGGCGTTGTCTTGCCAGACCCTGTCAGAGAAAATAGACCTGCATAGAAGTTAAATGCTGTGTTCTGTTTAGGGATCACTCCAGGCTACCCCAACCGTGTTAAACTCCTACCTGGCTCCATAAGAATACATACTAAATTTTTGGAACACATCGGCCCATTTAAAATAATCTCCTATTCACGTCTCTCTTCTCTGACCCTGTCTTGAGGGACTCTAGTTAAGCAAGACATGCAGCGCCTTTCCCAACTCTATCAGAAGGAACGTTACTATAGTCAAACTGACGAGAAAATCGTCTTGAGACCACTCTTAGGTTGACGACCCCTACTCTTATTCTCATAGATAGCCTATTAGAAAACCTTCTTTACTGCCAGCCTAAAAGTGGTCTAAAGACGATTTTCTCGTCAGTTCGACTATAGCAGAGAAAATAGACCTGCATAGAAGTTAAATGCTGTGTTCTGTTTAGGGATCAACCCAGGCGACCCCAACTGTGTTAAACTTCTACCTGGCTCCATAAGAATATATAATAAATTTCTGGGACACATCGGCCCATTTGAAATAAACTGCTATTCATGTTACTTTCTCTGTTACTATAGTCACATCAGTTTCAGCCCTCGTCGCGTTAACATAACTCGATATATACGTGGAGGAAAGCGTCAGTGCAATAGTAGTGAGTGTGTTGAAATTTAAATTATTATTTTGTGTGAAAAAATAATCAACCAAAAATGCAATACGGTAGCGAAGAAGATCATTTCGATATTTGCTATGCAATTAGTAAGCAGGATGTGCGTACAATCCGAGATCTGATATCTAAAAGAATTGATATCAATGCTTCCAACTCGAACGGTTACACTCCGCTTCATTGTGCCGTCCTTCATTTTGGAAACTTGCATGTGATAGAAGCGCTGCTCGACGGAGGCGCCAATGTCCATATAAGGAATGCAAGAAATAATTCACCACTTCATCTTGTCATTCAGAACGACAATATAGAGGCAGCATCGTTACTCATAACGAGAGGAGCTCTTTTTGGAGAAGATTTGAATTCATTAATAAATATGGCCATTTATAAAAACAATGAAATAATAACAAAATTAATTATCGCCAATGGAATACACGAGAATCCATCGGTCAATTTGTTCATTTCTCTCAAAGCTGCTATTTTAAAAAGAAATTGGGTGATTATTAAAGATATTTTACCTCACTGTGGATTTTCAAAACCATGTGATTTATACATTCCAAGAGAATTAGTGGTAGATTCCGATCCACGATGTAGTGAATGTCTTGAATTGTTGTTTAAATGGAATTTTACTTTTGATCCAAATATTTATCACGATGAAAATTTTATTTATGGAGCTATTGAAAATGGACATCTATCAGTGGTTGAAAACTTTTTAAAATCAGGAATTAATGTTAATATGGTGAATTCAAAAACAACACTCAATCTATTGACAATTGCTTGTTTGCAAAAACATTATCAAATTGTTGAGAAACTTTTAGAATACAATGCAGATGTGAATGTGAAAATAGCTGTTAAGAATCAAAAATTATATAAAAATTCGAACTTTTTAAAAAATATGCATGCATTTAAATATTTATTCTCATTGAATAATCGTGAAAATAATTTAAGTGATATAACGTGTTTACATATTGCTGTTTTTAATTCTGATTCAATTATAACAGACATTTTATTAAGACATGGTGTAAAAATGAAGGATTATACAGAATTGTTTAATTTAACTTGTATAGCAGCAAAAAATGGTTGTGAAGAAATCGTTCAAATGTTTTTGGAGCATGGTGTTCAGGCAACTGATGTTACTTTTCATGGAAAAAGTCTTTTACATTACTGTATTCATTCAAATCATTCCATAGATAATGACGATCGTTATGAAATTGCTAAACTACTGATAGAAAATGGAGCAGATATACATCTCCGGATTCCAGGCAACTCACTTGTTTATCAAGCAATAAGCCGTCGACTTTATAATATTGCTCAACTGTTTGTAGAATATTATGCTGATGTTCAATATATCAGTTTAACTGGTGAAACGTCACTTTGTAAAGCCATAAAACATAGTTTGGATGTAAACTTTATTAAAACTTTGTTGGAACTTAATTCATCAGTTCATACAATAAATAATGAGGGAGTGACACCACTTCATATGGCTTGTTCTGTAGAATCAATAAATCAACCAGAAATTATTAAAACACTTTTAGATTACAATGCAGATGTTAATTTGACTGATTGTCGTTCAGACACACCGTTACACATTGCATATCGAAATGAAAATCTACAAGTTATTGAGTTGTTACTTAAAAACGGTGCTAATTTTCATATTCCGGATGACAAAGGTCGAACTTTTCTTCATCATGTTAGCAAGAATTGGAATCTCCAGACTGCAAGAAAGATGGAATTACTACTAGAGTATGGAGCAGACATTGAAGCGATTGATAATCATGGTTGGACACCACTTTCTCTTGTTTGTAATCACAATAATCATAAAGCTATTAAATTTTTTTTAAAACATGGTGCTGATCCCAATCATACCGATTCAAAAAATCGAACACCTCTGCACATTGCTGTTAAACAGGTGTATGCACAAAATATTTATTTTTATAAGCCCTATAAATCAATACCATTGTTAATAAAATATGGTGCAAATATCAATATTCTGGATAAGAAAAATAGAACTCCACTTCATTATGCTATTGATATGATGCAGAATTGTAATGATTCTTCAAGACATGCTCAAGTACGCCGCAGAACCTATGAGTCAATAATTAAAGCTCTAATATCACAAGGAATAAAAATGAAGACTGCAGGACTAAAAGTGATAAATCACAATACAAATGGAGTTTTTAATTCTGAAGACTACATAGTGATCGAGAACGTCAAGTATTCTGTGATCGACATGCTCAAATTTGATGTAGTTCCCGATTCTGATGGCAAAATCATCACAAATGCCGATGATTCAGATGAAGAAGACACAATTGGAGACTTACGCAATCTCAGAATTAGATGTGAACGAGAAATTGAAGAGATGAAGAAAGAAAAGATTAGTGTCGATGGCCTAACATTTGATTATTTGCTTCGGAAAAATATTGGTTTCCTCAGCAGATTGAATCATAATGAAGAAATCCATCATCTTTTGGAAACGGAAATTTATGATAAGAAATTTCCATTATATATACATATCGTTAAAAATCGATTTAAGAAAGCAAGAAATTTATGTAAACGATATGTATTGAATGATAAAGTTAGAGATTTTTTCAAGTCGAATGTTAGTGATAAATTGGTTGATGAATGTATAGATATGGTATTAAGGTATTTTAAGATTACGGAATTAGAAACATTAATTGAAAGTATGGAACCATCGAATGACTAATCAGGCATATTAGAAGAGAATACTTGTAAATTATTTCTTATATTTATGATGAATGTTAATTCGAGTTTTTATGTATAGATGTATTCATCATAAATATAAAAAAAAATATGTTCTTGTGTGAATGGATGTGTGAGGTTTGATAAGATTGTTTTATTTATTTATTTATTTAATTTCTAGTTGTTAATTTAAAATTAAAATAAATATTTGAATTTTTAAATTTTTGACTTCAATTACAAAATTTTTATTTGAAATGTTACATACCTTACCCAATTATTCATCTATTTGTCCTAGAAGATTCCCACGACTTCGTCCACAAATAATCCAATTCCAGAAACCTATTGCTATGTGATCGACTTACATTTAATGAAAAAAAAATCTTTTTTTATATCGTCTTTGGTTTTTAAAAATTAAATAATTAACTCCTTCCGATTACTTCAATTTTTTCTTCAATAAAAACATTTACATCAACCCTATAAGCTAGACTTTAATCCATCTCTTAAACCTTATGGAGAATTTCTTAGAGGAGAAACCCTTTCTTTAATTAACTAAATACATTTTATGACAAAATCAACATGACAACTAAAAACTTGGCGCAAATATCAACATTTTATAGAAGCATGAAATTTCGATTATATTAAAAATATTTAAGCCAATTAATAAGTAACAGTCACGTCAAGTTTTAGAGTAATTGATCTAAAAATCTTCTTTTGATTATCAATGTCATGAATTTGCATAACATTATTTGTATCGAATAGATACATTTTTCAGCTTCAAAATAAGTTACATCACTGTAAATTTTAGTGTTTTATTTTAAAACATTGAAAGTGTTTTAATATGACGTCACCCATTTGATTAACATTGTCTCGATTTTCAGTCACTTAATGTTAATCACATGGGTGACGTCATATTAAAACACTTTCAATGTTTTAAAATAAAACACTAAAATTTACAGTGCCCTGATGGATTCATGTCAACTGTTCAATGACATTTGCAATTAGGTCAATAGTAAACTTAGCGTTTACTTTGAGTCATTTTAAGGTAACTTTACCTTAAAATAACTATAAATCAACTGTTAGAATGTGCGATTTATTAACTATGAATTAACCATTCATGAACGGTTGCTTGAGAGTTGATTATTGGTCAATTGAACGTCATATCAACTTATAATGAACGCATTAGTTTATTAACCTATCATAGCGATTTTGAGGCTTACTAACCTTGAATAAACCCTTAAAATGTTGTTTTTAGGTTGAAGTTAATGCTATACCATTAAATTTGGTTATTTATAAATAAATCTTCGTTAAAAAATAGTTAATAAAAGGTAAATAAACGGTTTAAATGTGGTTAAGAGTTGTTTTTTTGCAACTGTTGCTTTTAAATTTAAAAAAAAAAGAAAGGTTGCATTCAGGTTAACAGTTGATTAAACGTTGCATGTTAGTCAAATAACCGTTTTTTTATCGCACATTGTAACTGTTGTTTTAAAGTTAACAATTAGTTGCCTCAAATCCATCAGGGTGGTAAAATCCATTTTTAATCTCAACTTTATTAAAGCGGACGAAACAACAAAATTGAAGTAAAAAATGGGCTTAAATCATACGTATCATGATATACTTGGATTTCGAATTAAGACAAAATTAATTTTATATTATTTGATCCTAAAAGAAGAGTCATTAACGTTAGATATTTTTGTAATATCAATCCTTACGATATTCAATAACCTCAATTAATAATAAAGACAATTTATATTTTTTATTCATTTATTTTAGATGAAAAAAAATGATTCGAAGTGATTTACGAAATTTCTACGATAATGATGAAAATATTAATCGTAGTCTCATTTCGTTAAATGTATTTACAGAGAAATTTACAGAAGGTATTTATTCATTAAAAATTCAGATTGAAAATTTCTGCAAAATTCATAACAATTCTTTGTCTGATGATGATGATATAACTTTACAAAATATTAAAAATAGTTTAAAAATTATGGATAATGCTTGGACTTCATTCAAGACTTCACTGGATCAGATAGATATACAAATACGTAGTTATTCTGTTGATATGAGAGGATATGCACCAAACATTAGTAAATATTTTCACACTTATAAGCTGTTACAGAAAGAAGAAAATTATGTCAGGAATAAAAATATAAGACTTCATTCACCTGAAAAACATGAAAAAGAAATGAAATTATTGGACGATGCGATAAAACTAAGTTTACAAGCTTATTCTATAAATATAAAATTTTACAATGATAAAATTGATGAATTACAAAGACTGATAAAATATATGAATCAAACAGATAGTTCTGCTCAAAGTTTCAATCAATTAATATCCTTTTGGAATGTTGTCTACGATAATTTTGAACATTTAATTGGATTGATTAAAAATCAGCCTGAAATAGTTAATAACATGAAACAGGTATTGTTGAATTTTGTTTCAAGTATGCAAAATATTCAATTGATTAAAATGATAGAATTGGAAGATGCTGAAAATCAAGCGATAGAAAAGAATATTCTGATTGAAAATCTTCAAAAGCAAGTGTCTCATTTGACGGAAAAAAATTCAGAGCTATTGAACAACGTGGAAACTTTGAGAAAAAATTTAGACGAACAGCAAGCAATAAATTCATTATATAACAAAGAAGAGGAATTAACAAACGAGAATAATAAACTTGAAAGACAATTGAATACTCTTAAAGCTGAAAATCAGGAACTTAGAAAACAATATGACACTGCTGTTCGAAGAAGTGAAGAGTTACATCAACGAATAGGAGAATATACGAATTTGCAAGACATCGATGATTTACAGTTGGAACATCAACGGGAATTCAATTCAGTGACAAAAGAAAAAGAAAAATTGATTAATGAAAATAACAAACTGAAGAAACTACATGATGAAGATAATAAAGTTAATGCAGAATTACATAAAAAATTGGATGAACAAAGAAAAACAATAAATGATTTGAACATTGAACGAGATGAATTATATCAAAAATTGATGAATGATTTTGGAGAAAGTGAGCAGCAAATAGTGAATGATGCACAGGATTTAAAAGAACAACTATCTACAGCTGTGAATCAATTGACACAGAAAGAAGATCACAATAACAGTTTGATGATTGAAGTAGAAAAATTGAAACAACAAAATAATATTCAAGAAGGAACAATTAAAAATTTGACAGAAGAATCTGTTCGAAATAATCTTCGTATCAGTGATCTAGAGAATCAAATAAAGCCATTGAAGAAACAAACACTGGCGTTGGAAACTGAAAAACGAAGTGAAAATCAGAAAGAAATCAAATTAAAGCAAAAATATGAAGAAACAAAGAGTGAAAATGAATCATTGAGAATTCAAATACAAGATTTAACAAATCAATTGTCATTGGTTCAAGCTGGACCATCAGTAGAACCAAGTACAGAAGTTTCTGATAGAAGTTATTCAAGAGTTCTACCAAAACGTAAAGCTCGATCTAATGAGGATACGACAAAACGTGCTAAATTACATTCTGTCAGTCATTGGCAAGCTGAGAAGAAAAAATTATATTTTACAGATTCTTATGTGACATCATCCATAGATAGTATTGATGAAAATAATTGGAAAGTTTTACAAAAACAAATCAAAGAATTAAATCAAAAGTTGAATGGACTACATGATAAATTAGCTGTAACATTTACAAGATATGAAGCAGCACAAAAATTGAGAAATAAAAATACAAAAATTACCACATTTTCGAATGAAATGGAAAATATTATTAAAGAAATACGTCAACAATTAGAAATAAATAGGCCTGTATACAGTAAAGCTTTAGAAAATTTGATACTTGAAATAAATACCAATTATGAAAAAGATATTGAATTACAGAAAGATAGTCAATCTGTTTACGTTAATCTCATTAATTCAATAATAGAAGATTATACAGAAAAGAAAAATATACATAGAGAAAAAATAAGACGATTAATTGCTAAACAAGATAGTGCAACATCATTGGCTGATTCAAATAAAATAACAACAAATTTGGAAAAAGAAAATGAAAAATGGAACACAATCAAAACTCAAACAAATACCACATTGAAAGAATTACATAGGGAGATAACTCAATTTATAGAAAGATATAATGAACGAAATGAAAAAAGGAAAAAATTGTTATTTAGTATTAAAGGTCATTTAGTTAATAACATATACAGTGAAGTAATTAATGAACTATTGATCAGTGTTGATAAATTGATTGATTAAAAATATTTTTGAGTTAAGTAAAAGACATTTTTGAAGAACAATATTTATATTGTTTTCAAAGAAAAAAAATTAAAGCTAATAAGATACAGTGGATAGCCTTTTTTTCTTGAAACTCAATAAATGATGTAACACAAAGTTGAATATTTATAAATGTGATAAGCACACTGTAAAAAATTTGGTGTTAAATTCGACACCGTTACACTTATAGAAGAATATATTTGGTGGGACTAAATGAATTCATTAAAATTATTTTTCAGGATTTATTTGATACATATAAAGATTTATTTGTAAGTAATAAATCTTCTTTGCTTAGCAGTCTGATATTATTATATTTATAAAACCATAAAAAATTCACACGAAATTAAATGGTTATAATGTAATCGCTCGTCGAGTTATTGTTTAAAAGAAAATATTAATTTTAATCATTACGAAACCGTTATTTTTTATTTAAAAATTTTCAATAAATAAAAGTTATTTCATAACATAACCTAACATTTGATTATGCTTTACCATCATTCTACCTTACCATCGAGCCCAATCATAGTATTTAGATGAGAAATAAATATTTGTTTGCAGCTAAGAAATCATTCATTGAGCCAAATGAATCTACTCTAATAAATAATTTCTTAGCTGTTAACAAATGTTCATTCGATTTCTCTTTCAAATAACATATTTATTAGCTGCTAATAAATTATGTTAGATAGAAAGAAATACTTTTATCACTGCATAAGTCTACACCAATTTTAGTGTTATTGAATGGTATAACTTTTATGGTGTTGATTTTTGTTTACAGTATATAGGTGTAACATGTGATACAAATAAATAATAAATAATTATAATACTAATAAATAAATATTTATTTATACGGAGTCGGTATTGTAATGAATTTAACAAACATTCTAGATGTTAAATTGTTACTACCAAAAAATAACAGTAGAATTTAATACCAGAATTCTTAACCAATTACACCAAATTATTCAACACTAAATATTTTTTACAGTGCAGCAGAATCATATACATAACCCAGGAAAAAATAAAATAGATCTACATTTTCGCCATTTTTTAGATCTAATTTGATCTACTCATATCAAAAAAAAAAAGTAGAGAAAATTTGATCTAAGTAAATCTATATAAATCTATATAGATCACTAAAATCTATCTAAATATATCTCAGTAGATCAATGTAGATCTATTTTATTTTTTCCCGTGTATTCCATGCTAAATAATTTCTATTATTAGCTTCTCGAGAAAAAGTAAAATAGATCTACTGAGATCTTTTTTTTGGCACAATTAGATCTACTTTGTTTTGTGTACATCTGTTTTGATCACTTTAAAGATTCTGTGATCTTTGTAGATGTATTAAATTGTTTTTATCATCGAGATTAATGAAGATCTCCATAGACATACAGACATACAGACGATTAAATGTTAACATCACTACTTTACCGACAGAAAATAAAAGCCACCGTCGCTTTGTATTCTTCGATGCCGACAATTTTCCTTCTTACTTGACAAGTCATTTACAGGTTATAAGTCGTCTTTTTGTGCTGCATTTTGTAAGCTCAGGAAAAAAGTGATATTACTGTTAATTAATAATAAATAAATAATCATAATGACTTCTTGTCTCGAGAATATCCAAGTTTCATCTTGTGTTTGGTTTGAAAATGAAGAAAAAAGAAATGCTTTGATGTCGATGCTTGCTGGCACTTTGGTAAGACAACATTACAAACAAGAAACTGTTTTTTCATTAATTTTTGCTTTAAAAAAACACTATTTGTATCTATTAAAATCTAAAATCTAAATCTAATTACTTAATTTATTCTTCATAATATCAAAAAATTCAATAAGAATAGAAATATTAGTCAAAAAGCAATCGTTTTGGCATCTACTTTGACATTTCATTTACTTTGTCCATTGTCCATGACATGTATTGTAAACAATTCAAGACTACATTTTATCTTATTAATTATTCAAACAATTTTTTTATGAGTTTCTTCAAAGAATCTAGCATAAAATAATAAAATTTAACCTCAAAATATATTTTTTTTTTGTTAAAATGTTTATTTTCATAAATAAATCATCCATTAATATTTTTCTTCATAGTTTTTTACTGGTTGGTGGTTCATCATTGATGCCCATGCTAAATATCCAGATGAAATGAGCAATTCTTACCATGTTTGTGGCGTTTTTGGGACCATATCTCTCATCATGTAAGTACCAGAGAAAAGAGATAATATATATGGAAGAACCATCCCAATGAGAGCTGTTGGACGGTAATTTTTACCTGCTGTTATATGGCTGGGGATACAAAGCAAATGCTAAAATGCCATATGTATCCCCAAGAATTCGTCCAACAGATCCCCACGCGGTGGTTCTATATTATTTCTTTTCTCTGTAAGTACCAATGACCAATTAAAGTACAACAGAACCAACTTGCTATCAATCAAACTCATTGTAATCATTTAATTTAGGGTAAATTCAGTAACCAATGCTCAAATTCGTGGAGATGGTTTCAATGGTGGTTGTTTAGGTGCTCGTGGAGCTAGAGGTTGGCTCTTCCTAGGCTTTGTAATGGGATTTGCAGCAATGATTGCTGCTTGTTGGATTTTGTTCGCAGATTTTGTTGCTAAAGGTAAGAAAAATGGTGCTCTAATGTATTAAAAAAACTTCATGAATTAAATAATTCTCATGTTGAAATGCTTTTTCAGAAGCTCAACACTCTTGGCCAGGTGTTGGTTTGTTGTTACAAAATTTATTTATCTTCCTTGGATCTCTTACTTATAAATTTGGGAGGTCTGAAGAGCAGTGAACTTAAGGACCAGTCTTTTTCTTTTTTTTAATAATAAAAACATCATTTAAACTACATAAAGAGAAAATATTGTGAAACTTGTAAGAATGAGACGATTGTTTGAATTATATTTTTATCTTTTTACTCAATGCTTACTGAATGAATGATAATTAAATGATAAACTTCTAAATAAATCTAGTGATAATTCTGTAAATTAGTGCTGAGCAAACTTGGACTTTTTGGAAAAAATGGAAAAAACTTGGGTTATTTATCGTGCAGGCTTGATTTGATGTTACTCAGTCAGCAGTCATGAAATGGGGATTTGTCAGCATGGCTAAAAATCTCAGGAAATAATTTTATGGATGTTAACAACCATTAGTAGTGACTAAAATAATGCTTCAATTTCGGGAAAAAGTTGAATTAATTTTTTGAGAAGAATAAAACTATTGTTAAATATAGTTTTTGGTAATTATCCCGGAAACTATGAAAAATACGGAAAAAAGTTTCAAACAAAAATTAAAGATATTTTAATTTTACACAAAAAAGTTCCTTTAACTTTATCTTCTATCTCTTATAGTTTAGCTGCAAAATGATGATAAAGAGAAAAAATTGATTTTTTAAAACTAGATTTTAAGTAATTTTCAAATAATTCTTTTCCTGAAGTTGGAGCACTGTTTCTACAATCACTCATGCTTTTTAGCAGCTTCTAGAATGTTTCCTCAAATTTTCTGTCATGCTGAAAAGTCCTGATTCCATAACTTCAGTGATTAAATAATATGGAAACCTACCGTGGCTTACAAAAGCTGAGTTTGCTTACGACTTGATAAAAATAAACTGAAAAAGATACAAAAAAAATCATGGATATCAATAATGACCACAAAATACGTTTATAATGATTATCTTATTATTTATTGATGACTTTTTATTTAAACTATACTCACATACATGCAACAATAATAACTAAAACTATTCTTACTTAATATCTATTTCTATCTATTATATAATAAGTATGTATAATAAATTAAAAAAATACAAAAGAAAATTTATATACAGTCTTTTTAATAATTGTCATTATTATTGTCCTAAGATCCTCGTTTTCTGCCATTTTGTCACTTAAAAGTGATATAAAATGAACTAATTCTTAAAATTCCTAAAATCATAGTCTGAATGAAGATCAGCACCAAACTGAGCTTCAATACTGAGGATTAGGTGAATTCCTCTGGAAATTTTGAGCTTGATTCTGTTGAAGAGGACCAGGGCTGGGTCTCTGATCTCTATATTGACTCGCCCCCATGCCAGGTGGTGGTGGAGGTGGAGGTCCAGGTGCTTTACCATAATTACCCCTGTTGGAACCTTGATAACTACCATAAGCTGAATCATCACTCCTTCTCGAGACATGTCCATACATGCTTTCAGGTCTTCTAGGTCCAGACTCAGAGCTTTGTTGTTGATTTTGTGGTTGATGAGGTCCAGGAGATTGATTTGATTGTGTAGCAGGTGGAGTTTGAGAGCCTGGAGGTGGTGCAGGAGCTCGTCCATAAATGCTTGATGATGTAGTCACTCCATAGATTCCATTTTCCCTAGCACTGAGACTTGTAGAGATTCCTCGAATACCATAGATGCTTTGAGTGCATTGTTGAAGCTGATTTTGCATGTTCTGATTGGTACTATTATGATTCTGGGTCTGATTTTGAGAACTATGAGGCTGCGATGATGAAGCAGAGGTCAACAGTTGGTCTCTCGTTGGCGGAGGCATTGTAGTATTATTTCCTAATCTCATTTGATACAAACTCTGAGCTGGAACCAACGGTCCTGGTTTGGGAATCACAAATGCTTCCCTTGGAGAAGTAGATTTTGCATAAACACTTTGAGATCGGTTTAAATTAGCACGAGTTAGAGGGGGAGATTTGCAGTAAAGAGACTTGGTTCCACCGTATATTGATTCCACACGTTCTATGGCAGTGGCTGGAGCTGAATAAAGACTGGAAGTGGCTCCACCAACTGGTCGGTATGTTGCGTAAGCTCCTGGGAATTTAGGACCCGTTGGTTTATCAAAGTCATCATAGGTGTCTTCGTCAGATCGCAAAGAAGAGTTATCACCATCGTCAATTTCTCGTGATTCTCGTGGACGCTTGGGACTCAAGACGTACTCGTGGAGTAGGGATGCTAATGCACCACCTGCTATTGGGCCCACCCAGTAGACCCAGTGGTTTGTCCAGTTATTTATCACGAAAGAAAGGCCTAAAGCTCTAGCTGGATTTAAATATGGACTCTAAAAATAAATAAAAAGCAACAATTAACACCTTGGTTATCATAGATAACTTTGCAATATTTATTATTAATTTAATTTAAAAACAAAAATGATAATTACCGATACGAGTGTTGCCGCAGTATATGAAGCAGCCAATACTCCAGCAGATTTACTCAAAAATATCTGAGACGTCTTAGCAGGATCAGCAGACAAATGGGCCATGACAATCAGGATAGACAATGCCATTTCAACTAAAAGCTTCTCCACAGCACCTCCCAACCGAGCATTTTGTGGCGTGACTTGCGTGCCAGTGACTCTGTAAAACAAAAGAGAAATTTATGAGATGATAATTCTGAGGTCACATATGGGAGACCTTATGGACTCTCACGATTTACTAGAGAGATCATAAAGGTCATCATTGCCTTCATGCAACCCTTATGTAACGATAAAAAACCCCCTGGTGGTTGTAATGTTTGTATTAGCTCGCGAATTCTCTCGGGTCGTTCATCCCCTATTCAAAACAAGACTCTGACAATTTTCACCCGATACTCACAATCATACGGGGTCATGCTTAAGACCTTTTTCAGTTCTAACATTTGTTCTACAATTATTTATCACCCGGTTTACTTTCTTTTTAAGTAAATATCACATTTATTTACCAAAATATATTGTTATTTATTTTTTAACAATGCCAAGTTTATTATTGTTAATAAAACTAACCTCTTTTTCCATGATTTGATAATTCATAAATTTTTATAAACTTTTTTAAAATATAATCAATTCTTTTAAATTTGTAATTAAAATACATTTGATTTGATAAATAATATAAAATAAAACATTATATTAAATTAAAATCAATTTTTTATTGATTTGTTGCTAAGTAGTCAATTAAATCAAAGGATAACCTCAATTTTTTAGTTGCAAATAATTTAATTGACAACTAGAATAAATTTGTTTTTAATGAATTTAAATTTTAAAAAAAAAACTGTTACGATTATTAGCCAATCGTATGATAGATTAAAACATCACATGTCAGATAACCAATAAACATTTTTAATTTTCAATGTTGCATAATTGTTGAGCAGCTAACCTCTCGAGACAAATTGAAGGATCGTCTACAATAAAACATTACAAAGAAAATTGGAGTTCGATTGTATGGAGCATTAATTCTAATTCCAATTATTTCTTTTTCATTTTTTACAAAACTTGAGAAATAAAGAATTGAAATAATACATTAACCTTCAAAATAAAAAGTGTACTTATGGTGGTGATTGATATCTCTATTGTGAACAGAAACAACATTCTATAAAAAAAAACTAAACTTCGATTGATTTCGAATAAAAGAAAGCATTATTTATCATATTATAAACCTATTTTTCAAAAAGTACAAACAAAAGTAATTTTTTCATCATGATTGCTGCCCCTAAATATCATTATATAGAGCTGATTGCTGATTATGGTGATCTTGCAAATTTTAAATTCGAATGCTCTAATTTGAGTGAAGGAGAATCGACTGCACTTACTGAAAAATTTGAATTTGATAATTATGATCATAGTTTTATAGGTATTTCAAACTTTTTATGTATTTTTATGATTATTTTATACATAGGTACTGTAATTATTGATAAAATCAGTTTGATTACAAATACTAATTAATATTACTATTACTTTTAGGAAGAGCAATTGATGCAATCAACATTCTAGCTGATTTCGGCTACCGACTTATCAGTTCAAAAGATTATGGTAGCTGCAGTTCGCGAATGATCTATTTGTTGGAAAGACCCATTTGAAATTCTTCAAGACATTCAGAAGCCTAAGATATTGTTTGATAGTTATTTCAAACAATTAACTGTCGTAATGGAACACAAATATTTGATAATACAATGATCAAATGATTAAAGCTATAAAATACTAAAAATTAAGATGTTTTAACATATTTTTTATTTTTTAAAACATTCTTTTAAGCTTTAGCTATTTAAGAAAAATATTCTATTCTTTCAAGAGACACTTATTTTCTATTTATAATGATTTTTAATTTTTTTTTTATCATCTATTAGTGTGTTTAACCTCACTAATACATTTATTTTTTAAATTTTCAATCTGCTAATTATAATGCTTAATTATTGAGCAATTAACTTCTTGTGTTTCCTCATTAATTGAAGAATAGTTTCCAATATATAAAAGATTGTTGATAAAACTTGAAAAAGAAAGAATCAACACCTTTCTTTAATTTTAAACAGAAAAATAACATTCCATAAGAAGAAACTGTAGAGAATTTTTTTCTTTTATTGAGGATAGTTTTTCGAAGCTATCAGCTATTATCATATGACGATGTCTCATTTATCTACAACGTCTACATGAACTGTTGTTTTATGTCGCATAAGAGTATAGTGCAAAAAGCTGGTGATTCATAAAGCATTCTCTTTATAAGCATTGAAGATATTGGTGATCATAAAAATCAATGGTAATTTTTTTTGTCTCTTGGAAAGTACAATTTTTGAATTGATTTTAAATAACCGGGTTAATTAAAAGGATCAATTGTTTTGAAGAGTGAAACTGATAGTTTCATTATGACTACTTCACCTGAATATCGTTATCTAAAGTTGATGGATGATGAACCTAATTATAGCTTCATCTGCTCTGATTTGAATGAAGTAGAATTTAGAGCAATTTTGCAAGGTGGTTTTACCTCTACCTATTCTAGAAATGAGTTTCGAGGTATTCTAAATTTCATTAATTTACAATTATTATCTATATACTATCAATATTGAGTAATAAATTATATTTAAATAAAACAAAGTGATTTGTATAATTATTAATTTTCAGGAAATGTCGTCAACGCAGTCAACTGTCTGGCCAAGTTGGGCTACCGAGTGATAAGTACACATCTCAAGGGCGAATCAATGATTTATTTGTTGGAAAAATCCATTGAACATTCCTAAGTCTATGAAAAGCTTGAATTATTGTTTGATACTAATTTTTCTACATTTTATAAAAGAAATAAAAAAAAATATCAATGAATTAATTTTGATAAAGCAAAAATCTAAATATTTTTTGATTAAATCTGAAGAATTACCATTTCATATTCACAGTTAATAATATTAAGGCTAGGCTCTACTAACCTCAAAACACCTCAAATTTTTCTTGTCAAACTGTGCATTTTTTATTTGTTTTTTTTTTACGTAAAAAATATTTTAAAAAGTGGTAAAAATTTGAGGTAATTTGAGGTTAGTAAAGTCCAGTCTCAACATTATAACTTATTTGCAAGCATACTGATAAATTAATTTGGTAATAATCATGTAAAATAAAATAATAACCACAACTGCATAAACATAAAAGTGTGGAAGAATATTAATTATTCCATATAATCACTTACATTTTCATGGCATGGTGAAAAAAAATTAATAACTAATGAAGCTTTTTTATTCAATGCATCTTTAATTTTAAATATTATTATTTATTTTTAAACAATTTAAAGTTCAGTATTATTTTTTATCAACACATTATTAAAATGGTCGGTAATAACATAATATTAATTTCGTTCATTGCAATTGAATTAATTTATTATCAAACTTGCATTAAAAACTGGAATGAATTTTTCATGAGTGAGTTTGTAAAGTTTTCAAAAAAGAAAAAAAAACTGTCACAGTTATTAGCCAATCATGTAATGGATGGAGACATCTTATGTCAGATAACCAATAAATTTTTTTTAATTTCAAATGAGCCAATTATGTTGCGTGATTGTGAAGCAGCTAACTTCTCGCGTTCTCTAAACGAATCAGAGATATCGATTTTAATATAGAACATCTACAATGTTCATTCCCTAATTTCTTTTTTACGTCGCATTATGGTATAGTAAAAAAATCGATCACTATTAGAGCATTTTTCACACGCACTGAAAGTATTTATTGATAATTACAAAAATCAGTGATAATTATTAATATTTAATTGATTTTAAATAAAATACATTGTTTATCTATCATGAGTCTTAACAAAAAAGAATCAATCGTTTTGGAACAAGATGTTGATAGTATTAATATAATTATGGCTCCTACACGAAAATATCGTTATATACAGTTAGAAGAAATTGACTCATGGAATAAACAGCTTAAATATCATTGTTTGAACGAAAAAGAATTACAAGCTCTTTCAAAAAAATTTGAACTTCTTCATGATCAAATGTTTGAAGGTATCAAAAACTTCATAAATTAATATCGTACTATGTACCCAAAATATTGATAATTTTTGTTTGAATACAAAAAATGCTTGATATTTTTTCATTATTCATTTTAGGAAATATAATTGATGCAATCAATATTCTAGCCAACTTGGGCTATCGTGTTATTAGTGTAACGAGTACGTTTGATTTAGTTAATAGGACTTATCTGTTGGAAAAACCTATCTAAAGTTCTTCAAATTGACCAACAGCTCAAGTCATTGTTTAATAAGTTTCCAAACAGCCAACAGTTATAATAAAATACGAAAATTTCTATTGTCAATTCGTATGTATTTTACCAAGAAAAAAAGAAAAACATTTAAAAACATGTCGACAAATGTACTTTGATAATAAAAATATCTAAATATTAATCTCCTAAATCTGAAAATCAGTCATCCCTATTTCCTATCAAGAATATTTAAACATTATTCATTGACAAATGCTTGGTTGAAATAATTTTAGCAGTAATACATAAAATGTGGATAAGTATACTTGGCAAGGGTAATTTTATCACAAAAAAAAATTCCGCAGCTAACTTCTCATGTTTTATCAATTCGAGGTCTCTTTCGATTAATTAGAGGAATCGATCTTACTATAGAATATTTATGGTGTTTATGCTACACATGATAGTATACTAAAAAAAATCAATCGATAAGAAAACCGTTGAGGCGTAATAATCTTTGGATATTCATCAGAACGTAGTAGTCATTCAATTAAAATTAAACTCAATACATTATTCATATTCTCGTTTCTATAAAAGACGAATTAATTTCTTTAAAGGGTGAAATTAAAGTTATACATTCTTTACTATGGCTAAAGATGAACCTCGACGTCGTACGATAATGTTGGTTGGTGATACAGAATCTTTTACACCTTATGGATTGGATGACGATGATTTATTAAAAATTTCTAGCGCAACAAAAACTGTCAATAAATTCGCAAATCGACAAAATGGAGTTAAAATCTATGGTACGTAGAACTTTATATTTTTTTATATTCATTCTTTATAAGAGTCTATTTTTTAATCAATTTGATATTTAATTTCAGCATCACCAATGACGTCTATCAACACTTTAGGTGATTTAGGCTACCATGTTATTTCGACAACTTATATGAGCAAATCAGATAAATTGGTCTGGATGTTAGAAAGAAACAAAAAAGAATGGGAAAGACCTGAAATTGAACCACCATTCAATAACGACGCACTACAGCACTCATTGGATGCTTCATACCTATTTTAAAAATAATGTACAATCTAAAATTAAAGCATTGATTTCAATCAATATTTAATACAACCGATGTACATCATGTTCTCTCATTAACAATAAACATTTTATTGTCAAAGTTAATTGATTTACTTTTTAAAACATTCCATTATTAAACTTAAACTGAATAAACAAATTTATTAGGTTAAATATTAGCAGCTAATTTTTTTATAACTAAAAATATAATTAAAAGAAAAAAAAAGAAATTTATATTCTGAGATTAATTAACTACTTCTCGTGCTCCATCATCTAGATGAAGTTATTATTATTTTTGTGATAGAATATTTATGGTATTTGCTTCAAAAAAATTATTTTCATTTTCACAGCATAGAAAAACAAAATTAATTAACAATACAATCTTTTTTATTCACTAAAATACATCCTCACATCTAGATGTGATATTTGATTAAATATTGCTCATTAAATGATAGAATGAAAATAATTTTTTAAAGAAAGAATACATTTGAAATTGATATAATCTTCCATTTTGTTATGAACATTTTGCTATTAGACTTGTTTCCCCTATGAAAATTTTCCCCATCTATTCTCCCTACTTTTAAATGATCCTCAAGGTATCCAAACCCCACTCCAACTCTCGCCCTAAAATAAATGAGGGTTACTATGAACACTAAACATCAGTTCTTCACCAACTCTCGGAACAGCAACATTCAAAATTGCTCGTCTAAAATTCAACAGTGAAACAATGGGTAAAAAGGCAACTAATCATTTGCCTAGATATCATTACCTGATGTTCATTGGTAATGGTAATGAATTCAGACACTTCGGATTGAGTGGACTGGAGAGGATTAAAGTTGAGTCCTTGGGTGAAAAAGGTAACTAAAACTTGATAGTATTTTTATAATAATTGTTACTTTGGTTTGAATATAAGTTATTGCTGTTGAAGTAATAAAGACTGATTAGAATTATTTTAAATTCCAGCAAATACAATGCAAGCAATCAATGCTCTAGGTGATTTTGGCTATCGTGTTGCTTTTGCAGTACCTAGAGATAATTCTACTGAGGTCACATACCTATTGGAAAGAGTCTACTGAAAGAATTCATCTTATTTTTACATTTGCTTTGTTATTTAATAATAAGATTCAGGATAATTGTAATGTTTGATCATAAGAACCTGTACAAGTTTTAAAACAGTTTTAAATGTAATAATAAATATTGTTCCATCTTATATAAGTCTAATTATTTATCTACCTTTACTTCTGATTAGATTATTTTTTTTTTCTTTTAAGAAACAATTGAATTGTTTTGGTATTTATAATTAAAATGGCATTTTGAGGTTAAATTGTGAGGAATAGAGTTAGAGTTTAATAACCTTTTTTGTACAAAATTTCAGTAAGCTACAAATTTTGTTTGATGCATTTTTCCCTATCGTAGTTTTCGAGAAAAAGGTCCAAGTATTGATTTTTGAGAGGTTAAATTTTCTACGTTATAACCTCTGTTGGAATGACACCCCTCTTTATGAGGGTGAAACTGGTTTTGAATGTCCTTGAAAATGTTCTTAAACAATTTCAGCCATGTTGGAAAATCCTGATTTCAAAGCTACATTGGTCGGACGAGTTGGAAAAATAATTTGTAATGATTTTGAATATGATCTTCCTCCTAATTACCAAGTCTACCAAGTTTTATGTTTTGATGCTTGTTATTTATATATTCAAAACATAATCAAGTCCTGTACAAAAGAATAACAATCATAATTATTTTTATACTCCAATTAATATTGTTGAAACAATTGATAGACTGATTGTAACTAGATTAATTAATCACTCAACAATAAAGTTGTAAGATAATTATTGATTTTGTGATTTGATTGAAGTTGGCTAAAAAATGAAGCTTGAGATCAATAAATTCAATTTAATAATATTGATAATAATTTAATTCTTTCAATATTAACTCCTATAGCTATTAATAATTTAGATAGGCCTAGTGTTTAAGATATTTTTCAATTAGATTTATAAAATTATTTATTATTAAATGATAAATAATATGTTACTTACATTGAATAAATTTTAAAATACAAAAAGAAATTATATTAAATATCTAAATGACTTTTATTATAACCTTATTTCACAAACTTACAAAATTTTAATTAATTTTGTATGAATTCAATAATTAACCTCCCATTATTTATTATTATTTTTTTCAAAAGAGGTTATAAATTGGAGTCAATCGAATAATAGTAATAATAATGATAAATAAATCAACAATATGTCAAATAAAATGAAATAATTGATAAATTATTTTTAAATTCAAAATCAATCAATTAAAACACGAAATTAATTAGCAGCCAACTTCTCAGGCTTTATCGATTAATCGAGTGATCGATTTTACTATAGAATATTGATTTATGGTATTTATTTCAGCAGGTAATCATTTGTGTCGTGTATCTTTGCACATGCTAGCAGTATAGTCAAAATAATTATCCAAAGACACTAATTAGAACACTAAAATCATTTTATACAATCATCTTAAATTAAATAAATAATTCAACTAATTATCAAGTTGAAGAGAAACATTTAATTATGGCTGATCTACCGAAATATCGTACAGTAATGTTGTGTGGCCAAGTAAATAATGTCATGCCCTATGGATTGAGTAAAGAGGAACTGAAAGCAATTAAGGACGTAAAGCCAGATGAGGGTCGTGATTTCATTTCAAAAGGTATTCTATTTTGTTTTTAATTATTATTTGTCTATTGAATATGAATCAATCAAAGGAAAGGATAAAAAAGTAATCCTCTTTTTATTTTCAGCAAGTGCACTTGCTAGTATCTATGCATTAAACGGGTTGGGGTATCGTCTCATTTCTACATGTCGTCTAAGTAATTCAGACCTGATGTGGATGTTGGAGAAACCTCTAGACGAGCCTTCATACTAATCACCAGCTTCAACTACTTCTTAATAAACCTTTTTCTCAATAACATTTCAAATAATTGTCATAATATCAGCTATAATGAGGCAATTGATTTCTTTTGTATTTTATAACCAATAAAAATGAATTTATTCAACAATAAATGTATTGTTATTATATAAAGTAGAGGTAGTAATAACTGATATTGAGAAATAAGACATTTCCAATGGAATCTATAGGTTAATATTTAACCTATAAATTATTTCGATTGTGAGAAACAAAAAATTTTTTTAGAGGTTATATTTTAATTAAAATTGATTAATTTAAAACGAGAATATATAATGTGGAATAAATTCATCATATGTCACTTTCAATAAAGTTTTAGAGGGCAATGCACTTGACTCAAGAGCCAACCTGTTTAGTTTCCGCGATTCACACGACGAAACCACAATTTACAAGGGTGTAGGGAGTTTGTACGGGGGGGAGGTTAGGGAAAGGAATCTATTGTAACCTAGAGAGAAACAGTGTATGTGTGTGATACATTTTAAATAAATTTCAATTGTCTAGGGATGTTTACCCCTCGAAAAATCGCATTTAACGAGCTATTGATATCCAACCCCTCATTCAAACTTTTAAAGTACCGCCATTTTGTTTTTTTGTTATTTAACTAATCTCATATCATCTTCAATTAATGTAGTGGCTTTTGATGCGATAAAAAAATTATTTGAACATATTGGAGGTTAATATAAGATTTTATGGGAATCGTAAAAAAAATCTAAATACTTGAATGCAGGAAATAAAATGCCACGCGACAGTCACGTGCAGAAACCATGAATTTTATTTAAAATTTCGTGGGAATGAGGGCGTCATGCATAGTCCACAAAATCTTCGTGAGAGCCTCTCATGTGTTTTGGTTGACATTATTACAATGTTTTAGCGTTAATACTTTGCTAACATGCTCGTTTACAAGACTAAATATGAGATCAAACATTTATTAGCAACAGTTCAATGAAATTGATTATTTACGGTTCAAATATTGGCAACATTCTAACCTCAACAGAGGTTATGTTTATAAACAATAGCGTTAGGAGTTTATTGTTAAGCTTTCATTAGTGAATTTGTAAACAAAGTGATTTAATAACAATTTTTTTTTTGTTAAATAAATAAAAGATGAGAATATAATACACGGCTGGTGAATTTATTGTACTCATTCTTTTATTTAATGGCATATAAAGGCGAATTTCGTTGGATTCGAAAAAAAGACTGCTAGGCCACTTCCCGCACCGAAATAAATAAAAGAAAGAATTGAGCAGGAAACAGGAGAACATATTTACTTCTTTTTTTCTCTTTTCATTCCTTCGTGTGAATTTTATCGTACTATTTATTTTATTTTTTTTTTTAACCTCTAATTTGAGACATTAAATAAAAACTTTAATGGTACACACAAGTGAAAGTAACTTGAAATTGTTGCAAAGATGTTTTTTTAAATGACTTGTGTGGCTGCCGAAAAAGTAGAGAAAGGCTTAATTACTGTGTAATTATTTATAATTATCTCACAAAACCTGCTAATGCATTACCCAAAACGACAATTGTATGTTGAAGGAAAATAAGGTAAAATGATTGATAAAAAAAATTTTTTCTCTTTACATTATGAAAATAATTACTTTCAACATTTCATTAAATTAATTATACCAACAAATATATTTTTTAAAGGTTTCTTTTGCAAGATCATTGGAATAATTTTAATGATGACTTTAAAAGAAAAAAAACTGTAGCAGCCGAGGAACCTGCAAGGAGGATGGAAGTAAAGAAATATATAACAAGAGAAGAATCGTCTAGATACGACAGATGGTCACACACGTGTTCAATCTTGGGTACTGTTCCCTTTCTTAGATATATTTCGTTGGAGAATATGTCTAGATTAAACTACTATAGAAAAGCATAACACACTGACTTGGCAATTAAATGTAAGAAGAAGAAAAAATTCATTTAAAAGGAGTGAAGAAAATTGAATTTCGTGGGGGTGATGATGAAAAAGGTGGGTTCACTAATGTTAGAATGAACATCTGCTTAAGTTTAGTTGTTGATGCATCGATCAAAAGAATCATCTTCTGCTTCTGTTCTTTTGTAAAAGATTCCGAGACATCGCGTTTAAGATTCTCAAGCAACATGTGGCTGGCACGTGTTTCTCTTCTACATCAGCTACGATTTATATATAGGATCATCGTTCTTCTTTGAGTTTGAACGTTGCAGCTGCTTTATATTATTTTCGGGGGTTCGTCCATTTTCCTTTTGCCTTAGGGTCTCTCAAAAGGATCTTGTCCAGGCCGCAAATACCTTTCTTTAGTATCTTACACACATTTTCGAAGCCATTTCAATACCTGACTTGAGATCCGTTGGTATATTTCTGTATTTATTTATCAGTTTATTTAATCAACACAGCAGTTTACTTGGGATGTTTTTTTTTTACAGATTTTCAATGATTCTGTGTGCTAAAGAGACAGTCATGGTGCTTTGTTCTTTATGTTGGAGAAAACTTCCTCAAGAAGATTGACCAATTATTTTTTTGGTACTTGGATTTATAATATTTGAGTATAAGGTGGATTAATAAATGAATACCACCCAGAAAATACATGAATTATTAGGATTTAAAAAAAAAAAGCTAATAATTAAAATGCGATTAAATGTTTCGTATTTTTTAGAGCAAAGTTTATTTAAGTTGATATCACAGTGCTAGACTGTTCTGCATTGCAATGAATAATACCAACATAAGTTTGGAAATATCACGTTGGGGTGTGACGTATACCTGAGGATTGGCTTAATGCTAGTCCAGCCCTTATTTCAAAGCGGATATGTTGATGAATCACTTTTCTGACAATTTTTTTTTTTAAGTAGTTGGAGAATGTTTGAGTAAACATTGAAACTCTTCGACAACTTTGGTAAAATGTTTACTATTACACTTAAAAACAGTGTGATTTTTAAGAAGAATAGTTTATTTAATCGATTTTTTTCTTTCTAATAATCGTAATTAATTTTTAAACAAATACTTTATGAAGACGACATAATTATTTTTTGCCATTACTACATATTTAAAAGAAAAAATGAATTAATTATTTAAAATTTTATTTGTTATTGAGTAACTCAATTTTTTTTCTTGTTTAATTTAAAATATGTTATTAAGTATGATATTTATTAATTAAAAAAAATATTTGAGGTATTTAATTAAGAAGAAATAGTTTGTTTATATTAATATTGTAAAATATTTGTCGTAAAAGTATGACGCCATTTAATGCCTATTAGACTAACGACAGTTTTATAAATTGAGGGGTGAGTTTGTTTATCTCCAGTTTTTGACTGATACTTGAGTTGACCAGACGTCTTCTCTTTAATTAATTAATAGCTGTCAATTTTATAATAAACATTTTCTTTTCTTATTTAATTTCCGTAGTTATTATTTGGATTTATTTTACAATATTATTATTATATTTTTAATAATTGCCTAATTATTGGAAATTAATGATATTGATCTTAACTTTACTTGCAATTAAAAAAATTTATGATTATTAATACAACATAAGCTTAATTATTCTAACAATAATATTCATTAGTAAAATATTAAATGCTTTTTAAAAATAAGAATAAGTTATTGGTTTGTTAATATAAAATAATTTATTAAATTATCAATCAAATAGAAAAATAGTTTGCATACTTTGTGAATTAAATAAAGAAAATAATCGTGTTTAAATATGGAATATTATCACTTCATCAGATAATACTGATTAGAAATTTGTCATAAATGATTCATCACCATAAAATACACAAATTCTTTAGGTCCAGGGTGATATCCATACTTGATACAGCATTGAACACCATAAACTACCTTGAATTCAATTATAAATCTCATAAGTTTCACAAGCAAGTTTCTTGGAACAACCAATTATAACAATTTGATCATTTTGTAACATTGTTGCAAAGAAAGAAAACTTGATCATTACGATAAGAAAAAGACAGGCTATAAATATTAATGAGCAAGACTAAATAACACATCAGAAAGTATCCATTTCAACACCATATCAATCATAATGTTGGATAATTCACAAGTGAAATCAAAAATTCTTACAGTTACTTTTGATAAATCGTTCCCCTACACCAAAATCTCCAACGTCTCCATCATTCAGCATTGGTAATAAATTAAAAATTCGACTTTTTCCGCTACTTTTTTTTTTTTTTTCCTTCAACTTCCTTTTCAGTGCTGGTGCATGACATCGGAGGGAATAAAATCCAAAGGAAAAAATAAATAAAAAGGAAACCACTATGTTGGAAAGAGAAAAAGAAAGAGGGTGGAAAAGAAGAAGAGAACTCGGGTCGCATTCTATTTTATAAAGAGACCCTAAAATTCATACCTGAGATCTTTTCATTCTTCACCAAAACCTTAATCGTAAATTTCCAAAAAATTCTTTAAAAATTGGCAATAAAAACTGAGTCACAATGTCTGAAATAATTCCTAGAAATGCTTCATATTATTAATAAATAACATATGAAAATATCTTGTGGAATAAAATGAAAGAGAAAAAAAAAAAATATAAAAATGACTTTAAATCGGAGCTTAGACATGTTAAACCCCTGATTTAGCTGTGATATTACTTTCCAGTGCTATATTGCTAGCCAATACCAACTCAAGCATGACGATCACCTATCGATCTAATTGGACACATGATTTAAAATAAAATAAAAATGAAGATATGTTATCCAACTGGCCACACACTCCTACTCTCTCAACTTCAATCGACCTCACAGGGACTAACACCTGCATCCTCACAGCTGTTTCCTCAATTCATCGTCAACAAGGATATACACTGGCAACTACCACCACCACCATCAACTTTGTCTATATTCCTTGAATTTGTGGAATAATAATAAAGCTGAAGAATCTAGGATTTTATTTTTTGAAAAAAAGTTAGAATACATTTCTATTTCTAAGGGTGTAAAAGAGTCTAACAGATGCAAAGATGTTTCTTTTTTTTTTACGAGGGGAGTGTAACAGCTCAGTGGTCTCTGGAGACCTCAACATGTAGGTATTGATGGTTTAGCTTTAACTAGAGTATTGTTTGGTTATTATTTCTGTACATATCGCACACTTGTTATTCCTTTGTGGCTTCTAGCACAACTTTTTATGACTTTTTTATTACTAACAATACCACAATTTATCTAAGACAACAGGTTTTTATTATTGTTTAACAATTGAAATAATATATATTTGGTTTTAGGATTATTTACTTGAGGAAGATGAGACTTGTGATGATTATCCTGCTTGGATTTCTTTTTTTATTGAAAGTTGATCTGAATTGAAGTAAATAAAATTGATATATATATATTTATTGGATTATTTAATAGTAAATTATTGCTAGAAAATCTAGACCAAGATGAATACTTTATATGAAATATAATTATTACTTTAATGCACTAATGAAACATTATTTTAATTAATCAAATAATTAATTGATAATTAAAAGCTCCTTCTAAACCAATTGAAGACAAGTTTATTAATTATTTATAATTTATTATTTAATTTAATTATTTATCAATAAAATATGCTAGTTTTCAAAGATTTTCATTAAAAAATAAATAATTATGACTACGCAAAAAAGAAGGTGATTATTAATTAAAATTATTGCACTTTATTGAAGACTTGATGATGATGTTAAATTAATAGCTGTCTCAACAAAAGTATTATAGTCAAAGTGTAATAATAAAAGCTAATAATTTAGCTTCAACTTTGTTAGCACAATTGTGAGAAATTTAGAGAAGTATTAAAAAATACTGAGCTTAGTTTTAGCATTTAATTAAAATGACTCATTATTATTATTATAAAGTAAATTATTTTTAAAATTTAAAACAACTTGTTAAACTTGTAGACTTGGATGAATCCATTGTCCATCATTGCTTGATGTAAAATAATTGTGATAATTAACAAAACTATTTGAATTTTATTATTCATAGAATTGATATTATTTATTCTTATTTGTGAGCATAAAAAAAATGACTTTTAAAGAAGTTTGCCAGTCTAAGATAAGCAGAATTGATGAATGTTATAATAAAGGGTGATAATTATTTCAATTAAACTCAACTTTTATTCATCATAATAAATAAAATCTGTTGCATACACATCCATCATGTACAAATGCATCTAGACTACCCACATGGGAATGGACCAATTCATGATTTCTAGAAAAATAAACTTGAATATTTTTAGTTTAAAAAGGAAACATCAGAATAGACCAAAAATAGTGCTAAAGTATTCTCAAAGTATCCATCAATCATCTGAATGTATTTAAAAGCAACCATCAGCTTCATTTTAGAATGTTCATTGAAAAGCTATCCCACCATTGGTCTTTACAATCAAACCATAAAAGTTTTATTCCAAATTTCTCTTTTTCTAGAGCTTAGACTTTCTTAGCTTATAAGACCAAAGAGTAGCAATTGTTTCAACAAAAGTAATCTGATTGAAATAAATATAATTTTACTGAAATTCTTTCATACTAAATATCATACGAAAAGTCTTATCTCTGATGAGAGTGAGATGAACAAAGGTTGGAGTTTTTAAAATGGGCGAGGGAGAGTTTGAAGAAGAAGAAGAAGAAGTAAAAAGAGCATAAGGAGGAACAGCTGCTGAATGTACGGGCACGCGCACGCACACGAACAACATACAGAATGCCATGAAGCATCATGAAACATGTCCCACCTCACTCACGCACAGGTATTCATTATCTAAAGCCTCGCGATCCTTTTTTTTTTTATTCTTCTTCTTCTTGTTCGATCGGTTTTTGGTCCACGAAACATCTGCGGCAGCTGCTCAAGCCGCGTCGGTGTTTCTCCTTCTTTGCTAAGAGGATATCAGAGGCAGGTGCAACTCGACGCACGAGTTGCCTTTACTTCTTTTGTCCTACCAATTACGTGTACCTCTTTCAGCCTCTTCATTATCTCTACCTTGATTACACTTTACCTTATTCTTATATTTCCTAGCTAGGACCTTCACCGACTATTTTAATATCAAATCCACCAGCCTATATTATTCTTCTATATCTCCAACATCTTGAGTATTACTTTGAAAACCCCGGATGCCATTTACGCAATGAAAAAGTCAGAGAAAGTGGTCCAAGTCTCTCTCTCTCCTAACATGCAGCTGTTCTTATATTAATTAATAAATGTCTGGACTTGTTAACAACTCACCCATAAAGCATCGCAGCACCGGCAATGCCACCCCCACATTGTGCAGCAACATACAGAGCTGATCTTAATGGTGATATTTTACGTGAGAAGACGTAGGAAAGGGATACAGCAGGATTAACATGACCACCTAGAAAATAGTGATATAATTAAATAGTAAAATTGTGAATAATTATTTGTAAAGAATTTGGATAAATTTCTTACCACTGATGTGTCCAAAAATGAGGTAGATAGCTGCTATAGCAAAACCTGATGCTATGGCTGTTGCTAAGACAGACAAACCACTTCCGTAAACATTTGATGATGCTGCAGCACCAAGAACAACAAGTGAAAATAAAAATGTAGCGAAACATTCAACAGCAACTGCTCGCCATAGTTCGAGACTTCTAGCTTCTGTTGACATTGATGCTCTACGACTCTCAGGCCGGTCTTTTGTACTTTCTTGGAGGGCTGCTATCTTTGTTAGCAAGCTGACTATGTGTGTGTCAACATCCCGTGATAATTCTGTAGCCATTTTTGATGAAATTCTTGGACTTGGTGATGATAGGTTTAATGATGATGAATGAAGTTTATTAAATACACAAGCACTAGCACTAATTTGCTGCTGACTTTCGTTTAACTCACAATAAACAGCACAAGAATAAGGCAATGAGTCTAAATGAGCTTAATTGAAGAGCATATCTTTGGACTTTGTACCATTTATTTTTCTTATAGGTTATTTTGATATTCAAAATTTACAGCTTTATGATTCTGGATTGGTTTATTTGTTTATAAAAATAAAACTCGTAGAATTTTATTGGCATTATTTGAATTTTAATGATGATTTATTTATCACATTCACTAATGACTGGATGAAAGACTTGGTGAAATCACTGTTGATTCTAGCGTGCCCCCGATGTTACCACTACGGCAACGCGTACTCGAGTGACTATAAAATCTTGAGCGAAAACGAAACAAGTGGCCCAACTGCCTGATGCTTCTCTGACACCCTGTCGAGACACCCCCACTCCAAGGTCCACCACTACCACTACCACCATCAACTATTTTGAGTGTGCTGGAATAAGACAGAGACAATCTTTTAGCATTCAACCAACTGCCATAAGACGAATACTTTTTTTTTTATTTTTTGGTTGAAATAATTCGACCTTATGGTTATTCATTAAAGAAATTGTTTTTTAAAAATAATTTATGATGAAAGTTAACCTTTATTTTATAATTTTATGTTAAATTTTTACTCTATACTCCATTTAGGTTAGAAAAAAATTATCTAAGTCTTTAATTAGATGCATAAAAATATCATCAATGGATTGATTTTATTTATTTAAACAATAAAGAATAATGGTCTGTTTAAAAGAGATTAGAATAAGTCACTAGTGGGAAAAAAATTTTTTAAGGTTAAAAAATTGTCATTTATATCACGACATAGAATTTGAAGTCGAAGAATTATTTTTTTTTTATGAAATATTCAGTACATAAAAGGTTATATACAAGAAAAAATGATTATAATGAATGTCTATTTCATAATTTGTTCTTGGGTAATATTGACTAGATAATTGTCTGAAGGTTAAAATGGGTTCCAAAATGAGGTTTGAATTTTTTTTGGAGGGGATATTGTAGTCTTTGAGAATGAATAAGTGATTGTCAAGTGATATTCAGTGGATGTTTACTGATTGGAGTATTATTAAGTGTGCCGATGGAAGTTAGTAGAGTTCTACTGGTCGAATCAGTGAAATAAACATCTGGTGATTGACGCAGTCAATTGTGCTGATTGAATCAGTGAACAATTCAATTCATCCGATTCTTATCAAACTCATATCAAAGCTCACTCACTGGTCTTTAAACAAAAATAATATCAATTCTATAGAATAAGTAAGAACAGTTGATGGCCAGTAAACTGTTTTGAATTAACAGAATTAACAATTCTGTTAATTAAACACTAGTAATATCTACATGTCGTGATGAAACAATCATGTTTGCTTTTATTTTTATTTTAAAAATATATTGACTTATTTGGGTACATACTCAGGGTAGACTGGATGATGATAAATAATCAACAAAATATCGACATGTACAACATCACGGACCATCACTTTCAAATAAACCTTCATCATTTTTACTGATTCAATCAGCCAACTAATCCAAAAACCTCATTGTCTAGTATCATTATTACTCACTGAAAATAATTAGAAAAATTATCATCAATTTATTATCAACCACTAAAGTATTTTATTCAGTAAGAATAAAATTTTATTCCTTATCTCGTGGCTTCATTGAAAAAAAATGTCTACCAACATGCATCCAACTGATTAAAAAATTCTATTTACTCCAATAATAACAAAATGGTTGATAATTTTCATAATTCATTACCATTCATTCTCCTTAATCTGTGTGCTATCTAGGCTCACAGAGGAAGAACATTCATATATACAATCCATCAACACCAGCAATTATTTCATTTCATCGTGTAGGCAGTTGAAAGAGTCCCTTTCTATCCATCTAATGACGAGCTAATTTAGCGATATGAATCACTAAATTATCTCTCGTATCACATAACTCAGCCTGGTGAATATAAAACTACAACAAAGTCCACAAACATCATTTCTATAACCCCAAAAACACCACACAATTCATTTTTTCTAAACATCATCAAAGCTATTTAAACAAATACGTATTCAACTTCCCGACTCAATGACTCATCGTTCTCCAAAGAAAAAAAGTGTTCACCGTAGCCATTTTGATTACCACCAGCTGTCCAATGTTTTGCTTTTTTTTTTGTTTTTCGTTACCGATAAAGAAGCTAATCACGAAACCGTACGCGCAGCGCCATCACACGACAATCTAGATTTACCTGTTCCAACCTATAAAATTATAAAGGTGTGGCGATGAATACGAGGGGGAATCGTTGGCTTATGTTGACGATTAAAGTGAAAGAGAGTGGGAGAACGCGAGAGTACAAACGATTGAGTGTTCCAGTTAAAGTAGTGACTCTGCCGCATGCGGCAAATAAAAATGGACACTCTGAAGGTGTTGATTCTAAAAGGGCGCGTCACTTTCCTTTGTGTTTCACTTTTAACAGTTGTAAACTGTCAAGAAGGTGTGTACACAGGAGGCCAATATAACCGTGAAGGAGTTTATGTACCACCAGGAGCACCAGGTTATCATACATATATCTACAAAGATCGAAGGTATGGCTATCAACCTAGCTATTTGGATCCTATTTATAACAGGGGTCCAACTCGTGCTCCTGAAGATCGATATCGTTTTGAGGTAAGTTTGAAAATTCTTATCATCTTCTTATCACGTTGCTTTTAATCACTAGATAGACCACTTGATGATGAGATAATTCACGTCACTCATTTAATTACTCATCAACGTTAGAAAGTTAACATTCTCATGACTCGTGACTAGTGAGCATAAAAACATACATCCTGAGTTTAAACAATTATTAAATGAGTAATGTGGTACAATAATATTCATTTGTTTCATGTTCGTGACTCTAGGAAGAGCCATCGAGGTATCCACAGTATCCGGGAATTCTTGGTGGTTGGAGGGAAGATCTCCAGGGCAAACAACGTCCAGATTCGAAAAAATATGAAAACACTAGGAATGTTTTTGTTAGGACTAATCATGGACAGGTCCAAGGTTTCAGGGTTCAACTATATGATAATCCAGAAGCACATCATCGACCTTGGAATCTACCGGTTGAGAAAGTTACAAAGCAGGTTGATGTCTTCTTGGGGATACCTTACGCTATGCCGCCTGTCAAAGATGGAAGATTTAAACCACCTAGACCTAACAGGTTGGTTGGTTGGTACTTACTATGAAGAGAATGGTTGAGTTTAAATTATTCTAAAACATGAAGTAAACAGTGTGAAAATAATTTTCGAGTGTTTAAAAAGGTCAACATTGGGGTAGTAAATGAGAAATGTTTATCAGGTAGATGGAGATCATGCTGGTTAGCAGTAAGTTGCTTTAGGAAAGTCCAGCTAAGTGGGCGTTATTAACATTGAGATTAAATTCGACCTTGTGACAAAAGACTTTTTACAGAAAGTTGAAAGCACTCTAAAAAGAAAACAGAGTGATGAGTGAAATATGTTGAATGAACATGAGTAACATTGATATGTTTTCTTTAAATACTATTATTTACCTAAGAAAGGTCTATTGATTGAAGATTGCGAATACTTTGGAGATGTTTTGATGATGAACCAAAAGAAATTTGTGCTTTATCATTGTAAATGAAATATCTAGAATATTACCAAACCTAAGCATTATTTTTACAAGAGAAAACATTGAAGATTTAGATTATTCATAATTGAACCTAAAATATAATAAATTATTTACACGAATTTATGTTTATAAAATACTGAATGATTTTTCACATCAAATTTCACTCTGTATTCTGAAGTATTAATTTGAATGCATTAAAAAATACTTGGTTATAGAGTTAGATGGTCATGTTGATAGTTGATGGAATTGTTGCTAGCAACACACGACTGATTTGTTGATTTTTAAATTTTCTGACCAAGACTGAAGCTGACCAGACGTTTTTCTTTTTCATTAATATTTTCTATCATCTTCAATGAGCATTTTAATTGCTTTTAAAACTCATCAATTATTAAAACTGTTAAGTAAAAAGACTCTTTTTTATTATATTTAATTATTTATTAGAAAATTATATCCAACTCATTACATCTTCTCTTGTCTATGACAGAAAGTCAACTGACTCCAGAACAATTGAGTCAGCAAGACTGCCAAACTTCTACCAGACATTGTAGTCAATTATATAAATATAAATACACTAAGTATTCAACAAAAACAAAATACTATTACCATTAATTGAAGATTTATTCCCAGGAAACATTTACATTATTTTTTCTTGGTTGTTAAAGAGCTCATTTAGAGAGTATTGTGAGCATCCAGTGTACACGTGTGAACATAAAGAGTGTCTATATTTGGATATACTTGATGTTTTACTAAAAATAAATACTTGTAGGAGCTGGCAATTATTGCAAGCTGTTGACTGGGGTCCAGCATGTCCTCAACCAAGTAGCTATACAGGAGCGACCAAGGGGATTCGTGATGTTGATGAAGACTGTCTTTATTTGAACGTCTTTACTCCTACAGTAAGTTTTTTTTTGTTATTAATTTATTAGAATATCTAATAAAGATAGAACATCATTTCATCATCAAGCTTATCTCCTTGAAATTCATTAAAACTATCTTTCTAACATTCTGATTACTTCTAGGTTGAATCAGGAATCCCAAGACTTTACCCCGTGATGTTCTACATCCACGGTGGTGATTTCACTCATGGCGCGAGTAATTTATTCCTTGGTCACATGCTAGCAGCTTTCTTTGAAGTGGTTGTCGTCTCGATCAACTACCGTTTAGGAGCACTAGGCTTCCTCAGTACTGGTGATGAAAACAGTCCTGGTAACTATGGAATGCTAGACCAAGCAATGGCTCTTCAATGGGTCTATGACAACATCAAAGTCTTCAACGGTGATCCAGAAGCCATCACCTTATTCGGTCCAGGTGCGGGTGCTGCAAGTGCTGGGCTACTTATGGTAGCACCTAGAACTCGCCACTTGGTCTCGAAAGTCATCGGTCAGTCAGGATCACCTCTAGCTGACTGGGCTTTCATTGTCGACCGATACCGGGTGCAAAACACATCTAGAGTTTATGCAGAACTGCTAGGATGTCCGATAGAAAGCAGTTGGAAACTTGTTCAGTGTCTGAAAGACGGTCGGAGTTTCCTAGATCTTGGAAACTCTGAGATCAAACCTCATGTTGGGATGTTTCCGTGGGCTCCAGTGCTTGATATCAACTTCACAGTGCCTAGAGACAACTGGTACGAAGACTGGAGAGCTTCTGATTGGCATTTTTTCACAGAAACTCCAGAGGAAAGCATCAGGTCTAATAAATTCAAACCTGGTATTGCCTATATGGCTGGTGTAACTACCCAGGAAGCTGCGTCTATTGTGTTCCAGAATGATACCTTAAGAAGACGACAGTATAGAATAGATCCCGAGACTTTTGATAAACAGATCTGGGATTTTGTGATGAGATACAATTATACCATCAATTCATATGGAACCTATGAAGCTATCAAGTATATGTACACTTTCTGGCCAGATCCAAAGAATATCACCTTAATTCGTGATCAGTATATCAACTTACTCTCAGACTTCCACTATGTAGCACCTTTCGATCAAGTGGCTAAGTTACTGGTGGAGAAAAAGGTACCAGTTTATTTATATATACTCAACACCACTGTAGAAGCTTTGAATTTACCACACTGGCGACGAGTTCCTCATAACATTGAACACCTGTGGCTCAGTGGTGCTCCGTTTATGGACACGGAATTTTTCCCAGAGGAATGGAAAGTTGATAGAAATAAGTGGACTGATAGTGATAGGAATATGAGCTATTTCTTTATGAAAGCTTATTCCAATTTCGCTAAATATGGGTAAGTAATTTCATTTTCTATTTATTCATTCAATTATGTAATGTAATTATGTAATTATCAATAACCTTCTTTTTTTAATAATTATTATAGAAATCCTACACCATCTCAGATACTAGGATTGCACTTTGAGGAAGCAAAACAAGGATACCTGAAGTATTTAAATATCAACACAACTTATAATAGCTCCATTTTATTTAATTACCGTCAGACTGAGAGCGCATTTTGGACTCAGTACTTACCAACAGTTATTGGAAGATTAGTTCCAACTTATCCACCTGTGACTGAGGTAAATATATACCTGAGTTAAAATATGAAACGTGATTTAGACTTAGTTTCTTTGATTTTAAAGAGTGCTGAAGAATTAGGAGTGAAGTCCAGTCTGAAAAGTCATGAAATCAGGATTTTTCAGCATGGCTAAAAATTTCAGGAAATGTTTTTAGAATTGCTAACAACAATTAGTGATAGTTGGAATTGTGCTCCAACCTGGACAATAAGTAAAATGATTAAAAACCATTTTTAAATCCAGTTTTTCGTGATTATCTCATTAAGTATGAAAGATACGAAAAAAAGTGTCAAACAAAAATTAAAGATCTTTTAATTTTACATAAAAAAGGTCCTTACACTTTAGCTCCTATCTCCAATAGTTTAGCTGTAAAATGATGATAAAGATGGAAAAATAGCACCAGGTAGTATTTTCCACTTCATTGGAGTTCTCGTTATGATCTCTAATTGTTTACAGTAATCCTAAAATTATTTTCTTGAATTTCTAACCATGCTGATAGATCCTATTTCAACAAACTCACTGGACTGTTTTTAAAATTTATCATCCAGATATCAATTGTTAAACATTGTCCAACTTTTATCACAATTATTATCAAAAGTTAACCTATTTAAAAATTTTTTTAGTATTGGTGGGAACCTAAACAACCGCTCCAGATAGCTTTTTGGTCGATGTCGGCCATGTGTCTGCTTCTTATCGTCCTATGCGTTGTTTGCTGTATGCTATGGCGCAACGCCAAAAGGTAAGAAAAGGTAAACAGAACCGTTTCATCCATACTTGAACCATTAATGCATGGAGTGAAGGGTTCTAATACCACTAAAGTATAGAAAACACCAAGTAGAAATTAATATAACTAATCATTTAAACTAATTTTATCCGCAATCTCAGTAAAACGAGAGCTGCGAGGATATATGCAGGTGAAGTATTGCATTTTTAATTGATTGAAATTAAAAAAAAAAAAAGCTTTTTTATTTTTTATCACGACTTAAACACCATTTTTTTTTTGTCATGGACCACGTTTGTGCACTGGATTTGTTGATTTTATAGGGTCTTTATTAACGCATATACTCCACAGTTTATCAGTTTTTTCAACAATCATCTAAACTTTGTTATTTATTTGTTTTATAGACAATCTGATCACTACTATAGCGGGGACATCTTGATGGTACGAGACGACGACCATTCGGAGGGAATCGAGAATATGACACGAGCATCAAAAGATAATTTGTACGAATATCGTGACACTCCACCCATGAAAACAAGAATGCCACGTCAGAATGAACAAAAATTACAAGAAAGATTGGCACAAAATCGAAAATTCAGCTCAACACCATCACTAAGAAGTAACTCCAATATGTCGTTAAAAGACATGAGAAGTGAAGGCTTCGTCACGAGTTCACCGAATGGTCAACCCAAGCTAGGAAAAGCTTCTAGCCAAACAACATTGACTAAAGTTAAAAATAAAACTCACGTTGTTCAAGGTGTTCCTCAAACTGCCGTATAAAAGACAACGATTACTTTAGGTGTATTAATTACTAGGATAAAGAGATAGTGATTGATTGTGTAATTAAATCCTGAGGTATTTCGACACTGATCTCATCAACGAATTTCTTCACACGAGTAATCATCTTCGATTTAAGAAATTATTCCATTGACATTACTTCTGAGCTAGAAGTAGTTTGATTCCGTCCATTTAAACAGCTAATCAAGTGATTATCGGGTTATTAATTCATTGATTAGTTAATTAATTCTGTCACGAAAAGGTAATGGACTTTTAAATATGGAGTTAAGTTTATTAAATAAAATTCCTCCAAAGTGGATTATTAATTAATTAATCAATAACTATGTTCAGCAGAATTTTATGTTATGGTCGCTGAATGTAATAAAAAAATCGTTATATTTTGTTTAACTTCTTGTAAAGAAGTTACTTTTTTTTCTTTATTCATTGAAGAGAATTTATTTGAGTCAAAATTTATATAAATATTTATATCAAAATTACTTTTAAGATAATCTAATTTTTGTTTTGATCATAAATTTATTTAAATTTGCCCTAGGGAAATATTATTTTGGTTCTAGGGCAGTCTTTTTTTATTTTTAATTATAATAGAGCGTCATTATAATGCAAAATTAATGAAATTAATCGAAAAAAAGTGGGCATTCTTTTAGTTGTATGGAATTTTTTATAAATAAGGCAAAATTTACTTTATTGCACTGAAAAATGTAATAAAATTTCTAATCTGCTTGGGTAAATTTTACTACACTGCAAACCTAAGTGTTTAGTTTCTAAACACTTAAAGTGTTTACAATGTTAAATATCATAAATGCTATAGTTTGTTTATGGTGTTCAACATTGTAAACACTTAGGTGTTTAAATATTAAACACTTTATGTGATTTATCACTAAACACTTGACTATACTGCAGGTGTGTAATTACAAATTAAGACAATTCATGACTTTGTGCAAACACAATCACATTAGGAATTTTAAAATCAACACACTTGGAAATGAAGTGTGTCTTTTTGATTAATCAAAATATATAATTAACTCTAAGATCCAAATCCAGCTGATAGTTTTTATTAGCTGAGATGATGTTTTAAAGTTGGAATCCTTGCCATTATATTGCCGAGAATATTTTGGTTTACATCTTAAAGAAGCCATTATAATAAAAATTAAAATTCAGTGCTAACACTGTAAATCCAAGGTGTGTTACAATAAACCATATCTACACGTGTTCAATGTTGAACTCTGTAAACAAACTAAAGATTTTAACACGCCTTGAAGTGTGTTAGAAATGACTACAAAGTTCTATAGTTTGTATGTAGGAATTAAACATTGAACATACCCAAAGTGTGTTAAAATAACACACTTTTGATTTACAGTGAATACAGTTGCTAATTTATTTAATAAATTTGGCACTGGTGGTCAGTGGATAGTTACTCTTTCATAGTACTATTGAATTTTCTTTTACAGTCTAATGTCTAAAATAATTTTCTGAATATTGCGGATTGATGATTGTTTATCATTGTTATATTTAACGAATATAACTTGAAATACTGCTAAACATTGTCCAACACAAATGCAATATATATAAGATGTTTTTATATGTACTAGATTAAGCTTTTGTACTATATTAGTATTACATCAATAGTATTATGTAATGCCTGATCAAAAAATCGTTTCGATAAAATGATAAGAAGTTAAACTTTATACAAAATAATACTTCAAAGTGTTCTTATAATGATAAGTGATGTATCAAATACATCGTTACCATTTTATATTTTATTAAATAATATAATTATTAATAACAATTTTATACGCAAGTGTAGCACAGAGATTTTTATACATGATATTATAAATATTATATAAAAAAAAATGCAAATTTTTGTTATAATTTGCTCCATTTTTGTATATTTTAAATGGTGCATATTTATTGTTTTTTTTTTTGGTTTTTATTATTATTTTTTACAAGTATTAGAAATATAAAAATTTATCAAAAATGTACTAGATTATGAATTATAGTAACACTTATAAATTATTTATATTATACTATTATTAATTATTTTTTTTTCTTCTATTTAAATTAAAAAAAATAATAATTTACAGTAAAATCTTCGTATGTTCCATCACTGTCTGGCTAATTTATAAAATATGAGTACATAATTATGTCACCAATGAATAAAAGTTCAATTTTAAATAAATAAAATGTTATCAACATGATTTATTATCTTTTTAATGCACAGGGCGCAAAATAACTATTTTCCGTGCCAGCATACTGGGCGTAAAATGGTTCTTTCTTGACCTAGGCTGCTTATCTCTTTACATACAGAAACTAAATGCCTGTACTAAAGTAAGCACTCAATCTCAATGGATTCTTTAAATTTTATTATGTATGGCTTGACCTATTGTTTATTTTATATTCAAAACTCAGCACTTAGTCTTGAAAGGGCCATAAAACTGAAGTAATCCTACCTCAATCCTAAACAGATGACAATTTTTTATTACTTTCGACACACTGTTAATATTAAATCAAGTTTAGAAAAGAGAGCTGAATTTCACTTTGAAAATTGCAATGTAACAATCAATTTAATTAATGAAAATAAATAAAGTTATTGGCAAAAATGGACTTGTATAATCTACTTTGACAATAATTCCAATATAGATTTAGCACCCTTAGCATTAAAAAATAGTATGTGCATCTCGGGCAGCAATTGCTGATTCTCGGCTCATGTGAATTTAGCTTCCTCGATTCGCTCGGGACTAAAACTCACACTCGTTGGGAATCAGCAATTTTGCGCCCTTGATGCACAATGTACTATTTTCTTTATCATCTTCTATGCTTGATTTTTTTCTAATGAATCATTTCCATCAGTCATGCAAGTATAACTGACACATTAAAAAAAAACAGAAATTGAAGATACATAGATTTTACTGTAATTAACATTTCATGTTCTACAATCACTTGATCACTTTATTTATTCATTCATGGGACTTTCAGAAGACGATTGCAATTGAGTGTGAGGTACCTTTAAATCACCAAGTTTGACTAAACCAAAAAAGCTTTTATCTTTTTGGAATAATGTGTACCTAAATATTCCAATATCTTTTAGCACTAAACGATCACCACTATGGAGGAAAGTGACCTGGGCTGAGAAGCAGGAACGACTTTTGTGACCAGTTCCTGGACTGTAAGCCTATGAAGAAGAAGAAAGAGAATATTATTCATTGATATATTAAGATATAATTGAAGAGATAAAACTTGGTCTAAATGATTGGATTAATTTTAAAAATTCTCAAGAGTTAAAGAATGGCTTGGAGATCATGGGACTTGTTGAAATAATTTTCTGGATGTTTAATTTAGTAGGAAATACAGCAATAGAAAAAGAAGTAGGGCAATAATTACTGCTAGTTGAGTGAATAAAACTGTCCTAGTGTTAATTATATCTATAACACCATGTAGCTTAATGAAGACTAGCTATGTAGTAAATGGTCTTATTCATTTTATAACACTCTAAATGCATAAGAAATTTTTCAGAGTAATTTTTGTCTGAAGCCTCAATTCTAAATAATTATCATAAGAATTTTTATCTCGTATTTTTCTGAACACCAGGAAGCTTTCCTGGGGAATTTACTCTGAGAAAGTTTCCCAATGTCTTTTTTCGCAGGATATATATATTATTTAATCGAATTATGTGATTTTAAAAAGTACATTGAAAAGGTCTATTCAATAACACTAGGTAAATCAGTTCTGGACAAACTATTGCTTCGTCGAAGTGAAGAAAGAAAAGGAAAGATTTAGTGTAGAGTTCAGGAACTTTCTCTTATTTTTACGGTAGCTGGAGGTTTACCTGGAGATTGCTAGGGAGTTGGAAATACGAGTTTACGCAATCCTAATGGAGTAATATAAACAACATGCTTTAGAGTTGGTGAACAAAACCAGCCAAACTTGGTACGAATCTTTCGACTGGGCAAGCTTTGTTTGATAGCTTTTTAGCATTTGCTAGCATGGCTTTTTATCTATCCAAGTAGCCAAAAGAGCCTGTTCTTGCTCCTAAGCCATCACTATTCTAGGTAAATCCACGGCCACTGTGGAAAATGAACGAAAAAAGTATTGAGTTCACATTGACATTTTGTGTTAGTCTTTTTTCCTTTCTTCCCTGAAGATTAAAGTTTACTTAACATTGTTCTATAAAACCGGAAATAATAAAAATAGATCGTTATTATATAAAACTCGGGCAACTTTTGACTTTCTTCAAAACAAGTGGGTATTAGGTATCATATTCTTTGTCTACCTGATGAGCAAAATGAACAGAGATTATCCACCTGTGTGCTAGAATGGAGAAGGGACAACCCTGACTTCTAGGTCGTTAGAAAGAGACATAAAGGTTCCAATGCGGGTTTAGTTATTATCTCACTCACTCTTAGGGTAGCTAGCAAATATCTCAGAATTGATTGAGCAAAGTTTGCCCACCTGTGGACTAGAAGAGGGTTGGGCAGTACTACTGTGTTTTCATGGTTTTTCATAAGAGGGAGAGAGAAAGACTCTGGGTTAGTAGTTCAATCGCCAAATTCGTGAAATTAGGTTCTTTCAGCATGACTGAAACTTTTAGAAAATACTTTTAGGATTACTGTAAACAATTAGAGATCATAACGAGAATTCCAATGTAGTGGAAAATACTACCTGGTGCTATTTTTCCATCTTTATCATCATTTTACAGCTAAACTATTGGAGATAGGAGCTAAAGTGTAAGGACCTTTTTTATGTAAAATTAAAAGATCTTTAATTTTTGTTTGACACTTTTTTTCGTATCTTTCATACTTAATGAGATAATCACGAAAAACTGGATTTAAAAATGGTTTTCAATAATTTTACTTATTGTCCAGGTTGAAGCACAATTCCAACTATCACTAATTGTTGCTAGCAATTCTAAAAACATTTCCTGAAATTTTTAGCCATGCTGAAAAATCCTTATTTCACTTCTGAAATGACTAGACTGGGATAAAAATAAAAGAAAAGCCCATAGTAATAAAAACCACCCATTATTTACCATGCATTGCAAAATAGGTTTCCCATTAACCAGCAAATGGAATCCATTTTCATCATGTTCATCAAGATAATGAATTTGCGCATACACAAGATACAATCCAGTTTCATGAACAGTTAATTTTCCATCTCTAGATAATGAAAAATGACGTTCCATTTGAAAATCATCCATCCAATCACTTGATCTCCAAGCTTTAAACACTCCTTCATTGTGTCGTGCTCTACCATTGCCAGTGTGCTCATCGTCTTCACTAAAAAGACTACTGTCTGCTCCGTAATGCGCAGCAAATATTTGTCGAGACATACGTAAATGTCTTTTTGCTAATCCTCGAGTGTTAGCTAGTTTTTTTGCATCATCTGGCGCCTGAAATCCAAGAATAAATAAAATAGAGATATTTTTTGATTTTGGATTATTTTTTATCACCTTACCTTTCGATAAACACGTTCCTTTTTAGCTTTTTTAATAGCAAAATATTTTTTATCATCATGAATCAGTGATTTTCTTCCCTTTTTCATCATCTCCATTCCAACATGACTTAGGTTTTGACCTAAATTTATCTCCGTGTTATTTATTCTGCTGTAAATAAATCGTTTATGTCTTTGGCCATCATCCACAGCTTCTAGAGTTTTATTTTGATTCTCATGAAAACTTTTTCGTAACTCATCAGCTTTTTTTATCTCTAAATCTCTAATAGCTTCTAATATTTTCTGCAAATCTTCATCTTCAACTTGTGGACTTGGTGTTGATGAACCTTTCGATTTATAATCATCGTAATCATCATCATCATCATCATCAAGATCTTGACTAGAATCATCATCATCATCATCATCATCATCATCATCATCATCAGTATCATCGTACCACTGGAAGATGAAAAAATAAAAATTTTTAAATTTCACAATTCTTGGAAAATATTTCTATGTGTTAATTTAATTAATAGGGATAAATCTCAAGGCTACATCTGATTTTTAAGATCAATCATACCGGCATCGCCCACGTTAATTAAACTTGATTAATTATTTCATAAACCTACTCTTAATCATGTCACTTTTTTCATCAAATCATTCCTTCAATGGTCTAATAAAAATACTATGAAATAAAAAGAATGATATTTATGTAAAAATATCACTCCAAAATGAGGCTTCAGAATTTTTGATAAACTACTTTAAAATACTATGTTTAGTATATTTAAAGTTTGATCAATCTTATAATTATTTACAACAATAAAATACTTTAGTGGTTGATAATAAATTGATGATAATTTTTCTAATTATTTTCAGTGAGTAATAATGATACTAGACAATGAGGTTTTTGGATTAGTTGGCTGATTGAATCAGTAAAAATGATGAAGGTTTATTTGAAAGTGATGGTCCGTAATGTCGTACATGTCGATATTTTGTTGATTATTTATCATCATCCAGTCTACCCTGAGCATGTACTCAAATAAGTCAATATATTTTTAAAATAAAAATAAAAGTAAACATGATTATTTCATCTCGACATGTAGATATTACTAGTGTTTAATTAACAGAATAGTTTACTGGCCATCAACTGTTCTTACTTATTCTATAGAATTGATATTATTTTTGTTTAAAGACCAGTGAGTGAGCTTTGATATGAGTTTGATAAGAATCGGATGAATTGAATTGTTCACTGATTCAATCAGCACAATTGACTGCGTCAATCACCAGATGTTTATTTCACTGATTCGACCAGTAGAACTCTACTAACTTCCATCGGCACACTTAATAATACTCCAATCAGTAAACATCCACTGAATATCACTTGACAATCACTTATTCATTCTCAAAGACTACAATATCCCCTCCAAAAAAAATTCAAACCTCATTTTGGAACCCATTTTAACCTTCAGACAATTACCAAAAAAGTATCAAACCTGATCTTCAAATGCCATCAACCTATCCAAAAAACTTTCATCATAAAACTGACGTCTGAGTGTCTCCAAGTCCTGTTTAATAATCTCAATATCTCTTCTATTATCCAACACTCTTGATAAATTAAATGTCTCAAATATCACACAAATGCATACTAAAATAATGATAAATACATTCAACATAACATTCTTGTTTATTCGTATACAAATATGATTCTTATTAAATCCCTGCTCGATATCTGAAATACTCAAGTTCTCACGAGAACAGTTCAAAAACAATCTTCTTTCTTCACGTGAATTTGACTTCTCCAATTGTCTTTCTTTACTTTTAACACCAGAATTTGAATCCATTTCTCCTCTCGCTGACACCGACATTGTCCCAATTATCTCCAAAACTCTTCAACAAATTATAACCTCCAATTCTAATTATATTTCTTCACAAAAAACTCCAATTCCTCTTGCAATTTCTTCACCCCAAGTGATTGGAAAATCCCGGCGCCATTTTTCCACATTTTTTTTAGGTTCTCCAAACTCAATGTTGATATCAAATTAACTATAAAATATTAATTAAAAATAATTCCAATAATAAATGACTCAACAATAGTGTGTTTTATTTATAAAAAAATAAACTTGCTTCTTAGACCGATGAATTTTGACGACTGTCGAGTCCAAGAGATGAGTCAAATCTTAACGAGACTCTTCTCCCCATCATTTAGAGAGCGACACTAGCGCCATAATTTTTTTTTTTTATTATTCTTCTTTTCTTTGCTCTACATCAAGATATCACAGCAAATTATCTCGTTAAGCTTCAAATGTACAAGAAATTCATTTATTATTATTTGTTTAAATTATTAACCTCTAAAGGAGGTTATGATGATAAGCTGACAAATGCTTTAAAGAATCTTTTCAACAATTAATCATCATTTTATTTATTATTTTCAGAACATCAACTATCAAGGTGAAGATATAATAACAATGATCATAAAAGGAAGTAGTGGTTTAGTTGGAAATGTTAAATGATAAAAATTCAGATTAATAAGAATGAATTTAAAGCTGATTGTAAAGAGTAATTATGAAGAATAGTAATACTATTTAATTCTTATTAGATTAAGAAAGAGAAATAGGAAGATGATAAAAGTGTATAAAAGAAATTTAGTTGGAGATGATGACGTAATGTTGATAAAAGTCATAAACTTCCTAGAAGATATTGTACTTCGCCCACAGTTAATATCTACGAATGTATATGAGATTCCAGTGCGGTCATTTATTCCTTCTTTTCTGTTATTATTTTCTTTGTAGTGTGTTTCGAGTGTTATAATTATAACTGTACGAATAAACGTGTACTTCAATATGTGTATATATAACCAGTATTAGCGAGAATGGATGGAATGGAGGTACAGATGAATGACCTCTAAATGTTTTTAATATAAATCACAGACTTTAAATAAATATTATTGCTGATTATCAATTGGTTTAATGATTTCATGATTAATTATGATGATAGGTTTAATGTTCTGATGGAGTAATAGTTGATATTTATGTTTTATCAACTCATTAAAGCTTGAAGAAAAAAATGTGATGTCATTTGGAAATAATTTTTTGATAGTCTTTATCAATAATAAACAATCATTCCTTTTTTCACCTTTTTTTTAAGGAATGGATTTCTTAATAATCAATTGGGTGAATAATTAGGTTACTAATAAGCTCTTTAAACTGAGTAATATTGACTATTTAGATAATTGTCTGAAGGTTAAAATGGGTTCCAAAATGAGGTTTGAATTTTTTTTGGAGGGGATATTGTAGTCTTTGAGAATGAATAAGTGATTGTCAAGTGATATTCAGTGGATGTTTACTGATTGGAGTATTATTAAGTGTGCCGATGGAAGTTAGTAGAGTTCTACTGGTCGAATCAGTGAAATAAACATCTGGTGATTGACGCAGTCAATTGTGCTGATTGAATCAGTGAACAATTCAATTCATCCGATTCTTATCAAACTCATATCAAAGCTCACTCACTGGTCTTTAAACAAAAATAATATCAATTCTATAGAATAAGTAAGAACAGTTGATGGCCAGTAAACTATTCTGTTAATTAAACACTAGTAATATCTACATGTCGAGATGAAATAATCATGTTTACTTTTATTTTTATTTTAAAAATATATTGACTTATTTGAGTACATGCTCAGGGTAGACTGGATGATGATAAATAATCAACAAAATATCGACATGTACGACATTACGGACCATCACTTTCAAATAAACCTTCATCATTTTTACTGATTCAATCAGCCAACTAATCCAAAAACCTCATTGTCTAGTATCATTATTACTCACTGAAAATAATTAGAAAAATTATCATCAATTTATTATCAACCACTAAAGTATTTCATTTGACAGTGTAACAGTTTTCTCGAAAACCATTCTATCAAAAATCAAAAATAAAATGCTAAAAATGTACATAGGAATTTACAGGGACGTTTTCGTACTCTGACTCGGTATCCAAAATATTCTTTTGTCCAACTTTTGAAGCTCGTTGACTTCATTATTACTCTATGCATACTGCAATTTGCTCCACATCGACACAATTGCATTTACAATCTATTAAAATTATCACACCACAGTCTCCTTTTCAATAAGCCTTCAGGTCACAACCATTTATATATATACATTTTAAAATGTATTTTTTTTCTCTCCTCTTACCTAGAAAATGGGTACATGACCTTGAAAACAAGTTTTGCAGGTTAGATATAAAACATTGAATACAAATAAATCATTAGATCGAAGTTAAGAATTATTTTAATCAATTAAATCAACAATTATAACCTCAATTTAATCCTTCGTTGTCTGTTTTTTACTTCAAGATGTCTAAAATTACCAAAGTAGCTGCACAAACAGATTCCATAGCATCTGCATCTGTTGGAGATGTGAAGAAAAGCAAAAAAAAATATATTGAGCTGAGATCTAGGGACTTGATGGTAGGGAGTTGGCAGTTGAAACTTGAGGGGACACAGGTCGTTTGCGTTTTCTTCTTTGTAGTGAAGGTGGAATAGCTTTGGAGCAAACTTATATTCACTTTCATCGTAACTCATAGTACTCAATAGTATAATAGTAAACAATGGGCTTAGTTGTAGGCGTCACGACAAACTACGACTGACCGTTAAGTTTACTCTCAACCGGCATTTCGACAACACGCGTTCATTTTCTTTATTTTTATTTTTTGTTTTGTTTTAGTGGTGAATTTTATTTAAAATTCATTTGGCTCTGGACCAAAGCTATAATGATTTAGCACTACCATGTTGATCAGGTGAGTACACAGGTGGATAACCTTCTTTTTTTTTCATATTTTTATTCAAAATTATTACCAACATTGTTTTTTTATTTATTTTATTTTTTTTTGTTGGTAAAATGAATGTTTTATTTTTTGAGTACAAAGAATGTTGGACACTTTTGTGTTAATTTAATTTTGATAAATTGAAATAAATATATTTTTTTGATAATTATTATCAGTGAATAGAATAGTTGAAATGTTGTTTGTAGTAATTAATGTGAATGAACACACAATGGATAAGGAAAAAGATTAATCATCATTCATTGTCCAACAGAATTCTAATAAAATAAGTGTAATGTGATATATAAAAGTTAGCTTTCCTTGGTAATTAAAAATATATCCTACATTCTCTTTAGACCATGTCACACATTTTAGCATTAAAAAAAAAAAAAAACCGATTCATCAGTTTACATTTAATCATTGTTTAAAACACTCCTCACTCTTTAGACATCATTTAAATATAAATATTTCAATTGTTTCCAGGGCATTTGATTGGAGACTTGGACTTGTACTTAATTAAAGTTAAGATTTTTTTTTTTTTTTTTAATTTTTTATTGACCAATTGACGGGTTTATTTGATTTTAATTACAAGTAATAATGAAGGAATCAGTGATTAAAGATACGACAATTCGTATCAATGATACAGGAAGAGAAGAAATACCTGGAAAAGTATTTGAGTGCAATGTCAACATGAGTGTGTCATTATCAAATGCTAAGAGATCGAAAATTTATCAGAGAATTCAAACTGTATTATTTGTTTTTATTACAATTATTTTTTTTATTGTTTATGTACAAATTAAACGTGAAGTTCAGGTGCTTGAAGCTCAGGTAAGTTTTTTCATTTTAGAAATAAATATGGTAAAACATTTAATTGTTAGTCATTTTACTGTTATTAATTACAAAGTGAAAATTTTATGGTAATTTTTACTGGTCAATTTACAGTAAAATTTATTAAAAAATAAAATTATAAATTACTAGGATTTTTTTGGGGGAAAAAATAGCTAAAAAAAAACGTTATAAAAAGTACTGTTTTGGGTGGTAAAAATTACCAGAATATGAATTTTTACCACTTTTTTTTTGGTAATTTACATTTAAAGAAACCTGGTATTGTTAATTTTTTTTTTAAATAAATATAAGTAATTGTTTAAAAGTGTTTGATAAAATATTTCTATCAATGTTAATATAAATTTTAATTCCTTGCATTAATTAATTTAAATAAATACCATCTAAATTATAGTTTTTATTCTTAATTATTAACAATTGTTAAATTATTTGTAATTGTTAACCTTCGTGATTTCTATGAATTTTAATATAACGATTGAAAAACAGTTCAATAACGGTTGGATCCAAGCTAAATTCCAGTTATTTTAGAATTAAAAAACGATTAGATCAGAAAAATATTTAACTGCACATTATTTTAAATTTTGATCTATGTTTAACCTATCTTTTTTTTTGTTTTTAACAGCTAAATAATAATAATAATTAAAATATTTATTCAGATATAATTTGATCTTTTTAGATCTATTTATCTAGATATGGCGTCTAATAATCGAAATTTAATTAAATCTCAAAAATTCTCCAGTAAATTAACCACAATTATTTTCTATTATTTCTAATAAATAAATAATAATTTATTCAACACTACTATTATTTTCTAATAAAAATTAATATAAACAATCACAATAAATGTCTAAAAAATTATTAAACTTCTTTTTTTTTAATACTTAAATTAAAATTTGATCTTGAAGACCAATCACTATTTGTTTAACCTCACTTTTTTAACATTATTTACCACTTATTTTATTCCATCAATAATGAGTTCATTATTCTTTCAGATGCACTCAATGAATTCAAATATCGCCTTTCTAATGATTAAATACGACAGATTAAGTAAAAATATATATCGGATAAATTGGCAGCAAAGTTTGCTATCAAAGTCACAAGAAAACCCACCAGCAATCAATAATAATAATTATAATAATAATAATAATAATAATAATGACTTATTAAAAAATGATCTCAAAAAAGTCAACATATCAAAAGAAAACGTAATCGATCGACCAAAAGATCGATTTTCCACCGAAAAGAAATTAAATATGGCGGACGAACCAAAAAAGAGACTTACAAGGTCATTAGTAGCACAAAGTGGATATGAAGAGCTTAATAAGACTGACCCATTGAGGAATTTAATGAAACCATACGCAATAGATGAATTGGAAGATGACTTGACTGGTGAAATTCGTACAGGAAGAGCTCGAAGGGATGATGGACGAGGTAAAGGGCAGGGAGGAAAAAGCAAAAGGAGGCCTGATAAATGCAGTCGCAGGCGATTGGGTACACGTGGACCATTATTGTTGTATTAGTATGCCCGATTTGATTTTTTTCCATGCCGAGAGATATTGCTTTGTAGCTGAATCCTAAGCTCTATTTTAAATCCACCAATTATAGTTGGTTGAATAACATTTTATTATTTCTGCTTAATTTACTCCAAAATCAAACTTAACTATTTCATATTTTTAACATTCATTCATTCGTTCAATTAATTTATATTGCTTGGGAATAATACCTTTTTGAGTGTGTTTATTCTAAATAGTGATATCTTTTTTTTTAAACTTAGTTGTTGGTTCTAGGGCCTCTGGTTGCCACTTTTGTTGGAGCTGAGCCAGAACAGCATATTACTGATACAGGTGGGTAATTATATCTTTTATAATTATCTAATTAAAGTATTCCTATCATTAAAGCATAAATTTTGTCTTAAAAATAACCTTAAAAAAATTATATCAATCATTACTTGTCTTTTAATTTGTATTTATACTAAAAATAAATCAATACTTTCAAGTTATTCCAAAAGCACTAATAATTACTCCAAAAGTTTAAACCTTAGTTCATCTAGGATAGACATAGTTGTTGATTATCCTACTTTTATTATAAACAAATATTAATTAAACATTCTCTTAAAGGTAAATAAATAATATCTAGTATGTTTGATATCAAAAAAAAATAAAATAGCAGACTATTGCTGTTAAACTACTAGCTTGTCTCCCTTTTTTATTTATTATTAAGTTTATTCTTAAAAAAAAATCATCCTTGTCATGATAAAATATCCATTGAAATACTTTTAAAGTTAAATAAATGAAAAAAATTCCTAAAGAATCATTTTTGTGTAAATAAAATATTAATAATAACTATTTTGTTTAGTCTACGTTGGACCTTGGGTAAAAAGAAACGAATCTCGATACGGTTTCAATCGGTTCCATTTAGTAGAAGACCAACGTTCAATAGAAGTGACAGTTAATGGATTATTTATGGTATCAGTACAGGTAAAATAACAAATATTACTGTAAAATAATATTCTAACACATTAAATTATCATATAAACATATTTTTATTTGATATTATTTATCGAAAGTTTAACAAAATTAATTTATCAAAAAAATTCATGCTTTTTACATCATTTTATTTTTCAAGATCTTATTTTTGTCGCTTTTAAAAGTCTTTTATATTTTATTATTTTATATTTTAAAATAAATCTTTGATTTTTAGATTGTTTATTTTGGTAAACCAACACACTATTCATATTGGATTTTATTACGTTCAGAAGGCACATCATCTTCAAAACAAGTAGGAAAATGTGCAACAGCTTCAGCAAATTATGCGACAGAAGCATCTTGTTTTACTAGTGTTATTCTTCCATTGCGACGTGGTGATAGACTGCACATACAACAACAAGAACGTGACAGGTAATTTATTATAATTATAATAAATATTATATTTAAATAAATAATAATATTTTATATATTTTTTTTTTCAAGGCTTATTAATTTACGAGAAGGTCATAGTTTTGTACAATTGACACTACTTGATAATGATCAACAAAGAAAACGAATTTTTACTTGAAATAAAATAAAAGTAATATTTTTATAATTGTTACCATTTTCACTCAGTCAAGAATATCAATTAAAATGAAGTAATATTAAATACATATGAAAGGAGAGTGAATGATATAATACACTTCAGAGTAAAGCATTGTGATTACCTCATTTTTTTTTTTATAATTCAATAATATTTTATTTTCACTTATTCTCAATATTCAATTGCCGAAATAATTAATTTATTAGTACACTTCTATTATTTTTTATGTAAAAAAAAAAATAATCTTTTATACTTAATGCTGTTTAATTTGTTATTAAACAACCAGCGTAAGACTGCCATTTCGCGCATGATAGATAAATGTTATAATGTGTTTTTTTTTTTTTAATAACAAAAAACTTTTTTGTATTTTATAATGTACATTTTGTAAGGACAGAAAGAAATAATTTTGTATGTTTAAAACGAAAAAATTAGGATATTAAATAACAATTGTTTAAAAAAAAAAATATAACACAAATTTACAATCGTACTTGAAAAAAATTTTTTTTTTATATAAATAAAAATACTTTTTATAAAAAAACTAAAATAATTCTTTCTTTTTTTTTTATTTCATTTATATCCTTCAATTTTATTAATATTTATTTCTAACTTTGTTTAAAATGTATTTAATAATTATTTGAAAATATTAAAATAAACACTGGCATTACAACAATATGTTTATTTAAATTAATTATTTTTCTTTTTGAAAATAAGTAATTATAAAATTTTAATTATTTTTTAAATGTTTTTGAAAATATTTGAATTTTTTAAAATGCGATAAATTCTTGTTTAAATATAATAAATAAATGAATTTAAATGACATCTTGAGTTAGCATGTATTAATACTGTTTTAGTAATAAAAGTAATAAAAGGGAAACATTGAATAATTATTTATATTTGTAGTAATTTTTACCTTTTAATATCTTCAACCATCTTCAACGAAGTCAACCATCTGAGATGTTGATCATAAAAACCAGTCATGTGGTTTAAAATATTCAGTCTTCCAATGATGCGCCGAATAAATTTGTTTTACCCTAAGAAGAGAATACTGTATTAATAACATTCAATATCACCAAACATTTTATTATATATATATATATATATATATATATATATATAAAAAAAAAGAGAGAAGGTAAAAATAAAAAAACCTTTTTTCTTAAAACATATATAATAAATAAATCATAATAATTTCGCTAAAAAAACTGTTTAATATAAAAACAGTAATATTCAAAGTACTATCGATTTTTATCAACTTTTCTTTATTATTTATATATAATTGAATTATTTATTTTTATCAATAATAATCGATATTAATTCATATTATTTTCGATATTTGATTTTCACACTTGATAATAATAATTAAAAATTTTATAACTAATTCTTTTGGTTTACTTTCTATCCAACTAAACTAACTGTTTTAATTTAAATAATTAATCAATGATTAATAATCCTTTAATCAGTAACCTAAATTAATTATATTTATCCTTTATAACTTATTTTTAATAATAATATTTTGCCTTTCGACCTCACTAAAATTATTTATTAGTTTATTTATTATTTAAAACTTTTGATGCATTTATTAAAAGATAGTTTTTTTTGTCGATTTATTCTTCATTACTATGAGAATATAATTTTTTTTTTTTTATTTTATTTAATGGACTGATTATTACAATTCCTATCATTGTAATGGTTGCTTTTATTTAAAGCAGACTTTGGATTTTTAGTAAATTTATTTAACCGGAGAGCTCTAGATTTATTAATAATCGCTATTAATTAATTATTAACTTAATAATTAATGATGATTATTTTTTTTTTTTTAAATATTTGTGTATTTATTTATTTAATGTCTATTATTATTTAATTTTTTTCTAGAAATTTCACTTCCTTGTGATGGATCAATCATTTATAACAATTATAAAAAACGGAATAGTTATTTTTTTACTCACCTGACTCTTGAGCTGTTGTTTATTCAAGCATTTGGATCTTATTCTTATTCAGTTGTATCATCGTTTTGCATTAAAAATATCGCAGCATCAATTGACTCATTTCATTTTTAAATTTTGTATATTGTTATTTACCCAGTTTTTTTAATTTTTTTATTATTATTATTATTATTATTTGTATGTAAAAAAACTTATTTTCTGTTGTTTACTTTTCTAGTTAATTATTTATCGTTGGATAATATAGGTTGTATTCATTGGAATGAAATTAAAAAAATATTGGTGTAAATAATTGAAGTTTGAGTCAGTGAAAGCGTGAAATCGGGATTTTTTTGCATGGCTGAAAATTTCAGGACATGTTCTCAGGGTTACTAACAAGAAGTAATGATCATTTAACAGTGTTTCAATCTGAGGCAAAAAGTGAAATTTAGAAAAAAACTGTTGTTAAATCTTGTTTTTTTATACTTCCACTTTTTACCCCAACTTATAGTACTTTTTTAATTATTGCTAATTCTTAATATCAACCCTCGAAACAGTTCCTACAATTTTCAACTATATTGAAACAACCCCCTTTTCACAACTTTAGACTGAACTATCGCCCTTATACTAACGAGAAAAAAATATTTGTGTTTCTCTAGTGAATATAAAAAAAACTACTAGATTTTTATCGAAAAAATGAACGATTATTTTTTTTTATGTTTCTCTAATAATAATTCGTAGTTTAAAAAATAAAAAGACTTAATTATACTAAAAAAAATAAAAACATATCCATAATTTGTGAATATTAAAAAAAAAAAGATGAATATTTTATAATTTTTATAATTATTCAAATTATTTCTATTATTGAATCATTTTTTTATGTATATTTATATATTGTCCATTAGTCATTGCATTTTGATAGATTATATGATATAAATACCTACGTTCTATAGCACATATTGCTTAAATCTTGCCCCATAATTATTTCATTCATGATGCATTTATCGATGCCTGTTATATTTTTCGCTGCTTTCCTATAGAGAACTTTACTTTATTTCATTATTATATCAGAAATCATACGTTTGTTCAGATAATCATATCATTAATTATGTATTTTATCATACTTTTATTCAATCTAAAATTATGATAATATCAATCCATTATCAATTTTACATATGAAAAAATTCCACGTATTTTTTATCTTCCATTTTAAAATAAATAAAACGAACAAACAAACATATATATTCAAACAAATGGAAAATAATTAATTAATTTTATAAACAATTATTTCATTATTAAATTCAAATTTACAACTAATCTATTTAATGATAGTGTCATAATTAAAATTATAATTAATATGTTATTGTTTTTTTTTTACTTTAAAAACATTTAATTCAATTTTGTTTTTAAAAACCTTTAAATAAATAATTCACTAATAGTAATGAACAAAATTTTTAATAATTAATTTTGATCTCATGTTACAACGACTATTAATTAATTTAACATAAATTGTGAAATAATTATTATACTAAAAAGAAAACGAATTTCTCGAAATTAAATTTAAAAAAAGCATCAATTTAGTCAAATTTGCACATAATATAACCTTAAAATAACAAAATTGTTAAATTTATTAATTTTTTTTTTTACTAATTAATTATTATTATTATTATTATTATTCTGAGTATTATGACTATTTTAATTATTAAAACTAACAAATAAATAATCAATTAAGTTGATGGGTTTTGGGCCATAGCTCCTCCGGTCATTTATTCATTTTCTTATACATAAAAATAATTATTTTTGTTTTCTACTATTTTTTTTTTTATTATCATTTTTTGATAGGTTTTATTATTTAAATTATTATTATATGATATTATATAATATCTCAAGTAGTGTTGGTTGTTGTTGTTTTTTTTTCTATTGAAATAATTCCCTTTTTATTGATTAATATGTATAATTAATAAAACCTTGAATTAATCAATAATTTATTTTATATATATATATATATATATATATATATATTTGACAATGAAAATGAATTTTGAAATCCTAAATTATTATTTTATGGAATAAGATTATTATTCTTATTACATTAATTCATTTAATCGCTTAATCTTATCTATTATTTATTAATTTTAAACTATTTATCATTATTAATATTATTAACTATAATCACTTTAATAATTATTATTAACATTAATTAACCATTAATTTGTATAATTGAAATTAAGTTACATATTCAATTCTCAATGTTTATCTCATTCATATTTCATCATTAGTTGTTCAAACGCGTTATATCCTCATCACTCCTGATTATGATTTTTCATGTTATAGTTGTTATTTTTATTTTTATTATAATCTTGAATTACTTATTTATTTTTTTTCTCTGTTTCTCTCGCATTTCTTTTTGTTTATATTCAATAAAAATGCCTGTCGACAGATTGGTACTCACCATAATCTGGTTTTCCATAGCCACCGTCTTGTGTCGCATAATCTGTAACAAAAACAAAATAAATAAAATTTATTTAATTATTATTATTTAATATATAAAGATAATGAAATTTGTTATTTTTAATCTAAAAGTGTAGTGAAATAATGTAATTAAAATGTCTTTTTGTTAAGTTAATATCCTTACGCAAATATATAGAGTACAAAAAGGGCTTACAATTACGGCAGCGCATGCGCAGAGAAGTGATATTAAAGATAGGTTGTGCGCATGCGTAGCCGCAATTGTTAGCCCTTTTTTTGTTCTAATTGATTATATGAAGGTTTTCAAAAGGTTATAAACGAATTATAAAGACTTTTAAATATGTTCAACACACTTATGAGTTTTGTTTACGAATGTTTACTGTAACACACATAACTTAAATGAGAATTAAAAGTATGTTTGAAATATTTTTTGATAAAATCACGTACGTTATTAATATTTTCAATTAAAATTACACACTTTCTGAAAAATAATATTAATATTTGTTGTAAATGTACGAAAATTTGATATTAATATCAATTTATGTGCATTATAATTTATAAACTTTATGAAATGTAACTTCTCGATGTGTGCTTAATTTTAGTAGTGTCTTATTTTCGATGATAAATATTAATTATTCAATTCCAAGAATCAGACGAGAAAAGCAATTTTAAATATCCACGTTGATTCGATTAACACATTAATATTAAAGAATTTTCAGATAATTGATTTTAATGCAAAACAAAATGGAGATTGTGAACAATTATTTTTTTAGAAGGCAGTGCTCTTTTGTGGTTTGGCGGTGATTTTTTTTTAATGGAAATAATTTTCTCGTCTGACTCGACTAAACAACAATAAAATATTTTTTTTTTTTCGTGAAAAGAAAAAATTTTTTCGATATTTTATTACGTTTGCTCATTGAATTCCTAAATATGGTATCATCACAAATATTGTTCGTTTTTCTTAAAAATAGTCCGAAGACTCAACTAACCATAATCGTGCGCTGAATAATCGCCCCTGACCGTCATGCCGCTGTTATTACAGGATTGCTCGTCGTAAGGATTAGCAGGAGGATAATTTCCACCACCATCACCATCACCACCACCCACGGAAGGAGCAACTGCCTCCTGCTGGTAATTAACTGCGCACCCGTCATAGAAATTTATTTTATTACTTTTTGTTTTATCACTTTATCAACTTATCAACGTTTACAATCGATTTTTGACTTCAGAAAAATTTTAAATTTTTTCTCAGAGGTCAAAGGATCAAGGTAAATGTTTCAGTTTTGCTACACTTATTTTATCACAACGATTTTTTTTTTGGTTTTCATTATTACACAATAACTAATTCATTTACCTTAATGGAACAGTTGTTATTTTAATCATAACTCAAAAAAAAATCTTAAAATAAATAATCAATTCACTTTTGTTTAATATAAAACCCTGCAAACTTAAATGTGTTTAAATAAAACACACTAAGGTGCATTGTTTTAATATAAAACATCATAAACAAACTATAGATTCATTGAATAGTTTGGTTATGGCAGTTTTGATGAACAAAATATGGCGAAGTCAGCCATTTTTAAGCCACACTTGTGTACAGTTTAATCCAATCAGCCATGTTTCAACATCAATCATGACCTGATTGACCTAATTTATTTTTAGCTTTATAAGATTTAAAATTCAATGTATTTGTATGTTTATAATTAATTACTACACACAATAAACTTTATAATGAATTCATTGAAATAGAAAATATGTTAAAAAAACTTCTGTTCCATTAATTTTGAATTTATTGATTGTTTTATTCCATCAACAAACCTTGTGGTGTCTTTCCGTAACTGTAAGGATCTCCTGAACTGAACCCACCAGCGGTGGCTGCTGGGGGAACACCGCCATATCGATTATCTGGCGGGACTTGAGCAGAATATCCCTGTAAAAATCATTATTATTAATTATTATTGATTTAAAATAAAATAAAATAAATGAGAATTAAACTATATAATTATATTTCAAGTATAAAATGTAACCTAATATTAATTTAATCATGTGCGACATAAAAATGAAATTGATAATAACTATGACTTTTATAATTAATTAATATTATAATATTAATTATTATTATTATTTATCAGAATTAATTAATATCAAAAGTTTAATCTCAAGAATAAGACATGAATGAATTTTACAATTTTTTGTTGAAGTTCAATTAAATGTTTACACATATTTATCTATACTTCTTGAACATAATTAATACAATTAAAGTCTAATTATGATTTATATGTTTGAATTAATTCGATGAAATTACATTAAAAATACGAAATATAAGCGAATATACAGCGATATATAAATAGTCCAATTTTTGAAAAATAATCTCGAAGATTTATTTTCAACAAAACAAACTAAAACCTAAATTCAAAGTTCTCTGTTTGTATGATAAAATATTTTCTGACATAAATGTAAAATATTACTCTATTTAACAATCTATTTTTAAATTTTATTCTTTCTTTCAAACATGCACTTATGTAGTAACGTTATATTTAAAACCTTTTGTTATTTAGATCAAGTAATCGATCTGCCATTTCTACATATTTATTACACTTTTATTTTCATTTAGAAAATACGAAATGATTTTCCTAGGATTGTTAATAATAACTGTGTTTATATGATTAATAAATATCTTAAACAAATCTTAAGTGTTATTATTTATCAACTTCAATAATTGGTAACCATGAACACCTACAAAAAATCAAAATTAAAAAACAAATCCTAGCAAAGTGGATACTTGACTGTAATATTGGTAATCTTACCTCATAATCAACTAAACATCATCAATAAAAATGAAATGATTAAAGGAAGATTAATAAAGATGAATACTAACCGTCGACTGTGAATAATCGGAAGACGTAGGATAGCTTTCATAACCCTGATAAGATTGTTGATATCCTCCTTGAGGAGGACCATATCCAGCAGCTCCGGCAGCTGGCCCGCCATAACTACCAACTGGAGCTTGTGGTTGTTGGCCACCGTATCCATTACCTGGGCCATAACCTGTGTTTGGTGGTTGTGATGCATATCCATTAGCTGGAACTGACGACGTCATGTCGTATCTGGGTCGTTTGGGGGGTCCACCGCCGGCCCCCGGAACTCCGCCGCGTTTGACTGGAGCTCCTCTGCCTCGGTCCATTCCTCGACCTCGTTCCCCAAACCCCGGCCCATTTGATCCACGACCCATTCCTCCACGTGGTGGTCCATCACGTGCGAATGATCCACGACCTCTTCTATCACCTCCTCGACCTCGGAATCCTCCTCTGCCTTCACCTCTACCAAAATCTCCACGCCCTCGACCTCTAAATCCACCACCTGGAGCACCTCTGCTTCCTCCTCGTGGCGGTCCCATACCAGGAGGCGGTGGTGGACCACCACCTGGACCTCCAGATAAACCTGAATCTGGTGGGCCTCTGTGGAATATTAATTTATTGGTAATTATGGTAGGAAGAGAAGTTTAGTTAGCATAGTTGAGTTTGAAGCATGATTGAAAATTGTTGGAAATGTGTTAGGAATGATAATAACAATTAGTAATAATTAATGAAATGTTCTAACCTTCAGCAAGGGCTAACATTATTGAAAAAACTATTGTTCAATCTAGTTTTTAATCATTATCTCGTAAACTATAATCGATACGAAAAAATGTTTGAAACAAGAATTAAAGATCTTTTAATTTTATACAAAAAAAGTCCTCACACTTTAGCCCCTATCTCCAATAGTTTAGCTATAAAATGACAATATAAATGAAAAAGAGGTTAAAAATGGATTAATGTGATTTTTATTGTTATTTCTTAATTAAACTATGGGAGATAGAGGTTTAACCCTCAGGACCTTTTTTATATAAAATTAAAAAATCTTTACTTTTTGTTGGAAACTTTTCCCCCCATTTTTCATACTTTACGAGATATTCGCAAAAAATTAATTTAACCTATTTTTTTGGCCGATTCCAACCCTTCCCTAAAATTGGAGCACTATTTTAATTATTACTTGTAATTATTAATAACTCCAAAAATATTTTCCATCCTTTTCAGGCATGCTGAAAAATCCTAATTGCACTGTTTCGCTGACTAGACTATCATATTCTTTAAAATTCTACTGATCTTTATAACCTTCACATTATATCATGCCATAACTGACTGTAAATAACATATCTTAATTATTTTTATATTATTAAAAAGTGTTAAATCATATATATTGAAGAAAAAACATTTTTAATTTTGTCTATAGGTTATGACATCCTTTAATTCTAACTTATGATAAAAAAAAAGGTTAATTTTCGATACTAAACTTTTTTTTTATCATCTTTACATTTTTCTAATAATAAAATAAATTAATATTAAATTTTTTATTACAAAATTAGGTTTTTTTTGTTCTTTTATCGAAATTACAAAGTAGTTTTCTAAATAACCTATTGAATAATTGATCGTAGAAACGTTAAAAAATCATTAAATAATTCTTACCCTGGATAATGTCCTCCTCTTCCACCTCTTGGGGGTCCTCCACGACCTCTCATACCAGGAGGTCCCCTCGAAGGTCCAGGTCCTCCACCACGACCCCGAGACATACCTCCTCTTGGTGGTCCACCTCTGAAAAATTTCCAACATCAATAAAACTCTTGACTACTTTTAAAAATAACTAAACCTAATTATTCTTTTTCTCGCTAGAAATAATACTTTTTCATAAATATATATATTTATTGTCATAATTATTACCTTCCACGCTCTGAAAAACCTCCACGGCCTCTAGAAGGTCCACCTCGCCCCCTAAAACCACCTCTTGCTGGAGTTCCACTTTCCATTATGCAAATTTAAACTGAAAATAATTCACCAATAAATTATTAACTGAAGATAATGATTTTTTCAAATTAATTACACAATAAAAGCTCAAGCGTCGTTAAATATCTGATTGTTTACATAATTTTAATAATAAAATTCACTTTAATATCAATACTTTCATTTAACTTACAAATTGCCACAGAAAGTAACTATTTTTTTGGTTGAAACTCACTTATTATTAAATAGAGTTTATAAACAACGCTTGGTTTGGGTAGGAAACCAATTTTTTTTCATCAATTTCACTACCTTACACCAAACAATGCCAAACAAGATAAAATGGACGCCGGCTGCCAAAGGAAATCGCATCATCGATCGCATCCATCTTGTGCGCATGTGTACTCCACCTAGTGGCGGCGCCACCACTCAAGGCCACTTCATGCAAACCGGCATCGCATTAGTCAAAATGGCGTCTATTTTCTCGTTGTCACAACAGTTTTCTTATGTTCATTATTACCACTAAAAATTAAAACGATTAAATAAAAATAAACAGTTAATTATTTATTCACCAAAACACTACATAATATTAAGTAAAAAATAATAAATACTAGCCATTAGTTATCAAACGGTTGAATTTAACCTTAATTTGACTTTAGTTCCGGGATCAAAGTAAGCTTGAGATTGGTTGGGGAATGTGATTTCAAATATTTGTGTCCGTTACCAAACATTCGTTTACGAGCAACCGGCGACAGTAGAAGTTGTTGGATGCGTTGGAAATTCAATTGATAAATATATTTAATAGTTTTAATTTTTTTTATGTTTTATTTATTAGTTTTAATTATTAACTCTTGCTCATAAGTGCTGGTTCACTATGTCTAAGGAGGAAGCAGAAACACTTATCCCAACTGTGATACACGATGATAATACAGGAAAAAGTTACATCAAAGGTCGTTTCTTTGGAAAGGTATGCACACACAACCCTCAATTATACTTATCTTTCGTTGTATACATTGAATAAATATTTTGATGTGTTACAAATATATGATATTTAAATCAAAGTTTTATAAAACATTATTTTTATTTTTTAATATAGGGCGGCTTTGCTAAATGCTATGAACTTAAAGATGTCAAGACACAAAAAATATACGCTGGAAAAATAGTCCCAAGGACATCATTGGTCAAAACCAGCCAGCGAGAAAAAATGTCCCAGGAAATTGAAATACATCGGAGTCTAGATCACCCAAATGTTGTTGGCTTTTATGGATATTTTAATGATACTTATAATATTTATATCATTTTGGAGTTATGTCGTAAAAGAGTAAGTATAAATAATCAACACTTTATTTATTTTGCCATTTTTTTGTTGGTTAAATTCTTTATCAATAAACTTTGATTATTTAATAAAAATGAAGACTTAAATACAAACTTTTTTAACAAATAATCACTATTTTCTGAAGGAAATTCATAGTTTAAGTTTAATATAAATAGTTTAATTAATGTTTAAAATTAATTTTTGTAATAGAAAATAATCTTGACAATTAAACGAAACATTTCTTTAATTCAACCAATAACTAACATCAAGTTTCTCTATAAAATGATTTAATTATTTTATTACTTTATTTTAAAAAGACATTAACAGACAAATAGATGGATAAATTATTTAAATCATCAACAAATAAAATTCATAATCATTTTTATTTTATTGTAAGCTCACGTATAGTTTATTACAATTACATTTAACATTTTTTTATTTAAACCAAGACTACTCCTTTATATCTTACATATTATTTTACTTAGTGTGATTTTTTCATTTTTAAATTGATGTTTACTAATTAAAAAAGACTCTGAAACTCTTTGAATGTAAATTTATTTTGTTTATATAATCACTTTGTATTTATTTATTTATTACTTCATCATGGTATTTATTTACAACTGTATTTAATTTTATTTTTTATAATTAACTTTTATTTAATAAATATTAATTGATTATTTATATTTTCAGTCAATGATGGAATTACATAAACGCAGAAAAGCCTTGACAGAATGGGAAACTCGTTACTTTATGAAGCAAATTCTCGATGGTGTTAATTATCTGCATAATAAAAAAATAATCCACCGTGATTTAAAACTGGGTAATTTATTTCTCAATGATGATCTAATAGTTAAAATTGGTGATTTCGGACTTGCAACCCAAGTATCACATGATGGTGAACGTAAAAAAACCCTTTGTGGTACTCCTAATTACATAGCACCAGAAATTTTGATGAAAGTTGGTCATTCATTTGAAGTTGATGTCTGGAGCATTGGATGTATATTGTATACCTTACTTGTTGGAAGACCACCATTTGAAACATCTAGTTTACGTGAGACTTATGCAAGAATTAAAACAGTCAACTATAAAACTCCAACGCAATTAAGTAGCGATGCTGTAGTTATGATAACAGAATCTCTTCAGGCACTTCCATCAAAACGTCCTAGTGTTGCTAAGCTACTTAAATATCCATTCCTAACATCTGGATATCTTCCTAAAAGTCTTCCGTTGTCTTGCTTGACTACTGCACCTCGTATGGACACTCTGCAGAACTTTAATCGAAAACCTTTGATTGAACTTCAAACAGGAAAACTTATACCTGCTCCAACTAGTCCAGCATCTAAAGCACCCAAAGAGTCTGAGATCATGGTTTATCATACTTCTGAGAAGGATGTGAAAAAGATGTTGATAACTTTGTATGAACAAATTACTCAGGTATTGAAATCAAGACCTGGACGAATTAAATCAACTACTAGTGAAGATGATTTTGTTGAAAATACTGATCCATCAGCACAACCACTTGTTTGGATTAGTAAATGGGTTGATTATTCAGATAAATACGGCTTTGGGTATCAATTGTGTGATGATAGTGTTGGAGTTATGTTTAATGATGGCACAAGACTTATCATGTTTGCTAATAAGCATAATGTTCATTATATTTCACGTGATCTTACTGAAACTTATTATACTGTCAATGATTATCCATCGACTCTCGAGAAAAAAATGAAATTGATGAACTTTTTCTTGCAATATATGAATGAACATTTGATGAAAGCTGGCGGGTCTGTGGCTGTTAAAAATACTGACTCAATGTCTAGGATCCCGTATGTTCATCAATGGTTTAGGACACAGACTGCTGTTGTTATGCAATTGAATAATGGATCTGTTCAGGTGAGATTTTTTTTTCTAATACTTATTTTTTTTTTAATTATCTAAATATTTATGATTATTCCTGAAAATCAATTTTATTTATTTAGATGTAAATATAATTTTTTTAATCATTAAGACTTGGATTTTTTATAAGTTGTTGTTAATAATTATTTTAAAGAATTAGTTTTATTTATTATTTTTATTTTTATTTAAAATTATTGGACGTTATTGAATCTTATACTTATTTTAGCATTCATTAATCGATATTATTTCAAAAAAATTTTATTTATTAAGCAATATTTTTATTAAATAATTTTACTATTATCTTTAATTAATTGAAAACTTTAATTCATTTATTTAAATAATTTCTATTTCATTAAACAAATTAATAAGGCATTGACTTGTCTATTCATTATTATTCTTAATTATTAATCATTATTCGAAAACTTGGATTTATTTTTAAAATCAATTTTTTTTCTTAAGAATAATCAAGATATTAGATTAATTATTATTCTTCTTTAACAAATTAGCAAATATTTAAAAAAAATAAATATTACTGATTTCAATATTTTATTTTATTTAAAACAAAACAATTGACACAGATAATATTTTTTGCCTATTGTCAATAATTATAAAAAAAATTAATTTGATTAATTTTAATATATTTTTTGTTATATAAAATTATTAAGATGTTATTTATTGTTGATAATCATTTAAAAAATTTGTTTTAACTATTTAAAATCATCCTTTTGTTGTCAATAATTATGAAAACATAATAATAATCACTATTTAATATGAATAATTATTTAAAATAATAAATTATCTTTCTTTCTTTCAGATCAACTTTTTAGATCACACAAAAATAATAATGTGTCCATTGATGGCTGCTGTTACTTATATCGACGTTGAACGGAATTTCCTTACATACAAATTTGAATCAATTCAACAGAATGGATGTCCTTTTGGTCTTGAAAAGAATTTGGAATATGCACATGAGAAGATGAAATTAATGATTCAAGATTCAGAACCGGATGAATGAATAGTGTAAGTCAATAGTAAATTATTTATCAAAATTAATAAAAAAAAAAATATTAAAAAAAAAAAATGAAAAAGATATTTTTGTAAAACAAAAAAAAAAAAATTAATAAAAAAGAATGTTAAAAATGTTGAATAAGAAGAATGTTAAAGAAATGAATGAGAAAATGGCATTCTATAACTTTTTGTTAATACAGTAGAATCTCTTCAAAGTCCAATTTCATCAAATTCTTAATTATAATAAACTCGGTTTCATATTTATTTAAAAATTTTCTATCATAAAATTGATTAAACTCTCGAAAATCTTGAAGTGCCTTAAATTGTTGGACATTTGAGAGATTCTATTGTAGTTGTATGTTTCAATATAGTATTATAATGTGTAATATACGTCAGTTCTAATCATTTAGACTTACTTTTTAACTAATAAATTAATTTAAAGTATTAAATAATATGAATGTAAAAATGTTGAATAATATTTTAGAAAACTTACGAAAATATTTTTTTTTTCCTATCGTTGTTAAAAGTTAACTTTTTTTCACAGTTTTTAGGTGAGAAAACTGACGTTTTGTTCCCTTCAAAAGAGTGTAGACTAGCACGTCTTCGTTTGAGAGAAAAAGATCGTCAGCTCTTTAATTTGTAAATTGCAAAAAAAATTAACTTTTAGTGACGATATGATGAAAATTAGTATGTTGACTATGCAAACAAAATACAACTTCTTTGAGAGAATGTGTGATTTTTTAAGTTCATAACAATAAATTATGTATTTACTACATTTAACAGACAATTATATTTATAGGAATCAAGACAATAAGTTATGAAAAACAAATAGAAAATATTTAAATTACAATATTGTATTAAAAATTAAAAATGTATATAAATTTAAGATAAGTCATCAATATTGTTGTAATTATTAATCTAATGATATTTTTGCATTTTTATATTGAAATAAACAAATGCGATTCTTAGAATTTTAAAGGAAATAAATAGATATTATAATCAAATAAAAGTGTTATGTAATTAATTCAATAAAATTAATATCCTATTGGTCTTATTGGAAGTTTTTGAATGATGACAGTAAGTCAATAATATTTTATAAATCTCACGTATGAGTTGGAAGAACCATCTCATGGAGAATACTCTCCATGAACCATCTCAATCACAACGTACTTCACGTATAAATTGTTGCTGTCTTATTCTTTTTTTCATACCTGTATTATTATTATCTATCAATGTCCCTAGTCTGGCTTTGCTGTGAGGCCTATGTAAATGTTTAAATAAATAAATAAATAATGCAACTATAGACGAAAAAAAAATACTCTGAGCCATCTAGAAATCATTTATATAATGAGAGGCTTGATTAGGGTTGCCATCCATCCGGGTTCTCTAGGACATGTCTTCTTTTTTTTACTTGGGAGCGGGGGAGGATGGGGTTGTCTGGGATAGAATCAATATTTAATTTTAATAATTGTGTAATAAAGATTTATATAAATTTTAAAATATTTAGTAAAAAATTTCAAGTCTGATCGGTCCTGATTTTTGATGAGATAAATCCTTGTTTTGTCCTGGATTTTTACCGCTTCAATCCGGGGTTTCAAAAATTTGAGATAGCAACCCTAGGATTGATGGATGCGTTTTAAAATTTTAGATGAAGTCATGGAGAATATAATTATATTCTCCATGGATGAAGTCTATTACGAAGCATCACCCGATTTACCCTTTCATCCCACCATTACATAGAGAATGTAATCTCTCAATTTTAATGCTCCACCTTATATGCCTTCTCTTTTTTTTTATTCTGACAATTCTAGAGTCCTTTAAGTTTTTATGGGAATTTACAATTAGACAAGACTCGAGCAATATGGCGTCGTCTTGCCAGACTTTGTCTTACACTCTAGACACTTCCTGTTGCCCAGTCAGTGTGGTCTCCTTATTATATTCTCCATGCATTCCATTTTATGGTACCCGCCTGATGAGGGTTCCAACCACCGATTCTGAAACAAGAACTAAAATGCATTCAGATTTTTACTTAGTTTTCAAAAGGGTCGTTTCAGGACCAGATGACATTTTTTCTGCAATATCATAGAAAATAGACCTGCATAGAAGTTCAATGCTGTGTTCTGTATAGGGATTACCCCAGGCCACCCCAACCGTCATAACCTCCTACCTGGCTTCATAAGAATACATACTAAATTTTTGGAACACATCGGCCCATTTGAAAGAAACTTCTATTCACGTCTCTCTTCCCTGGCAACACATTATCCGTATAAAATGGGCCCTTCGGCTTTCTCTTATTTCATGCCCAGATGGCGGCACTTAACGCACTTCCGGAGTAGATTCTTTCAGTCGTTTACTGTCGTTTTCTGTCGCAACAGTCTTTCATATCGGTCGTCACAAAAAAATTTGTTAAAATTGTTTTATTCAACAAAATAACTATTAAAAACCGTGAAAAATTACAAGTATTTATTGAAAATTTATTCACTATCAATATTTACTTAAAAGTGATAAACAGTGAGTGATTTTGATATATCGTTTTATTGCTACGGAGTAAGGTAACGCTTCAAGATAACCTAAAAGTCACGTGACCGTGAAGTGATAGAAGAAACAACAATTATTAGACATTACGAGCTATATTTTGAATATTGTAAGCAATAAAGTAGTTCATTCGCGTATCATGGATTCCAATACTCACAATCTAATCTTCTGTGCTATCAAGAATGGCAACCCCGAAGGAGTATCGGTACTCCGAGAAAAAGGAGTCCTTGTTGGAGAAAATCTTGGATTATTTTTGTTGGATACCATTGAAAAAAATGATCTCGTCACACTGAAAATGCTAATTGATCACGGATTAACATATAAAGGAACCATTGATTTCAAAATTCTTCTTCAGGCTGTTATAAATCAAGGGAATCCATTAATGATAAAAGAAATTCTACCTCACTGTGGATTTTCAAAGCCATCAGAACTATATATTCCTAAAAAGCTTGTAATTGAAACTTATGCACAATATAAAGATTGTGTCAAGTTGTTGCTAAAGTGGAATTTTACTGTCGATCCAGAAAGTCATCACGACGAAGAATTCGTTTTTAAAACTGTTGAAAAAGGTTATGTACCAATTTTTCTCGAATTATTAAGATTGGGAGTTGACATTAATATGACAAATTCACGAACCGGAATAAATTTGCTTCTCATAGCTTGTTTAAAAAAACATTATGAGATTATTAATATTCTACTCCAACGTAAAGCAGATTTAAGTAAAAAAGTATTTTGTGGTTATGTACTTAAGCACAGTCTACGTGTACGTGATAATTCATATATTTATAATAAATTGTTTAAATTATCTAGTCATCGTAGTTTGAGTTACATGACATGCCTACACATTGCTATTTTTAATGATGATATATTGATGATTAATATGTTATTAAATCACGATATCACAACAAACATCGACAGTGTAGGATTGTTTAGGTTAACTTGTTATGCTGTACATAATAATCGTGAACAAATTGTTCGAACACTTTTAAACCGTGGTGTTACTGCAGCTGATATTAATCCAAATGGGAAAACTTTCTTGAATTTATCTCTTAAAAATGATCTTCAACCTCATCACAACGACCTCAGATATAACATTGTTAAGATTCTTCTCGAAAAAGGAGCAACCCCCAATCTCCAGATTCCAAGGAATAGATTTGTTTTTGATGCAGTAAAAAATGGACATTATAAAATAGCTAAACTGTTCCTAGATAATCGTGCAGACATTCAATATGTCAATTCACGTCGTGAAACATTATTCCATAAAGTCGTAGAAAATGATTTTGATATAGCATTTATTAAAATATTGCTGAAACGTGATGTGCAAGTTAATGTTAAAAACTATAAGGGACTCACACCACTCATGATTGCCTGTAAAAAGCAATCGAAAAATCAATTGGATATTGTTAGAATACTGTTGAATTTTAATGATGATATCAATTGTACTGATAATGAATCAAAATCCCTTATACATATGGCATGTAATGATCAAAATCCAGATCTTGTCTCCATTCTGCTAGAAAGGGGAGCCAATCCTAATGTTGTTGATCGGGAAAATGAAACACCTCTTCATTATGCTTGCTATCACAACAGTGTTGCATCACAAAAAGTAATTCAGTTACTGTTGGATCATGGAGCAAAAATAGATGCTGTAAAACCAAGTGGATGGACACCACTTTTCAAAGCTTGCAATAACAGCAATGGAGCAGCAGTTGAATGTCTATTAGCTAATGGTGCTAATCCTAATGCTGTTGATAAAAAAGGCCGAACACCTCTTCATATTATTTGCAAACATAAAGACATCACAGTTGTTAGTATAGTGAAATTATTAGTGGACCATGGTGCAAATATTAATGCTGTGGATGCAAGAGGATGGACACCACTTTTTGTTGCTTGTCAGGAAAGTAATAATCAAGTGGTGGAATATCTTTTGATAAATAATGCGAATTGTAATGCTACTGATGATCTGGGTCAAACACTTTTTCACATTACTGCCAAACAAATACGTAAATATCCTTATGATGAAGAATTACATAATAGATTAATTATGAGCAAAATGCAATTATTGTTGGAATATAATGCAAATATTAACTCGGCTAATAAGGAAGGACGGACTCCACTTATGATAGCTTGTCAATTTGCTAATGACACAATAATTCAATACTTTTTGCGTCATAATGCTAATCCGAATGCTGTTGATCACTGGGGTCGGACACCACTTCATTTCGTTTGTCATCGTAAAGATAAAATGGCTAAACGCATCATAGAATTATTTTTAAAATATGATGCTAATATTGATATTGCAGATGTTAAAGGATGGACTCCACTTTTTGTAGCTTGTAAATCAAGTAGTAGTGAAGTGGTACAATGTCTTCTAGACAATCATGCCAATCCTCATCGTGTTGATATAGAAAATTCATCTCTTCTTCATATTGCTCCAAAAAATTGTCGTGGTATTGTTTATCAGTTATTGAATCACAAGGTAAATGTTCATAGTATCAACAAATATAAAAAATCAATTATTCATTGTATTGTTGAGGCAAATGATGAGATCCTTATGAACAATTTCATGTCGATGGATATCAATATTAATTCTGTTGATAATGAAGGAAACACTCCTCTTCACATTGCTGTTAAAAAAATATCAGAATCAATGACACGAACTTTGTTACATCATGGTGCTAATGTAAATATTTTGAATAATAATAATAAAACACCTCTTCAAATGGCCTTGGACATTTTGCATCAAATGAATGAACCGTCTGCTAATGATGATCATAATAATCGTATAGGAAATGTTGTAGATATACTTAAAGTACAAGTGATTAAGTTGAAAGTTGCTGGATTGATAGTACATAACCAAAATTTAAATGTTATTTATGATTCTCATAATGGTAAATTAAATCTTAAGAAACGTTCTAATGATAACGATATGGATACTTACGAAGAACTGCTTGAGAGAAAATTTGAACGAGAACTTGCAATGATGAAAAAGACAAATATTAATATTGATAACCTCACATTTTATGATTTGTTAACAAAACATATTCGTCTACTCAGTCAATATGTTGAAAATAAGAATCTCCAAGAAATTCTGACATCGAAAAATCATGAAAGCGAGTTTCCATTTTATATGCAGGTTATCAAGGATCGAATTAAAAAAGCCATGATTCAATCTGAAAAAAATTACTTGATGTATTATACAAGAGATTATTTCAAGTTAAATAGGAGTCAACGATTACCAGATGAATGTATAGAAATGGTATTGAATTATTTAAATATTGGAGAATTGAGGAATTTTGTTGAAATTTTAAAGCCATTAACATCGTCGTCTCCTAGTGGCCCTCTGTGATAATACATATCCATTTCCGTCAGACTTACACACGCCTGCTTCTCTTCTGCATTACACTGCCATGCACCTTCTTATGTTGAACTTCTGACGAAAATCTTACGTCCTCTGCTCTTGAACAACGGCAGAGACATATGTGAATAACTGACAAGGGTCAGTTCCATCAAAGAACAGGAAGAAATTTGGATTGACTTCAAACAAAAATGTAAGAATGATATATGTTTCTTACTCTAGTGGATTTGAAGCAACTTATTATCAACTTTAAAACAACAGTCTCAATGAGCAATAAAAAAAACGGTTAGTTAACTGACGTGCAATGTTTAAACAACTGTTAACCGTAATGCGACCTTTCTGTTTTTTTTTATAAATATACAAACTATTAATTTTAAGCAAATGTTTATGAACGGTTAACTGATAGTTAATAAATCACACATTTTAATTGTTGATTTTAGGTAAAATTACTCTAAAATAACATCAAATAAACGCCGAGTTTATTTTTAATCCAATTGCAACTCTCAGTTAACAGTTGACATGAATCCATCAGGGTAAATACCCCAGAAAAAATTTCTACGAAGAGATTTTATGTACATATAATATGTAGAACTTTTTTCTTGGGTAGCGATTATATTATGAAAAACAAATTGTAATTATTTTTTTCAGTTGTACTAATTTTACAACGATGTTGTTTCTATACGATAAGACATAATTGTACAGGATACTAAATAAAAACTAAATTATTTACAGTAATTTAACTACTCAGTATACACTGAATATAACAGCAATATAACACAAAGGTAACAATATGTAACAAGTTATATAACGAAAAGTTACATATATGTTATATAACTGTGATATATTGTCAATGTAACAAGTTTATATTGTAGATGTCACACCCATGTGACGTAGCTGTATAACGTAGTTATCTAATGGCAATATAATTAGCGTTACATGCATGTATATAACACTGTTATGCTAGTAGTATATATTTTTTGTTATTTAATGTTATGTTTCTATGATATAAGACTGTAATCTCTATGTTACATTACATTTGTTATGCAACTGTTATTTAAATGTTACATAATATATTTTTACTAATTTTAGGTTACATTTGTTGCATACGCGCAATGTTCTTGTAATGTAACATCGCCACATCGATGTTACATACGTTCTTTGTATTGACGGCATATTCTACGAATGTAACAATACAAAATTCTGGTTATAGTTGCTTTTCTTTTCAATGTGTAAATAAACTGAGATTGATAGCAGATCAGGGTAATTGTTTTTAAGCTATAAGGATATTTTACAGTTCAAGAACTACTTGTGTACCTGAATTGTCAGAGAATTTCTCGTTCACTTTATTATTGGCTATGTGTATTTAATACTCAGAAAATAAGGATTTTTTTATCAATTTGTTTAACCTAAGACATTTACAAAATGTTTTGTAATCTCAAAAATGAATAAATTTCAATTAAAAATAAAAAGAAGACATTATATATAATAATTATTACATAATAAATAAAATGAACTATAATTCACATAATTATTCTCATTTTTTTATATATTTATACATGTAACTAAAATATATGTTTATATGGGCCTATTTTCAATTTTGCAACTTAAACCGCAGTAAAAACGTAGGTTTAAGTTGCGTACGAGCGGACGGTCGTAGGTTCGAATCTCCCCAAATAGGGGAAAAATTCATTTCACTAAAGAAATCAAATTACACTTAAAAAATAATAGAATAGTAAATTAACCTTCAATAGGAAATTTCTGATGTAATTTTCCTATTAAACTTTGTTCTTCAAATAGGATTGTTTGAGCAGGGTATGTACAACATACCCTACATGTCTGTATAATAGTAGCATTAAGGTCCTGAGCAAAAAATAAAATAGATCTACACAGATCTATATTTTTGCAATTTTTTAGATGTAATTGTGCCAAAAAGTAGATATAAGTAAATCAATGTTAATCTATTTTATTTTTTCCCGGGACTTTTTTATTTCAATTTTCTCAGAGTTTTTAATAGACCAAAGTTCAAATGTCAAATTATGAAGTTTAAATAGAATAATGTAATAAATAAATTAACAAATGTAATTAAATAGTTTCAATTACTTACTTAATTATGATACACGGAAAAAATTTTCTCTGATTTTTTACTAGTTAATTTAGAGTTAATAAAAAGTAAATTTCTGAATTTATAAATTTTTTTCTAGAAATTTTTACCAACCAAACTAGTACTTTTTCTTAAGTTTTTTAGCTATTTTTACTAAAAAAAAGTTGCCAATTTTCTCGGCTAGTAACATTTACTCTAAATTGACTAGTAAAAATTCCTAGAAAATTTTTTCCCTGTAGTTATTAAAATAATATTAAAATAGAGTTTTATATTATAAATATCATAATTTATATTTAAATTAATAATGATTTTAATTGATTTCAATGTAAATATAATCAATTTTTAATATGTAAAATATTTTTTCTGATTATTATATGATTTTGTAAAAATTATTTTTGATTCAAATAAATCATAATGTACATTAAATACTGACTTTTATAATAATTAAAATATTTATCCATATTATTACTGATTTGAATAATATATCGAATCAATTCGAGAGCTTTCTTAACGGAGCGAATATCGATAGCGACTGTCATCGAGTTTGTTTCTACAAAAGAAATAATAAGAATTTTTTAATCCGATAAAATCATCATTAGAGACCGTAAGATATGAGGAGTTGATTATTATAAATTAATTGATAATTAATGATTGTTTTGAAATAATTATCAAAATAAAAACAGAAAAAATATTCCTGGTGATTGGTGTATTTGGAGAGATGAAGGTCAGTTTTCTTACAGAGCTGTAAAAAATATCAGTCTGTCATAGTCAGGCTGAAATTCTGGCGGCTCGAGTGCAGAAAACGGCCATCTTTGGGTCCTTCTGAATCCTAAAATGGTTAAATTAATGACTGAACATCTGCAGCCCTGGCTTATCCTCAAACTTGAGTGCCTGCAGGATAATCTCGTCTGGTCAGGTCTCAGTTGGGTCAAAGCCTTCCAATTCCTGGTCAGATGTTAAATTAGTCAATCCTACCACAAAGTATGAAAAAATTCTATAAAAATAGATTTTATAAGCAATAAAGTTTCTTACAAGTGCTTTCAATCTTTCACCAGCAAGTGTATGGAAAAGAAAGTTCTTTCAAGGTTAGAAAATGGTCATTAATAAAAAATTGATTTTTGGAGTATTGGAAGTATTCTGTAGACCTCATTAGTCATACAAAATACAACCAATACCCCAAAATATTTAATTGAAGATTATCATTTAAATCATCAAGTTCACGTGAGACTTGTGCAAGAATTAATACTCATTTGCCATCTGCTGGTGCCGAAAATAATCAATTACACGATTAAGTGGTCATGCAGTAATGACAATCGATCAAATGTATATGTATGTAATGTTTTTCATTGTTTTGAAGAATACAATAAATGTACTTACATCTAAAATTGTTGTCAATGATTTTATAACCTATAAACTATTTATCATCAATCATAACCGCTAACTAATTATTGCATTTAATTACATAGTTGTCTTTTCAGATAATTACTTTGAAGTAATTACATATTAATATTACTCATTATTCTAGAGTTTGTAATAAAAACAAAAGAAATCATAGTCATTATCATTATTGTAATTATAATTATTTATAATAAAAATGTATTAAAAAAAATGTATAAACAGTGCAAATATATGCATAATAAAAAATGTTTATGTAATTAATAAACCTAACTTTCATCACCGTTGCTATGGCAACAGTTGGGTTACAAACATCACTTTGTTGACTATTTTACATGTTTGGTATTTAAAAACAATTGCACTACTAATAATAATTACAATCAAAACAACAATGGTAATATTAATTATAAATAAATAAATGAAATTACATTCAAATATATTTAAAATAATGTAGATAATTGTTGTGATAAAATATTCAATATTGTCATCATTTCTTGGTTATGTTTATGGTTTGTGTATATCAAAAAAAAAAAATGAGTCAACGTTCAGTAATAATTATTGGAGATAAAGGAGTAGTAAGTAAACATTCTTAAAATTTATTCATTATTTTATTATTAATAGGTTATATTTTGTTTAATATAAATTTGTGATTTTTTGTTGAAGGGAAAAACAACCTTGATGTACAAATTTTTAGAAAAAGATGAAGTAACTAAGCCCACATTAGCAATGGACTATTGTTTTGGTCGTAAAACATCTAAACAAATGACAAAAGATCTTATCCATGTCTGGGAAATTGGTCATTTAGCTCCTTCTTTAATTAGTGCTGCACTTGCAGGAGCTTTTTCAATACATCCTATGGAATTGACAACTCTTATCATCATGATTAATCTTTCGACTCCTGAAAAACTTTGGTATACACTTGAAGAGTGTTTGACAGCTGCTAAAAATGCTATAACTATGATATGTGATTCTAATACCATTGAAGCTTTGATAGAGAAACGTAAAAAAGCATCTACAGCAGGTTATGCCAAATTTATTGATCCTTTTCCATTAAACTTGTCGATTGTTGGTGGACAGTATGATAAAATAAAGGTGAGTACTACATTTTTAACAATCAGAGATAATCAATAAACCATTTTTATATTTATATAAAATAATTAAAATGTCATTTATAATTCCAGAATTTAGAATTATCGACTAAAGAGTTAATTGGCAAGACACTACGTGCTATTTCCTTTCATCTGAAAGCTGATCTCCAATATTATTCATCCAAAGACAACACTTTGGTTCGGAAAATGCGTGAATCAATGTCTCATTATGGTTTCGATAGTTCATCAATGTATTTATATTTATTATAAACTATATAATTACTCTTTTAATTCATTTATATTTATTTACAATTAAATAATTATTTTATTTTTGCAGAAAAGACAGTCAACTTGATTATAAAAACGCTTTAATAATACCAGCAAGTAGTGCTGATTTTTCTGCAATAGAATTTCAAAATTATTCCCTAGATCACCCGGAATTATTTTTTGATACAATTAAATCTATTTATTTAGACCAATTTGCGGAGAAGGTAAATGAAGATGAATGTGAATTAGATAATTTATTCAATGATCCTAATTTTAATGAAGCAATCATTGATAATTTAAGGATCCAACGTAATAAGGTGAATAATTAATAACAATAATAAACAATAATTTTTAAAATTAATTTTTTTTCTTTTTTCATTGTAGGAAATTGAAACGAATCTTGAAGCAATGATGAATTGGAATTCTGATAAAAATATTGTTGTTATTGCTGATCCTCATTGATTTTAAATTAATAGTTTTTAATTAATTATTTTATATCAAATTGATTAAATATTTCCTGTGATCAAGAATAATTTTTAAGTAATAGAAGTTAAATCATTTCCTTCAAGTCCATCAAGTGAGTATACTTGTTGACTATTAGATAACAGATTTAAATAATATACTGTTTGAATTTTTATCATTATTTTGAAGTTATTTATCATAGATGACAATGTTAGTAATCATCAATAAATGTGTATTTATAGATAATGAAGCTAATCTACACATGTGTATGAAAAAAAAAGAAAAAATGTGTATCATACCTGACGCTTGCGCTAAAGTTTTGTGGATCCTTAATAGCTCATGCGCACTTGTTAAAACCAATACACATCGTGCAAATCAGAAAAAAGAGTGAATAAGAAACTACTTCTTATCTTTGACCGTCGCGGTATATAATATTAAGTGTATTATAAAATCTTAAGTGTCATTCATGTTAATCCAAGTAGTGTGATTGGGTGTCATTCATTTTTATACTATTAATTAATTTTATTGATAGTATTATTACATCATTAATGTATTGATTTATTTTTATTATAAAGTATAATATCACTATGTTTAAAAATATCAAAATGCGATTTCAATTTTTTATTTATAAACTTAAAATTAATTCGGTGTGATTTGAATTAAATTAACCTTCATTCATTGTATGTTAACGAAGTCAAGAAAGAAAGGAAGTTCATGATTTTGCTAAAATCAGTGGAAATTTGTTATCATTTTTATTAATATCATTCATTCACTTTAAAGGTGAGTTTCAATTTTTTTTTTTTAAATACTTCTTAATTATTTGAATGTTTTTAAATAAATAATTAGCGTAAAAAGTAATGTTGAATATTTTAATATTTTTTTCCTTTTAAAAATATCTATTGAAAATAATTAATAAAAAACTATTAGATTAATCAGAGATCAGCTTATCATGTTTATTATCAATTATCTTATGACAATAGATGTTTAGAAGTTTATAAAACTTTTTATATAATTACATAAGTTGATTGTAATTAATCAATTATATTTAGAAACAATAATTTTTAATACAATAAAGTTAAATAACGAAGTAGTTAATCAATAGAAGTTACATAATTTGATAAATAAAAATCATGATTTAATTGTTAACAAAAAAAGATAATAAGTTGAAATTTTTTGCTATCGACTGTTTAGCTACATTGATTTTAGTAAAACACAAATAGTAACTCTGCATTGCGATGACGACAAATAAAATGATCAAGAGTATTATTTTGAATAAATTAACAATAAATCGTTTATCAAAAGGAAATTATTCCTTTGAAAAAAATAAAATTATCCAACATATTTTCTAATTTTTTTAAAAACATCAAAATATATCAAGCATAAAGTGGTATCATATCATTCTAAATAGTTGATCATTATATAAATAATAGTTTGCATTCTCATCAGGGGTTCTCCTTGGCTTTAGTAAAAAATAGTTCCCACAAGAACACCACTACTACTACTAGAGAATTTAATTCGTGAGCTGGTGTCCTTTTTTCTTTATATACTAGCATTGGCATATAAACACCAATATGTATTAGAATACAACGAAAGTGGATATGAAGTAACATGTACCAGGAAAATTAACCATTTCACATACCTATACATATAAACGTTCTCATGTTATATGTATATACAACACATATTGATATTCAAGGATCTTAGTTCATTGTGTGCTATGTGACTTGACGTTATGGACAGATGTAAAACCATTTGGTATAGCAGCTGGTGGTATTCCCCTCCTAATACCCACACATAATCAAGAATTGTACGCAGCTTCATTTTTCCTTTGCCTTCTTTTTCTCTTTTTCGACTTAAGATTTACATTATTAATTTATTTTATTCATTAATAAGTTTGTTATTAATTTAATCTTAAAATTTGTCTTCTTCATTGAAGCTTTCTTCAATCTTGCTTATTTATTAACATGCTCAACAATGATCATTAAAAGATTCCGTTAGTTTATGATCATCAATCTGTAATAAATAAAAAAAGAAATATTTGAGATTATTTATTAAAAAAATTTTTGAAAATAAAAGCAACTTCTTTTTTTGGCTACTCCCTTTTGCTGTGTGAATATTTCATCAACTTTCTCAGAGAATAAGATTATTAAATAGGGCTGGGCTTTTCGTCCTCTCAATACAATCCTGAAATGATGGTCGAGCATTATGACAAGGATCCGGAGTAAGTTTATACACCCTGCAGTTGGGATTCTTCTTTAGGTTGTTTTAAATGTTAGTCTCACTCGCGTCGTCCTCCAACATGTTAGGAAGAACATTAAACAATTATACTTATTAAACAAATAAATGAGGTTATATAAAATTATTATAAAATAATTACATCATATGTCGTCTATTATTAATATTTTTTAATACAATTTTAAAAGTTCATATAATATTCAAGTGTAAACGAGTGTATTTAAATTGAAAATATTGTTTACAAAATATTTTTTTGATTATTAAAAAAAAAAATTGTGAAAACTAATCTATTGTTTTTTTAATAAAAAATAAAAATCAGTGTTAATTGTAAGAATAAATTTATTCAATGAGAATAAAAATTGATGTATTGAATGAGAAGCATCATAAAACGCCAAAAGGTGTAGAAATAAACGTATTTTAGAGTTTGGTGGGGTCACAGGATGTACTAAAGCAAGCGTGTGTGACAGTACGGTGCGAGTGATCAACGGAAAAACGTGGGAACGTAGACTCTAATGCCCGTATTTGTGTGCAAAATCACTTTAGTTAAAAATACGTTAGAACATTGTAATTTAAATAATAATTAAAAATTATTGTGCAACTAATAAATAAATATTCAAATACATATGGTGTACTGAAATGAATGATGGTGTCAGTGAAATAATTCTCTACGAGAATAAATGAATTATAAAATTAACCTGAATAAAAAAAGTGGTATTGTTATAATTGTTGTATTTATTAAGTGATCATTAATAATAAATCAGTGACAATTAGAAAAAAAAAAAATAGAAAAAAACATTCATATGAATTATTTTCATTTAATTTGAAATTAAAATGAATTCAATTTATCGAAAGACAAAATTCAGCTGATATACAATTGACTGAAAACATTAAAGCTCAATTATTTCACAAATAATTGAATTTATCGTTGAAAATCAATAATCGAATTCAAAAATTGAAAAAAAAAAACCGAATTAGCTATGTCGGTAAAAAAGGACATCTATGTTACTAACCTCGAGTAAGAGATTAATTATCTTACAAAAATATTGATAATGTATTAATTATTTAATGACAGGTTATAATAAACAATTAAATAAATAGCGAGATTTTTGTTTAAATAAGAAAAAAAAGTTATCAATAAATCATGAAACTCAGTCGATAATATAGCGAAAATTAACAAATGGCGGCCATTGAGGTGTGTACACACTTGATTCACGCACAATAGTTTCAGGTGTGCTCCAAACTCGTTTGGAAGTCAATACATAAAATGTGCAGTGTGTGTAGAATAAAAGTGTTTTATAAATATAATTAATCAATTATTTATACACAATATCAATTTTGTTTACTTAATAAATATTTAATGATATCAATAATTATCATTTACCATTTAAATTAATGTCAAAAAATTATACAAAGTAACAAACATGTCTTTTAGACAGTAAGAAATGTGATGATGAAAAGATGGTACTGTACTTGGTGAAAACATCAGCAAGGTAGTAGTTGTGCAGTAACTAGTTGCTTGACGAGATATATTTTTATTTATTTTTTATAAATTACACTTGAAAAAGTTAAAAAAAAATGGGAAATCACTCCTCTGCCCCCCATCAACCACTAGAGAGAGCCACAAGTTTTGGTGGCAATGGCCTTCGACATTCGGTAGGTTTTTTAATTCACGAAATTCCTTTTCTTACTTTTTTCTTTTTTATTTATTTTTTATTCACTTATAATATTTATTTTCAATACCTCTTTTTTTCATAGCATTCGATTTGACTTAATCAAACTTCCTGCAGTAATTTTCTCTACTTTCTGTAGGTTATTTCTTTCTCTCAAGACTTTTATTTACCATCGTATTAGAGAAATTTGTGGATGAAAAATCGGTAAAAATTGATTGATGACCATGGTCCGATTGAAATATGTTTGTGAACTATAGGAAATATTGTATATTTTGCAGAGACTTCTGTACTAGCTTTCTTGCATGCATTGCACCTGTCGCCTTGACTAACAAGTGAAAGGATTTTCGTTTAAACTATCTTATAAAATACCAAAATATACATTTTCAAGCTAGCGAAATGACTCTTTAGTTAGTATCATTTATATCAAAAATCTACCTATAACTAATACTCTCGTAAGTAATCATTCAAATTTTTATATAATCATTTGTCTTTGAAAAAGAAAAAAAAACTGTTTTCCTACACTACTCATTAAAGTTGTTTTCATCATATTAATAGGAATATAAATGATCAGCTATGAGCAAAACAAATCAGTTAAAGATGGTTGATAATAACTAGTTAATGTTTTTGATAATTACAGAAACGTGAACGATCACCAGGAAAGCGAATGGATCGATTGAGAAGAAGCTTTCGAGACAGTTTTAGGCGACGAAAAGAGCCACATGTACCAGAATCAAGTAAACCTCATCAATGGCAAGCTGATGAAAGTGCAGTTCGATCAGCAACTTGTGCCTTTCATGTTAAATATCTTGGTTGTGTTGAAGTTTTTGAGTCAAGAGGGATGCAAGTTTGTGAAGAAGCACTTAAAGTACTTAGGAATTCAAGAAGAAGACCAGTTCGAGCGATACTTCATGTCTCGGGCGACGGTTTAAGAGTTGTTGAAGATGAGACTAAAGGGTTGATAGTTGATCAGACTATTGAGAAAGTCTCCTTTTGTGCACCTGATCGTAATCATGAGAAAGGCTTTAGTTATATTTGTAGAGATGGTACCACACGTCGGTGGATGTGTCATGGATTTTTAGCATTAAGAGAACCGGTGAGTTGAATCATTCAACAAAAATTTCAAGGTCTCTCTTAAATTTTACTTTAAAAAATTTAGTTTTAAATATTTACAATAATATTATTACTATATTTATTATAAATCATAACATAAATATTTACAATACCTTCTTAATACGCTAGAGTAATGAATTTTAATGAATGATGGAAAAAATTTACAAATTAATACTAAATTTCTTTTATATCAAGGGAGAAAGATTGAGTCATGCTGTGGGATATGCATTCGCTGTATGTTTAGAGCGAAAGCAACGTAGAGACAAGGAGTGTGAAGTAACAATGACGTTTGATTCAAAAACGTCAACGTTTACTAGGAGTGGGAGCTTTAGGCAGCCAAGCTTAACGGAAAAATTACAGGATACGCCCAGACAAGAGCGTGCCATAGGTAAAACAATATAACTATGATCTATTATGAAAAATAATTACTATTTTATGTATCGGAAATGACAATTTATCCATTATTTTTATATTTTCATCAATTTTTTTTAACTAGACTTTGATAATAACATCATTATTTACAATTAATTTCAGACGTACCAGCCCCTCCGATAGTGAAACAAGTTTACAACCCATTTGCTATTGAGAGGCCTCATGCGACTCCTTCAATGTTGGAGCGCCAAGGTTCATTTAGAGGCTTCAATCAATTAAATCAAGCTTCTCCTTTCAAACGTCAGCTTAGTTTGCGAATTAATGATCTTCCTAGCAATTTGGAGCGCACACGAAGTCATAGTTTAGAACCAACTGACTTTTCTAGATTACCTTCAGCATTATCACAAATGATACCACCAAAACCAGCTGGTAATTATTATTATTATTTCATTTATCTATTTTATTATATTCTATTTTATTTAATTTATTTAATATTTATCTTACAGTTAGTCCTATTCCTGAATTGCCATTAATCAGTAGCAGTGGACAAGATAGTGTTTCTGCTATGTGTCAACAACTCTCTCGAGGATTGTCTCTTCTCTCTAACAGTGATGATTTCATTGGTTCTCTAACAACTAAACCTACGAGTGTCAATACATCTGCTACCAAACAACTCTTTTCTAGTACCACTCAAATTCAAGGTAATAAAATTTTATTAAAAACAAGAAAACCATTCAATCAATTAATTTTAATATAATTGATCTTATTTAAATCTTATATTTATTTTAGCAATAACAAGCAATCACTCAACGGATAATGTACATCTGCAGAATGGATCAAGCAATGAAAACAGCATAAACAATAACAGTAATAGCAATAATAAAAATAATGATTCTAGTAGCAGCAGTAATATAATTATTAACAACAACAACAATCATAATAATATACACAATAATAATATCAATACTAATAATAATAGCAGTGTTAATGGTATTAATAATAATGATGATGGTGGTAATTTAGATTCAAGTATAAATTCAGCTAAAATAAAGCTTTGGGAAGGATGGACTGGATTAATTAATGACTATAAACTGCCACCATTGAGTCCATTTTTAAATAAATCCACTATTTCGGACAAAAGTAATACACCAAGTGACGTAACATCAACTAAATCATTTAATCAAACGTCTAATTCTATTACTAACTCAAGCCTTATCACCGATACACCCTCATCATCATCAACTTTAGTCGTTAGTGGTTGCCTTACAACAACTATGACGACCACGATGACTATTACTGCTACAACCACCACTACTACGAATCAAATAATTCCTGTTTCTTTAGCGACAAGTCAGGAAAAGGTCGGAGTTGCTGATAATGTTGAGGATAAACCGGAATCAGTAAGTATTTGAATGTTTTTAATTTAAATAATAAATTGGAAAATTTTTTATTATAAATAATTAAATGATTTATATTTAATTATAGATTTCAACAACAGTAAATAATGTGATAAATTTACCTAAACCTGAACAATGGCTTGGAAGTGTAACAGGATTAGTGGCAGCACAGTCACCAACACCATCATCAGGGCCACTTACTCTTCAACAAATTTCACCTCGACGTGCCCCTATGCTGCATACCAGAGCACACTCACTTGGTTCCATGATGATTCCACCAACTACCAATCGAAACATTATCTCCACAGATCCATTTGATGCCGAATGGGCTGAAATTGCGGCTAGAAATTTACAACAATCTGGAAATGCTACAAATCCTTTCGTGGTACCGAATGCAAATTCGACTTTTCAAGTGCAATTATAGGGGCGAGGTTTGAATGTTATTACTTATTGAAGGTTAAGGAATTGTTAAAGAAAAAAAAAAAACAAATAGTTGAAATGAAAGTTGAGATTAAAGTACATAATTATATGTAATTATAGTAGTTATATTATTGATTAATCATGTTACTAAGCTTGTTGACGCTTATACAATTTGGTGGATACTTATTTATGATTATTAAAGAAAGAGGAAATTGGTTATGACGATGTAATTAGAAAAAAAAAAAGAAGTAACACTTGAGAACAATATAATTGATAGGAGAATTTTAAATCAATCGTAATATAATATGAAATAATAGAAAAATTAATTTCAACAAGTGATGTAAAAATAGATCAAGGAGTGTAATTGCAACAAAATCAAAAAGAATAAATATTATCTATTACTGATTGTTAATTATAATGGTAGGATATTGTTCTCAAACGTTAAGAATGACCATAAAAAATACTGAGACAAAAATAGTTACATATTTCGAGCTAGTCTATTAGAAACGCACAAATTAGATCGCACAAACATAGAAGAAATTAAAAAAAAAATAAATGAAAAGAAGTTGATAAAAATAACAATCTATAGACGAAATGAAATATGTTGGATATAAAATTAGATAAAATAGTATAAATATTGCATTGAATAAAGAAGAAAAAAATCAATTGCACATTTCAACTACCAATAAGAAATTGTTTTTATTGGAAATCATATTACTTCATATTTTTAAATAAATATGAAGTATAATTGTTTTAAATAATTACAAAATGTATTAAAAAAATATATATTTTTTACCATCAATCATTATTATTATTATCATTATTATTATTATTGTCATTTTTAGTATTTAATTATTAATCAATATGATTATCATTAGTAATTTTTTATACAACTTAATTCAAGTACTTAATTGTAATTGTTGTGTACTTATTGTTAGACTACTCGGTGGTCAGTATTATATAAATTATAAATAGATAAGAACAATGGTGATTTTTTTGATAATTTTTACTCTCTCGGATACTTAATTTATTTAATTTAATTAAATGAAAATAATGATTATCAAATTGAATGAAAAAAAAGAAACAAAATGCAAGAGAGAAAAATAAATGATATAATGTGTCAAATACTCATGGTATGTTGCTCAAAATTTTTTTATAAATAATTCAATCAGGTTTGAATAATTATTTAAGTAACATTTATTTGTTATTATAATTTCTTCTCTTCAATTAAGATATATATTTAATCCATGTTAAACATTTATTATTTGATAAACTGATTAAATCATTAACAAATTGTTAATGATTACTGAAATATAAAAAAAAATAAAGAATGACAAAAGAAGAAGAAATTTTTATAAATAAATGGTAGTACATTTTCTTTAATGCACTTTTCAACAAATAAATTAACTATAATCATTGAAAAATATTCTAAGAAAGATCAATCTAAAATTTATTTAAATAATAATATTAAATACATTTAATAATTGCACGTTCGTATATACTCAATATAAAGCTAAGTACTATCATAAAAAGAAATGATTACAAATATACATAGGTAAATAATATTTTTCCTCACAATTTATTTTATGCACTTGACTGTAAATAAATTGTTTTAAATAGTTATTATTTATCATCAATAAATAATTAATTGATTGATTTATTATATGTAAAAAAAAAAACTATTGAGTATAAATCCAGTTAATTGATTAATAAAAAGTTCTAGATAATAATAATAGTAATAATAAAAATTATTATTATTACTAGTATTTTTATTATTATTATTAATATTAATCGAATGTTATGACCGAGCCAGAAATAAAAAAAAACCGTCGACTTATGAAAATTGACTATTATTCTTTTTATATTTTAATATTTTATTATTACAAACCCAGTGTACTCCTATTGATTAGTCCATTACCTTTATATTGTTTCACGCAAACTCAAAGTGTTGAACAATTAACATATTACAAATATTTTTTCGTCATAGTCTATTTAATCATTAGATTTATTCATCCACGTCATCTAACAATCATATCTCTCTCTTCCTCTTCTCTTGATAAAAATTTATAATTTAATCCACCTACAGAGTTTATTGATTTGTGTGGGTGGCAATGTAAGTTGTATTGTACTTACAAATATATATTGACAGTAATATTAAGAGTTACGTCAATTTTTGTAATAATAAGTAGACTTGATTAGATGTTTTTTAATTATCGTTATCCGATATTAACTGATATGATGTGGTATTCATTAATTATTTAAAAATTAATTCATTATTATTTATGTTAATATTAATGAATATTCACTCTATGAGCATACATTATTTTTCCTTCCGTTTTTTACATCTTTATTCTGTTTAAATTTTTATTACATCTTTCTTTTGCAATATCACATATCACATTGTGTTATACTATCTGGTATTTTTTATCGCTCTTATCGCTTAACTTATCGTTGTTATCGCACGCCGAGCTTGGTAAAATAGTTGTGATAAAGATAAAAGCATTCTCAGAAGTGAATTGTTTGTAGTTTCTTATCATTCTTAAGAGTCTAGATATAATATTTGACAAAAATTGTCCATTTTTTATTTCTTGTTAATAAAAAAGATAATAATAATAATTATTATTCTTCTTTCATTTATAAAATCAGTAATTACCTTTTTTAAAATCAAAATTACATTTATCGTTTTTTTTCCGATAATTTTAAATAATAGTTATAAAGCTCGTAGTGACAGAAGGTTCTAAAATTATTAACGTTTCAATTAATCAATGGCAATTTGTCATGATCAAATGAGAAATGTATATAACTGCGTAACCAATTATCGTATTATAATGATTAACTCGTATTTGAAGTGGTCACTGGCATGATCTATCAAGTAAAATCATAGGTAATTGTAATCATTATAAATTTAATTAATTCTTTTATTAATTAAATAAAAATATATAACTAATTGTACAAACTAACCTTCATATTAAATATTTATAATCATTAATAACTTCAATAAATTAATAATCTCATTGATTCAAATTGATTCTTCTGACAAGTTCAAATTCTCTAATCACAGCCATCTACAAGCATTCTTTTGCGTGCTAAAAAGTAATTAAAGCCATTAGCATTTCTTCTTGATTGTATCCACCCTTCTATTTAAACACTTGAAGATTTTACGTATCTTAATTCACTAATTAGCGTCATCACATGTAGACAATTATCTGAAAAAAAAAAATGCAAATGTAATCAAAAAAAAAAGAAATGTTTAAAAAAAGAAATATATAAAAAGGCAATAAATGGCGTCCCTTGAATTGTAGGGTTGTCGTTATGTCCGCTAGGGTGTTGATGATGCCAAAATAGTGGGGGAGTATCCAGAGCGGGGGTGGACAGGCGCAAGCCGATCTCGTTTCTCTCCTTGAGACGAACCTCGCGCGCAGTCGACGTTCGGACATTATTAAATATACATATTGTAATGTATTCCGTATAATTAACGTCTCGAAAGTGTATTTGAGTGGGTGACATATCATATAAAAAAAAAAAAAGATGACAACACTTTCTCTTTTTTATTTAGAAAAATAAATGTTATAAAATGCGCGTAACCTAAATAAATTAATTAAAAAATTCGATTTTTGTGTGGATGAGTAGATTGAATGTATGTGTATAGCCATTATATTAGTCGTGAATATTGATCAGACTGTTATACCTAGTTATTGCCAGTAAATTAATGAAATTGTTATTGATAAACAATTTATTGAAAATTGACATTTGTTGGTAAATATTGAAAAACCGTTGGACAAATTATTCCATTGATTTTACAACTCATTTATGTGATGTATTTTCATGTCTAGAAAGTTGAATTATTTACTTCAAGAACTGATAAGATTTTGAATGGAGGATTATATTGTTAGTGTAATCGGTAAAAAGATTTTTTGTATTATGGAATTAATCGATCAATTGACAATTAACCTTCATTAGGTAAATACTCTATTTATGATATTTAATTAATTTTTTTTTTAATCATGGAAACAATTAATGCACATTTATTTTCGGCAAATTTGATATATTTTTGAGTTTATTTCTTACACATGTGGGTAAAAGTAATGAATTTTCCACTTGTGATAAGAAAATATATTCAAAAACTCATCATCTCATTAAATCATCATTTTTTTTTCAATTCTGAAATAAAAATATTCTATGTCAGTATTTAAGGATTTTTAAAATTTTATTTTTTAATCCCTAAGGCTGCTTAATCTTTGTTCTGACGATTCATTCATTTCCCTTGAGGCCATTAAAGAGAACAGTTGGAAATAATTTATTCAATTTCCCAAGGATTTATTAAATGTAAGAAGCAAGCAGATGATAATTTCTTTTATCAAAGATTTCACAATTAAGCAATAAAACGTTCATTATAATCCACAAATTTAGTTCTTAATATATCAAAGGTAGTTATTTTTTATTTTATAAAAAGGAAAAAATATTATAGAAATCAAATTTGTCACATCATTTGATAAATATCGGATGTAAATAGATGATATTTATTTATTTATTTTTTATTTTAAATCATAAAACACATGAGATTGACAACGATTTATTACTCAATTTTTTATAATAAACTTAACAATAAAAAATAATTTATATTTCCTATATTTATTCGACAAATCAGCTCACTACTAGCCATTTATTTCCCTTTCGCACATTAAAATCTACTACAAAACTGTCACTGATATTTATTTCCCCAGGGAAATTATAAATCCAATAAAAATCGTATTGTATACTTTTATACACACTCATACATAAAAATCATCTATCGTTATTTTTAAAATGAAAATTATATGATTATTCATATTTAAAAAATTTTTATTGATTGGATTTCTGATGATAAGAGAGGCATTTATTGTTCATTTTGTAGCTCATTGATATCAGATCTCTGGTTAATACGATTTACTTTCAAATTGCAAATGATTCACGATAAGATAAATGTTTTTGTTGAGTATAAAAAAAAAAAAAAACAACAAATATTTTGAAATAATGTTATTAAAAGTAGAATTAGGATATTATTTACAGTATAATCCACCAGTAATTGTGTTTGTTGGGTAGAAAAACTCCCCACCATCTTCATTCTTACAGTCATCATACTTAACCTTGCAAAAAAGAGGTTAACTTTATTACCATCATGGGGTTGTTGCCATAAAGAGGTTTTTTTGGAATTAATAATTTTAATTATTAAATAAAGTATTTTTTATCAATGCTTGTTGAAAAATACACCCCCTAACCATATTTATTATTACAATTATTATACTTAACCTTGCAAAAAAGAGGTTAACTTTATTATTATGATGGGATTGTTGCTACAAAAAGGTTATATTGGAATGAATAAATAAAAAAAAATTAAGTAATTTTAATTGTTTAAATATAAAATGTGATAATTTATTTAAAATAGTTAATTAATCATGAAAAATCACTTGAATAAATGGAAGGAATTAGTAGAGTCATTAACCACAATAAAATATAACAAGAAACAAAGGTAAATGTACATCTTAATCCACTGGAGAGAGAGAGAGTGTTACAAATAACTGAGTATACAAACAATATAACTAACACATGTTACAACACTCACCATAATCCATAATCACGTTAAATTTACATATATATCTGTAGTGTACACACACGAATTGTATAAGGGTGCACGTGCAACACACATTGTTTTGCAAGCTTTATTATAGCCCACAGGAGTAAAGCAATTCGTGCATGAGCTTGCATATTATATATCATCCTCCAAATTCCTCATATCTTGAATTTGATTTTATCAAAATATCAAGTTACATCAATGCCTTCAACTATTTACAATTACATCATTTGCTTTATATTTTCATTTCAACGAAAATCACCAGGTTTAGTATTTTAATTTCAATAACAATTACATTCTTTTTATATTAATAATTATTTTATTTAAATAATAATATCAATAAATTTAGTTTTCCAATAATGTAAATTGATTTTTTAAACAATGATTCTAAATAAGTATCATGACTATCAACTTGTCAGTTAATTTTTTTTGTTTAACCTAAAAAAAACAAACAAATTACTTTGATCTTTATATTTACTTTTAATAATTAAATTATAAATATGTATTTATATTTACAAAAGTGGTAATATTTTTGTTGCTCTGGTTTAGGGTTGAAAAAATAATACAGAGTATAAGCGAGTAAAGTTTAACGATCGATATGGAGTTGCGCATCTACACATGTACATGGAGCACACTAGCTAGTTGTGTTTGCAATTTATGTGTGTAGTGTAGGAAAACTCGATGTGCTTTTTACAATAAAAATTGTATCGTGTTTTATCGAATATAAGAAAGAATAGATATTTAGTTTTTTCTCTTTTTCATTCTTTGTTCATTCGTTGTCATATTTTAGCTTGTAAAATGATTACAATTATTGGATATTTATCTTCAAACAAAAAAAACAAAAATGAAAACAAATATTTAATCATTATGCAATAGAATCAATCACCAAGTAATAATTAATTAAACTTATTTATTTAAATAATAATAATATTTGTCTAATTATTTTTTTTCGTCTGTTTTTAGGACCAACATTAATAGGAAGCAGTTAGATAAAATTCAGCTCAAAATGTTACAATCACTGAACACATTGGCGGGAAAAATATCACCAGGATCACATGGTGGTGTTGATAATCATGTGTCGAAGCCGCACATACCAAATAACAATATGATGTATAATATGAAGAAAATAAAAAATGATGTTAATTATAATAATAATAATCATCATCACATAGATAAAAATCATTATAAAAATGATATTGGAAATAAACTAAATAATACTTCAATCAATTTTTACAATAACGATAACAACAACAACAACAATAATAATAATAATGATGATAATAACAACAACAATAATACTAGTAAAAATAATAATGATCATAATGGTAATGATTTAAATAAATTAATAAAAGTTAATTTAAATAATAATAATAATAATAATGATACAAATAATAACAATAATAATAACATTGATAATAATGTATCACATCAATTACTTCTTTCAACAAAACATCAATCAATGCAATTACAACAACAAGAGAAACAACAATTGTCATCAACCCAACAGTTGACTAATAACAGTCATGATGACGAAAATACGTAAGTTCATTTGAATTTTAATAATAGATATAATATAATACACTAAAGTTATTTTTATTTTTATGTAGATTCCAAGTATTGAAGAGATATTATTTTATTTAATACCAATGAAAAATTACTTTCAAATTTATGCTTTTATATAAAAGTACTGGTTTATTGTTTTTTTCTTCTTCTTTTTTTTTTTGAAAGAATTGAATCAATGAGTCACTGAATTATTGATAATACTAATCAATGTCGAATGCCAAGAAAAGAATTTACTATGAACAAGAAGAATTAAAATGGCAATTTAGAATAGCAAAGTTTTTAGAAACAGTTGAATTTAATCTATGATAATCCCCCAAGTCTATCTGGGGTTGAAATAATATTTTCATTGCATCTCAATGATTTTTGATAGAATTATCTAGAGTGCTGGTTTGTTATCATTTTTTTTGTTAATCAATTAAGTTGAACAATCAATGAAATAATGATTTATCAAGACACCTATGGTGTCTGAAGTGACTAAAATATTATTTTCAAGCAATTTTATCGCTAATATTCGACATTTATTTTATCGATAGACTAAAACATTGTTCCATATGACAAAAGTATTCTCCCAGTGTATAAACCTAATCAAAAGGATAGAGATAAAATGATCGACTTGATCTACATGATGTTTTTATATATTACCAATACAGAATGTAATATCAATAGAAATACCTACAAATTCGATAACACATTTTGTTCGATAATTAATCAAACATATACGTGTACATAAGTCGACATCTAATATTACATATTCCACGAAAGAGAGACGTTGAGTGTGGTATTTTCAGTTGTTAAACGTTCAGTACTTCTGCAGGCTTAATCAATAATTTATAGCATCTGTAACTTGTATAATTTAGAGTAAACGTCACAGTGCATCGTTCTTCTTTTCATGTACATTCATCATCATACATACATACATATATGTATATATAATTATCGCACAGTTCATCCAACAAGATATTCTATTTTCGAATTATTCCAAACACACATCTACTTCTGTACTACATTCTACGTAGACGATTCAATCATCACAAGTCATTTTTTTCTTTCCTTTTTCATTTAGTCCAAAGAATTATCGACAAATTATATTAACTTTGTATTATCGCGTGGCTGTGTGTGTGAGTTTTGATGAGAGATTCACCTTCTCCCATATTACATTCTTCATTACATGAGACCTCGTGTATAAGTATCTTATCTATAGTTTTAACTTAAATCAATAACAACATTTTATAATAGCTCTTGAAACCGACTTTACATTCTGACTGATCGCATGTCAATATTCGCATCGAGTATCGAATTTGTCTGTACAAGTTGACTCTTTGTTTTGTTGGAATATCTAGTCTTAGTTATTAGAGACACGCGGGTTGGTTAAGATCGGCATCTTAATAACTATCTTACTAGTATTAATTACTTATTACTTTTATTAACGAATTTAATTATTTTAAATTTATTTTTTAATCATCAAATAATCATTTATTGGTAATGATTATTTATTTAATTATTACTTGATTCATTTTATTATTTAAATGATATTAATTTCAAGTAATCTTCTTTTGTTTCAGAATGATGAATAGTAGCATGGAAAAACCCGATCCTGATACGATCAAGATGTTTGTGGGTCAGGTACCTCATGATATGGAAGAGAAAGATCTACGTGCATTATTTGAGGAATTTGGACAAGTGCATTCAATTCATGTATTGAGAAATAAATATACAGGAAATCATCAAGGTAAATTTAATTGATTATTGATTTTAAATAAAATTCATCAACCAGATGATGATGATGAAGCTTAGCGTATTATCAATAATATAATTAATTAATAAAATAGTAATGTTAATTGATAGATAAAGAAAGATAAGTTAAATAATAGCTAAGTTAATTGAAAATTTTTAATTCATTTATTTACAGGTTGCTGTTTTGTGACTTTTTATACAAGAAAAGCAGCTTTGGAAGCTCAAAATGCCTTACACAATATTAAAACCTTCAATGGGGTAAGTATTGACAAAATATTGTTGATTTTTTTTTTATTAAATAAAATTATGATTATTATTTATTTATTTATTTTTTAATTATCTTACAGATGCATCGTCCTATTCAGATGAAACCAGCTGATAGTGGACACCGAGTTGGTGAGTTTTTAATTAAATATTTATATTTAAAAATAAATAATATCCTCCAAACATCACATCAACATTTCGTATATTTATTTAAATTTATCTATTAACCATCATCAGGCTATTGATGTTTCAACATCAAAGATATTTATTGATGACAGGTCATCAAATAATATTGATTAATATTTAATAATAATAATAAATAATATGAGGGTTTGTAATACCAATTTACCTAGGAAGGTTTGTAATATAATAGTGTTGTATTATATAGTAAAGAATTAGAGTAAACGTAGCAAGTGAAATAAAACATGTGAGACAATTAACAACAGCACGCACTTGTATGTAATAATGTGCATATAATAGACATATGAAACGTGACAGTGCTCTGCATATATGTATAGTAGATAGGAATGAAAGCGCTCTATTTATAAGCATATGACATTTTGTTTATTTTGGATGACGATGCCAGACTCTCTTCTTGGTTTATACAATAGTTTATCTTGAGCCGAGTTCTATAATATGACACGACGAGTAATAGCTCGTTTTTCTAATAACATACTACAACACTCGGACTCTTATTGTTTTATTTCAAACAAAATTGATATATTTATAGTTGTAATAATATTATTAATTATTTCAAATTTAATTTAAAGCAATTTCATTACAAAGCTTGGATTAAAAAGTATTAATTAATAAATAATATTAAATTGTTATTATTTTTTAAGTATTGTTATTTATTTTATTACTTTATTTTATTATTATTATTTATTTATTTATGGTTATTATTATTAATTTCCCAGTGGGAAGTTATTTAATTTATTTTATAATATTTTAATTTATCAATAAGTAAAGAAAGGATCAATTGAAATAAAATCGATTTATTAAGAAGATATGTAGGGATAGAAAAAAGGATGATGTGATAAATTATATAAGCCATAGGTATCACATGTGTTAAACGTGTGTATAAAATGCGAAAGCGATAAACCTTATCTTGTCTTCTCTCTGTGTGTATCCAACATATCAGAGATGACGTGCACACATGATGATAACTTATTAGATGTATATATACATATGTATAAATAATTTTACTTTTTTATATCAAATTGTCATGATGAACACAATGAAAGTAAATTTGAAAAAATTATTAAACTTTTTTTAAAGATTAGCTGATAGTTAATAATAATCATATAAAAATGATCTTCATTTACATAGGTTCTGGTAAATAGAAATAAATTTAACTATAAATTATAATGAAAGTACCGATATATTGCAAATGTTTATGTCAATTATGCAATATTTAAATACATACTTTGGTTTAAATATTATTCAAGAAAATGAGTCTCGGGTTCCAATGTGTGCTGCTGACCTTGCATGATCTTTGTATCATATGTTTAAAAACAATGCATTTAATTACATTTCATTTGAATAAGGAATTCAACAGTTTTATTTTCATGTAAAATACTAGTTTTATATTATCACATCTTTTTATAAAATTATTATATTGAATTTTTTTTTTTTTAAAAACAATAATATCTTATTTGGTTGAATAATAATCAGATAATTCATATTTTACGTAACAATTTAATTGTTGTAAGGGATATTAATAAATAATAATATTATTCAGTGAATTAAAGAGCATTAGTAATAAAAAAAAAAAAAATTTCTTCATGATATAATGTCTATTAATAATATTTTAAATAATATATTGAATAAATAAAAAAAATAAATATATAGTGAAATTTAAATATGTAGGTTGACTTGTTATCGGTCAAAAATATCACAGGTATGTTTAGATGATTAATGTAACAAAGGCATTAACAATAATAATAAAGGTAATGATAATTAAGTAAGTTAGACTATGGTAGTTAGGTATATACCACTGTGACAAAATGGGAATTTTTTTTTTTTTCTCTTCACTACATACACACATATTCATGAGTGAGATTGGTGGTATTGGAGTACAGGTAGATAATGCACACGTAAATGTATTGAGTAAAAAAAGAAAGAAAAGGAAAAAAGATAGAGAGAGAATAAATAAGAAGGTATGCGTATGATGTCGACCGCGATCCGCTCACTTGTTGAGTGTCGCGCGACGTGGATTAGTATGTCTTAAGCAACCATCAACTCATCGGTAGTGTAGTACTACTCTATTCACCATTTGAAGTGCTTTAAGCCCCTCGGGTCAGCCCGTGTTAGACTGATGTATCAGAAAATATGATTGAAGCTTTTTTTAATTAGTTTTAGTTTATTAGGACACCTTTTTTTTTTTTTCTTTTATAAATCTAAGTGATTTTTTTGAGTGTTGAACAAAAAAAAATTGTTTATGTTGATTTATTGTGTAAGAATTTTTGAGAAAATTTTTTTATTTAATGATTTATTAATTATTTTGAATTGTTATGAAATAGTTAATATTCTTGAAAATATCTATCAATTAAATTAGTCGTTTTTTTTTAATAGCTATCAATGTTAATCATACATTTTAATTTCAATGAAATTTTTTTAATTATTTTGTAGTGATACATTTATTTATCAGTATAATTTTTGGGATTTATAAGAATTAATATATTTGTTAATTATTTTATCAAATAAATTGATTGATTTTTTTTATTATTTTTAATAGTTAAAAGTACTTTTCAATGTTAATTGTTTGAATTTTTTTTTTGTATTTAAATTGTGTTGAAATTTAATTTTAAAAATCAATTGTTTAAATTTTTTATTATATTTAATGATTGAAAAAGAATATTTAAAATTGTTTGAATTTTTTTTTGTATCTAAAATGTTGAAATTTAATTTTAAAAATCAATTGTTTGAATTTTTTATTATATTTAATTATTTAAAAAAAATTTTCAAAATTGTTTGAATTTTTTTTTATTGTATTTAAATGTTAAAATTTAATTTAAAAAATCAATTGTTTGAATTTTTTATTATATTTAATGATTTAAAAAGAATTTTTAAAATTGTTTGAATTTTTTGTTTTATTATATTTAAATGTTAAAATTTAATGTTAAAAATCAATTGTCTGAATTTTTTTATTATATTTAATTTTTAAAAATTAATTGATAAAATATTTTCATAGTATTTAATCGTTAAAAGTAATGTGATAAAACAAAATTTGTTCAAAAGAAAAAAAAATGATAATATCACATATACATATATGTAAAAACGTGATTATTTAAAAATTTTAGCAACTCAGTACAATCTTAAGTCGTGAGAAATGAGTACTTAAACGTGGACAATTCAATGAAATAACGATAGAGAGAGAATAAAAAAAGACTATTGTTGGCCAAGTCATCTTTTTCTTTTGTTTTAACTGGTCATCACATATACACACGTTGCCTCGTCATTGTCTATGCGGAATATTACACAAGCACTGCAACAGCAGCAGCAGCAGCAATAGCAACAGCAAGTGATTGCGCAACTAGGCATCCTCCACGAGAGAGCTATAACCAGATTAGCATCGACTTCTACTACTTATTTTTATTTATTTACATCTTATTTATTTAAATTTAAAAATAATGAAGTGGATTTATTTTTTATTACAATTCAAAATATATCTGATTATCAAGTGAATATTATTTTTATCAACAAACATTTCTAATCAGTTATTAGTCACCAGACATATTAAACTTTTTATTATTACAAGCACACTAAAGTACTGTAAAAGAAGGCCAGAGAGACATCAATGCCGCGATATTCTCGCCCGCGCCATTTGTGGCGTGCGGCGATTAGTTCAAAGTTTTGCATAATTGCTACATTTATTTTATCAACAAGATAAAAAAGACAAGTTGTTAAATTTTTTTTTTTTGTTAAATATTTTGTTCAAATATATATCAAGTGAAATATCAAGAATCATTAGTGCAAGTTTGGAATATTGTTAACATTAATTATTTTATTATTAAAATTGCACAAGTGTTGGAGATAGTGTTGATCCAACTGTTGATTGATCAAGAAAGACAATTCCTTTGGAGTGATATTAATTAAATATAATCGGTCGTTAATAATGTTAAAATAATGGCAATGAAAAGTAAAAAACAATACGGTGGTGTGGCACATATTAGTTCTAATTCAAATTTATATCCAGCTATTAATCAAACTTATTGGGCACCACAACCTCAGAATGTGCCTTATTCAGTACCAGGTAACATCATTAATTTTATTAACACCATCATATTTAATTGTTATTGAATAATTATTGTTACAGTTTATAATTGTTATTATTAATTTATTTATTTAAGATTAATAATTATCTCGTCATTGTTAAATACTATTTATATTAACACATTCAAGTTTCATATTTATTTATTTAACATTTACATTATTGTTAATCTACAATTGCTAATGTGTTAATGCCTTTAATCGTTGCTAATAGTCATTACAAGATTTATTTCAATGAATCTGAATAATAATAAATAGAAAATACTAGAGAATAATGATATGCATACTTGTAAGATGAGTTAAGATTTAAAATATTTTTTTTTTTTTTTTTAAATTAATTATAATTACAGTTTATTTTAATTAAATATTAATTTCAATTTTATTTATTTATTTTGAGTTTATTAAAACTTATTAGTTCGTACAGCTTACAGTTGTTCTGATATAAAATGGTATGATTTAGAAAATAGAAAACAAATAGACAGATTTTGGTGTTTTAGAAAAAAGTGATCTCACTGTAAATCTTAGTTCTCCAAAATGCATTATTTTAATGCGGATAAGTGTGTTAAATATGACGTCACCCATTTGATTAACATTGTAGTCACTTTTAACGCATTTCTAAGTGTATAAAAAGTTACTACAATTTTAATCAAATGGATGACGTCATATTTAACACACTTATCCGCATTAAAATAATGCATTTTGTAAAACTGGAATTTACAGTACTGCTTCCTCAAAATGGGGTGTATTTATGGGATTAAATCTAGGATAGAAGGGGTTGTTGTTTGGTGACGAAAAGCTATTTTTTGGGGTAGAGAAACGATTTGAATCAGGTAGTTGAGGATTTGGAAAATGGTGAAAAGTGTAGTTTTCTGGGGTAATATTGAAGTGCAGTTTTATGGCAGGATATAGAAGAAAGAGTTTAGGGAATTAAGAAAGCTAGATAAAATATATATATATATAAATAAACTACACTGATAGAAGTATTTCTTTGTATCTAACATAATTTATTAGCAGCTAATAAATATGTTATTTGAAAAAGAAATCGAGTGAACATTTGTTAACAGTTAAGAAATTATTTATTAGAGTAGATTTATTTGGCTCAATAAATGATTTCTTAGCTGCAAACAAATATTTATTTCTCATCTAAATACTATGATTGGGCTCGATGGTAAGGTAGAATAATGGTAAAGCATAATCAAATGTTAGGTTATATTATGAAATAACTTTTATTTATTGAAAATTTTTAAATAAAAAATAACGGTTTCGTAATGATTAAAATTAATATTTTCTTTTAAACAATAGCTCGACGAGCAATTACATTATAACCATTTAATTTCGTGTGAATTTTTAATGGTTTTATAAATATAATAATATCAGACTGCTAAGCAAAGAAGATTTATTACCTACAAATAAATCTTTATATGTATCAAATAAATGCCGAAAAATAATTTTAATGAATTCATTTAGTCCCACCAAATATATTCTTCTATCAGTGTATATTATAATATAAGGGCAGGATATATAACCATAAATGATGATGATGATAGGTTAAGTGACTCGAATTTCTTTATTCCACCATTTAAAGAGATGAACTAACTAGAAATTAATTGTTATTAAATATTTTTTATCTTCTAGTTAAGCACATTATGATTAATTTAAACAAAATTAATTCTTCTTATAATTTATAATCTTTTGGACTTGACTGTTTATTATTGTTACATTTACCATGTTCAGTAGTTGAAAATTAAATTATTTAAAGCATAATATTTTATTAAAAATTAATATTTGCTATTTATTAGACTTTATTTTTATTTATTTATATTTTTGTGTAAACAGAATATTTAAAAAGAATGAAATACTTACTTTTGAATCATGTTTAAATAATTTCTGGAAAAAGGAACGATGAAGATCTTTTACTCAAACATGTCTGAAATTTATTAAATTCAAACTTGAATATTTTATTTAAAATCAGCATAAATAATTATAAGGTAATCTTGACTAGAAGAGTGAATAAAAATATAAACCATAAATTTATCTTAACTATGTCATTTTTGTTTTATATATTTGGTATTGTTGGATACTAAGACTTCGAGTGAATTTTATCTTGAGATGAGATGCTTCTCGTACAAAGATTTTGACAAAACTGATTACTTAATCCTAGGGAACAGGGTTATTTGAAGATGTATGACACTTTTATAAATTTCATTTTTAAAGCTTGAATTTGAGATGTATAATAAAGTAAATAATATTTTATTGATTTCCATCAAAAAAATATACCGTTTCTGATATATTTTATGAAACAATTGAACTTATAGTCCAGTCAATATAGGAGGCTTGGCTCCATTTGTGTTGAAAATTTTTGTACAAAGGGCAATTTTTAATTTTCTAATGTCAAAATATCCGTAATGACCTGTAGAAAAAATGTGCCCAAAAACGAAAGTGCGCTGATTTTTTTTTATATGATTTTTTCGCATTTCAATGGTCCCGTGTATCTAAGCGAGACAGCACTATAGGCGGCACCACGCGCTAGAGAAGGACACAACTATCGGAATGTAAAAATCGTATTTTCGATAAAAAAAAATTGTAGTTTTCTTGTTCAATATTATTTTATTAATTATTTGATGAACAAAAAAAACCTACAAAATCATCAATTTCTTAAAGTTGGTAATTTTTTTATTTATTTATAAAAATTTGTTTTTTTATTTATGTATAAAAAATTGCTTCATTATAATAAATAATACATTTATTTATTATATTCATTTATTATTTATTTACTTATTTTAGGCAAATATTTGACGAAAAAAATTTTAAAAAATATTAAATTAATATTAAAAAATTTCAACGTTTTTTTATTTATTTATGCAACAAAAATAGGTGTTACTGGGTTTATTTTTCTAAAATTAAATAAAAACTTTGGCAAAATGGAATAATGGATGGTCCGACATGTTGAATGCGATGCTGACAGCAGTCATATGGAAGCTTTTATTTATAATAAATAATTATAAATCAGTACAATTTAAATTATTACCAATTAATCATTAGTTAAAATTTAAAAAAAGAATTTAGGTACACATAATTATAAAAAAAACCTATTTAAAAATTTTTTAGATGTACTGCGGGATTCGACTAGACATAAATCCTTGAAGAGGACTCCTCTTAGCAGGTTTTAAAAGGGTTGTTTCATGACAGGATATATAAAAATGGAGTTCATGACAAATTTCTAAAAAATCTAGTAAAATCAAGTTCTTACTTATATTTCTATAAAACTTATAATAAGGGAGAGGTATCTAACAGTATTTAGGTTTTATTGATTCTTAAAAATTTTTAATACTCACCTGGTTTGAATGAAGAACATATTTATGACACCTTCAAGTCATTTATCATCACACTTTAAACATATTTATTTTTATAAAGAATTTATTTATAAATAAATAAATAAATAGATAAAAATGTTCCAACGGTTTTGGATAATTTTTAAAATATTAATGAAACTATTAATCGAATATAAAATATGAAAAAATAAAAAAACTCTAGACAATTAGTATGTAAGAAAGGATGCATCCCGTTTTCTCTGTAATATAAACGTGACACATTGTATGCATACGTATAAGGCGCATATGTTTGACCGGAAGAGACCATTTTTAGAGATGAGAATATAGTATCTCATACAAATGTTCTTTATTTGATTTGTATATTTATATAATGTATATATAAAATACTATCGATAAAATATTTATTTTACATTATCAATTTAAACTCTTCTATAATATCCCGTTACATCAAGAATAAAATAAATTTAACATTTAATTCAACATATATTTTATTATTTTATTTTTTTTATTTATTTTAGATCGCAAACTCTTTGTTGGGATGTTATCAAAAAAGTACACCGAGAATGACGTTAGGAATATGTTTGATACTTATGGAGCTATTGAAGAGTGTTCTGTACTGAGGGATAACAGTACTGGTCAAAGTCGTGGCTGTGCTTTTGTAACTTTTGCCAGTAAACAGCATGCTATAAATGCCATCAAAGCTTTGCATCATTCACGTACAATGGAGGGTTGTTCATCACCATTGGTGGTGAAATTTGCTGATACCCAAAAGGAGAAGGATCAGAAAAGAATGCAACAGATGCAAGCAAGTTTATGGAATATTGCTGGAGTTAATAACAATTTAATAACGACACCACACTATCTGACTAATGTAAATAATTTATTTAACTTCAATATTAAACTCTATAATGAATTATAAGCAAGTGTTGTATCCAATTATATAATATTCTTATCATATGAACAAAAGTTGATGATATTTAACTTTGATTTTATTTTATATTTTAGACGGATTCTTATGGCTTAGCATCAGCACAACTTCTCCAGCAACTTCAAACAACTTTGAATACTAATGGCAACTTAGCAGGTGGTGGATTGGTAACACCCACTACTTTGACAACTCCTAACACTAATCCACTTATCAATAATAGTCTCATTCAACATCAACTGCTTATTCAGCAACATTTAGAATTGAATGCAGCAGCAGCAGCAGCGGCAGCTGCTGCTGCTGGTGTAGTAACACCACAAACTCTACCGCCAAATTTACCTGAATTAAATACCACTACTGGTCTTCAGGGATTGCCTGGTATTGCATCACTTGGTAATTCCACTGCTGGAGCTGATTATGTTTCAGGTGTTACTTATTTATTGATTTATTTCAGATTTAAGGTAGTATGGGTTATTAACTGGCCATCTATTTTACTTTAAATAGATTACAAAAGATCATTCAAATCTTATTATAATTAAATCAATATTATCATAGTTAATAATACACTAAATTCAGTAATAAAAAAACCTAACCTGTTTTTCGGTGTATTTTGAGGCCTGATTAAGGCCTAAATTAATTTTCAGACCCATAATGAACTCATTTGAATTAGAATTATTTTTTAGATTCACTAAATGCCCAATTGAGGCCCACAAAATGTCTAAATCAGGCCCAAAAAAATTTTTTAAGCCTATAATGTACTTAATTTAACCTCATTTTCTGAAATTATATTCAAGAATAAATTATTACAACTGTGAATTTGCTGCATTAAAGATAATTAAATAATAAGTTGTTCTCTTTTGTTGTTTTAAAAATATTTTTGGGCCTTAATTGGGCATTTTGTGAATCTAAAAAATAATTTTAACTTAAATTAAGTGAATTGTGGGTCTGAAAATTAACTTAGGCTCAAATTAGGTCTCAAAATACACTGAAAAAAGGTTAAATTTTATTATTAGACTCCTTTTTGGCACTAAAAATATTTTTAGACTAAAATAAGGCCTACATTGGGCCTTATTTTCATTTTGAGCCTCTTTTAATTTTACTCAGAATTATTATACACTTCAAAATTTCCTGAAAATATGAAAATATTAATTTTATTGAAAGAATTAATAATTAGTTTTCTATTGTGTCAATGTCAAAAACTCCAATATTTGATAATTAATTTTCAAAACAATTAATTTGAATGTTCATCTTTAATGCATATAATTAGTTTACTGTTGTGAGTGTATTATTATCTTTTATTCATACTACCTTAAATGTGATATTATATATTATTTATTAAAATAGATAATTATCTTATTATCTTTTACATAACGTTTAATAATATTGTAATATTTTACAGCAAATACAACAGTCGGTAGTACTCCAATGACCGTACAAAAATTGATGGCTCTTGCTGCGATAACGAACGCAAATGCAGGCATACAAATTCCACCAGTCAGTAAGTTGATTAACAGCAAAATGAATAATTGAATAAAATTCAGTATATACGTAATACACATATACCATCTAAATGCATATATACTCTAAGTGGATAATACTCTTACTATATTCACTATTGAATATTTAATTGCAGCTTTAAGTGGATTAGCAGCAGCTACTTCATCTCAAACAGGTATTTTACAACCAACTTATTGATTTTCTACTCTGTTTCTACGGTGTATACCCCCCTTTTCACGTTATGTAATTTTGTGTCTGGAGATTTGAAATGGTCCAGAAGGGATTTTATTTTCTGTTCGGTTTCTGGATACTTTCTTTTCTTTTTTTTTTTTTTTCCTAAAGGTGTAAAAATTATCAGAAATTGAATGAAAAGTTTCAAAAAGAAATTTTATTGTACAAAAGATTGGAAAGAAAGTTGATAAAAAATTTCTTGTCATAGAGAAAAGTTTAAGTAGAAAGAAAAAAAACATTAAAAAAAAGAAAAAAAGATTTTAAAGTTTCTATGGTAAGTCAAAGTATTAAGTTACTAAGGAAAATTCTTCATTTTGAAGGAACAAAATAAGTCACTGGTAAATTCTTAAGTATGAGAAATTGACGTAAAAGTTTTATTGTTAAAAAGAATAAATGATTTTTATTATTATTATTAATTAATATTAAATGTAAATTTTATTTATATGGTAATGGTAAAATAAAAGCTTCAATATTATTTTTTTCTTTTGTTCAGCTTAATAATATTTTAATGGGTTGCATTATTATTGTAGGATCAACGGGAAATAATGTAATGACAAACAATACAAACAATAATAGCAGTTCAAATAGTTGCAACACTAACAGCTGCTTTAATCCTGTATCATCTTTAACGCTTAATTCTCTTCCTGGCACTTCTCTAAGTGGTGGTGGTGGTGGTAGTGAGGGTGGTAGTACAGGTGTAGGATGCCTTCAAGACTCTTTAGGCAGTACTTATTCAAGTTTACAACATTATGCAGGTAAAAAATTGCATTATCAAGCTTTTCCACTTGTTAGAGAAAAAGTATCGAAAAAAATTGAAGTAAAATTAGATAATAAGGAAAATTGCTTGCTCATGAAGATTTAATCTTCATCTTTTTTTTTTTTTTAATTTATTTATTATTTTACTGATGAAAAAGCATTTTTATTAAACATCGATAATTTTATTTAAGTCTAAAAATAATAAATAAACTAAATGAAAATGTTTTTTAATAGGATTTCCAGCATTAACTCCAGTCTCAGCTACTGTAGGAACTAATACAAATTGTGGAATCGGTGGAAATAACTCAACAGCAGCTGTTGCTGCTGCTGTATTGGCAGCTCAGCAACAAGCTATGATTGTAAACGCAGCTGGGAAGCAAACAGAGGGTCCTGAGGGATGTAATCTGTTTATTTATCATCTACCCCATGAGTTTACCGACATTGATCTCGCCTCTACTTTTGTACCATTTGGTAATATGCTTTCTGCCAAAGTAGTTATTGATCTCAAGAAAAATTCAAGTCGTTGTTTTGGTAAGTCAGCAATCTCTTTTATTACTTTTTCAATTCAATTATTTATATCAATATTGGATGTTTAAAAATTCATCTTTGAGATAGTTTTAACAAAATAATGAACTCATTTATTAAACTCATAAGAACAGTAAAGAATGTTGGGCTTTAATTATTACTACCCTAAAGCTAAGACTAACTTAAACTTCTTATAAAAGCTCAACTTGGCCCTTTTATGTAAGATTTTTATAACCAAGAAAGACTTAGTCTCGAATTAAATATAAACAAATTAGTCAAGTCTTGCTAACAACCAATGTCATCATTTATCAAGATATAGATGGAGATAGGCAATTATGATGTTACAAGATTTAAAAAAAAAAGTGTCAGGCAGTCATAGGGACTGGTGATAGAAGTGAAAACTTGTAACTATAAAATAACAATGGTTTGTTTGAATTTTTAAATAAATTGTAGTACCAAAAATTGAAAATTGATTATTTGTAAATGAAACTTATTGATATTAGTCTAGTTTTAACATCTATCGAGACTCCAAGTAATTATTCTATTCATTTTTATATAGTTTATTTATTAATTAAAATAGACCATAGATTTCGCAGACTCAGTACAAAGTATTAATGCTACTTTATTTAAATAATAGTTTATATACACTAATATTATTTATATATACAGTTGGTATTAACACAAATATCAATCATCATTATTATCATTAACTTCAACAATACTTCAATCATTTGTACTTTGAATAATTTGATTACATTGTAAAAATGATACGATAGGTCTAGGGTAACTGAAGTAACAAACGAAAATTTATGATTGGAATTGATGTAAATATGGTGTAAAAACTGGATCAATCGTCGTTTTATATTAAGTCGTAGTGCATTTTCGATCATTGGACATGTTGGTGATGCAACCAACTCACTAGTTCATACCCTGCTAAAAATCACTCACCACATCTAAAGGATATTTTTTTATCCAAAAACTTTCTCAATCAATCTCAATTATTTTAGATAGAATTATCTAGAGTGTTGATTATAAGTTAATATAATGGAGTCGATTTTTGGAATTCGTAATTTTATTATATCTTTACATTTTAAGTCATTTGAAAGCATATTAGAAGGTTTAAAAATGGATTTACGTACGTACAGTTGTCTGTACGTATAATTGTACGTACGTATGTCCGATTTTTTTGTTTCTTTTTCGATATCTCGAGAACCACTGAAGATATCGACTCTAAATAAATTTCATTTTGAAGATAATACAATGAAGAAAATTTTGGAAGGAGTTTGAACAAATTTAGTCCAGCCGTTTTTTTTTTATAACAAAAAGAGTGTAAAATAAGTTGAATAAAAATAACATTTGAAATAGATTCTACTTATTAGATGATTAACATTGTTGACATTGTTGAGGTCAAAACAATATGGTTGTTAACAACTTCAAATGACTCTAAACAATTGTATATTGTTTATAAAAATTCCAATTTGTTATAAACAATTTAAAATGGTTTTAATTTATTGAATAATCATTACTATAATTATATTTAATAAATATCGATAAAATATTGTCATAAATAATTTGAAGTGATTAAACTATCGTATATTGTTCATAACAATAGCAATTTGTTATAAACAATTAAGAATGATTTTAATTTATTGAATAATCATTACTATAATTATATTTAATAAATATCGATAAAATATTGTCATAAATAATTTGAAGTGATTAAACAATTGTATATTGTTTATGAAAATTCTAATTTGTTATAAACAATTAAGAATGATTTTAATTTATTGAATAATCATTACTATAATTATGTTTAATAAATATCAATAAAATATTGTCATGAATAACTCGATGTGATTAAACAATCGTATATTATTCATAACAATAGCAATTTGTTATAAACAATTAAGAATGATTTTAATTTATTGAATAATCATTACTATAATTATATTTAATAAATATTGATAAAATATTGTCATAAATAATTTGATGTGATTAAACAATTGTATATTGTTTATGAAAATTCTAATTTGTTATAAACAATTTAAAATTGAAAGATGACAAAATTACGGATTTCAATGAATGGGAATACTAAAGTGCAGTCAGATCCACTTTGACAGATTTTTTATTGGATCCAATGTATTCATGACCTTTCTAGTTTTATTTTATTTATTTGCAATTATATTATTAATTATAATTCATTTTAATACCATTCAACTATTAATATATTAAAGTAATAAGTAGCCAAGTTATACAAATCATCTGGCTAATTAAAAATTAATCTTTTATAGGTTTTGTATCTTACGATAATCCAACAAGTGCCGCAGCAGCTATACAAACAATGAATGGGTTTCATGTAGGTGCAAAACGTCTTAAAGTTGAACATAAACGAGCCAAAGAAGCTGCTAAACCATATTGAGCAGGATGGATTTATTTGTAGGTAGATAATCTCCATTGCAGTATTATTTTAATTATGTAATATTTACATAAATTATTTTATTAATTTATTTAAAACAAATTAAACAAAAAGTAAGAAAAAAATAATTAATAATACGTTTATTAAACTGTCATTATTCATTATGAGTATTAATATTAATTACGTATATTATTTTATCTACGTAAACAAAAAAAAAAAAATAATTTTTTAGTATTTTCCAGAAAAGTACAATTTAAAAATTATGCATTTTTAATTATATACATTTTTTTCTTTAATACCAAAGGTAAATTATTATAAACAAAAACAAATGTCTGTGATATATCGTTAAATTAACGTTTATTTTATTTAATAATACGCGAATTAAAATTTTCTAGTCATTTATGTGCTTGAATTTTTCATAAATTAATTTATAAAAAATATATACACACATTTTATTGTAAGTTTAATCGTCAATTTAATTAACACTTGACGTATAATATATATATATAATATATATATATTATTTAATTTAAAATATTTATTGTATCATTGTTGTTGCTATAATCGTTTTTATTTAAATGACGCTATAAATATAACAAAATGGCTTATTATATGTATATGGATAAACTAACCACGTTTACGTGTTTGTTGTGTGTACAGATGCAGATGCACAGGCCTGTGACAACGTATCTGATGATCGGAATAACTATATCTGTGCCATATAAATATATAAATATATATATAAATATATATATATACACATAGAAGCGTATTAAAAAAAAAAATAAATAAAATATATATATATATATATATATATATATGTTTATATATATACATGTATACATATACCATGTCTGTTTCATGCAACAATTGTGCGATGCACAATTCATTATTTCAAGTATTGCTTTTTTTGTCAAACGCGGTGCCTGTATTGTTACAACACAATATTAGTTTACACTTTGATTATTGCTTTCTATCTCATTTTTCTTTTTAATTAATGTATTGTACTATTTTTTTTTTTGTTTTCATTTGAAATTTATGTTATTAACAAGTTTAGATACCAAAAATTATCTACTATTCTTTCAATTATTATTATTAAGATGAATCAAAGATTTATATTGATAAGACTAAAATAATTATTTGAAAATCAACTTTAAGTTTATCTCTAACTAAAAGGTGCATCTAATATTATATATATATATATGTATTTTATCTCAGTTACAAACATGAATTGATAACAATTTTTCTTATTTTTTATGTTAAACATATTATTATTATTAATAATTTGTGTATGTTATTTTGATTTTTCGTTCTTTTCTTTTCTTTTTTTTTTTGTTTTTAAAAAAAAAAAAATAATTTTTATTTCAAACTGTAACTGTTAATAAATGTTTAAAAAAATATCAATAATAAATATCGTCATATCTATTTTTTAAACTTAAATGCATCTTTAAGTTTGAAATTAGATAATTATATTAAATATAATTATTATATAAAAAAGAAATGATGTTTGACATATCGTGGTTGGCAAAGATTATAACAAAATATATTAATTTCATCGTGCATCCAATCATAATTATATTATATATTAAACCTTAACTATAATAGTTATTCATCAATAATCAATTATCATTGATACAAAGATAAACAAAACGAAAAAAAATAACTAAACAAAAATTTGAAAAAAATATATTGATAATTTTTATTGGAAAAATAAAAACAAAAAGTGCCCACTGTATTTGTGTTGTGTGTGTTGCAGGTTACAAAAGCCTATGCATGAATATTAATAATGAACTAATAAATATATCAATTTATTTATTCATTTAATAGATTCTTTTTTTTTAGAAAACATCAATAATAATAATAATAATAATAATAATATGGTCGAAGAAAATTTGTTGTCATCTTGCTCACATTATTATAATTTATTTCCTTTTTTTTATTATTTATTTGTTTCAATTGTGACTTATTATATTGTTTATAAAATACTTAATTAATAATAATAAACAAACAATTAATAGGTGATAAAAAGAATAATATGAAAAAAAAAAAACAAATATACCAATTATATTATTGAATAAAAAAAGTGTCAACAGTGATTTTAAAATTAATAATTATGATAAAGAATGATGAATAAATTAAATAGAAATAATGAAGAAGATTAAGTAGCGAATTGTGAATGTTTGTTATGTCAAGCAAATGTATATATAAAGAACAATGTATTAGTTGTCAATATGTTGAAATGCGTGATATGTACTGTGCAAAAAGTATACTAGATAACACCAGTCCTTACTAAACAAGATATAACGATCGATTAAATGAATTTAAAAAAAATTTGTAGATTTTTTACGATCATTTAAATAAAAAAATAAAATTTATAAAAAAACAAAAAAAAAAAAGAAATCACTAATTGTAATTGATATTGACGTTAAAGTGATTTATTAATTAGACGCTTTTGTGTGTCAATCAGTCAATCGTAAAATGTGAGAATGTAAAAAAGAAAAAAAAAAAACAAAAGAAAAAAATGGTGAAAGAGTTGAAAATGATAGAACAATTATATAACAAACATGTGATGAAAAAATTCGCGTTAAAATAAGACTACATATAGTGCGATAAAACATTTGTATTTGAATAAAAACATATTTTGCCGATATGAAATGTAATTATGTTTATTTATTAATTCATTTTTGATTAATAATTATTCTATTTATAAAAATAATTCTATAATATTCGAGATAAATTGCAGACGATATTGGCAAAAATAAAATATTACTTAATTAAATAGAAAAGCTTTTTATCATTTATCAATGTTATGAATAAAAATCGATTTCAATCGTGATAGTGCTTTATACTACAAGAAATTATCGTTCATATTTTCTGTGGTTATTATTCGAAACGCATCTTCGTTTTTATTTATTTTTTGTTTTAATTTAACTTTCATTTAATATGATTAATAAAATAAATATAACTAAAAAATGGCAACCATTTCGTGCGACTAATTTTTTATCACTTATGTGGCCATGTTTAATACTTTGGAAAATTCATGGAGTGTTTCCATACAAATTTAAAACACCAACATCAATAATTATTTCAAAACCTGTATACATATTTTCAATAATAATTATCATCTTTTATTTAATAACATATTCATCTATTATGTATCACATGGATGTGACTGGAGAGCTAGATTATGACAGTGTTCCAGCAATCTTGCAAGCAAATAGTTATTTATCATTTGGATTTTGGATAATAATAACAGCATTTTTTCAACGTAAAACAAGAACTGATTTTCTAGAAAAATTAGCTAAAGAATCGGTAAAAATACCAGCTAAAAAATATCGTCAATTATCAAGATTAATTCATCTGAAAGATTTAATTGGTATTCTGTTTGTTTATGCACATTTTCCAAATATTTTCTCATCAAGTTATCCACTGATTGGTTTTAAAGCTTTTGGAGTTTACACAACAATTATAGTATATCTAGTGAATGCACTCTACACCAATTGTGTCTTAATAATTCATACTCATTTTCAAATAATTAATGAGAAATTAATTAAATTAAAGTTTCATATTGAAAATGATGAATGCCATTTATTACGACGAATTTATCATGTACGTAAAAATCCACTTATTTTAATGGAAATTAAAAAAATAATAAAAGAACATAATGATGTTTGTAATTTAGTATTACAACTTAATTGTACTTTTTCATTACAAATGATCGCCATAGTTACCTTAACTTTTGCTGAAATAACATTTTCATTATATTTCTATATTTTAAAAACCGTTGGATTTAAAGATATTAATCTTGAAAAGCAAATATGGTATTCGTATTTCATAACGTCTGTAACATATTATTCTGGATATATCATAACAGCCGTTGGTGTTTGTGAACATGCTAAAGATGAAGCAGACAAAACAGGAATTATTGTACATGAGATATTAAATAATACTATTGATAAACAAATAGCAGAAGAGGTAAAAAAAAAAAAAAATAATTCATATTTTAATTATTTATTAGAATTATTTTTTTTTTTTTCATTAAAAATTTTCATTTATTTAGTTACAAATATTTTCTCTACAATTACTTCATCGTAAGACAAATTTTTTAGCCAAAGGATTGGCACTTGATTACACTCTTTTAACCTCGGTAATTGATTTTATATTAATAATTTTACCGATAATAAACAAAAAAATTCTCAACTAACCTCATTTTTTTTTTTTTTTATTTAAAGATTGCAGGCGGTGTTACAACTTATCTTCTAATATTAATACAATTTTTAATAACTACAAATTCATGTCAAATGAATAATAATAGTACAACAACAATCGCAATAACAACAATGGCTAATAATTGACGATAATTACCGATATTTTATTATCAACAGTAATTACTATGTTTTATTGAATGTACAAATTTTCTTTAAAAGGTAATTTCCCGTGAAAAACAAATTCAGATCTGTTCAGATTAAATTCAATTTGATAACCCGGAAACGATTCAAATCTGATCATATCTAAACTTGCTTTTCACCGGTCGATAAAATAGTTTCTTAAATGGACAATTATCAATTGTCGGTAATTTGGTGTTATGATTGAGGAAATATGTACATTGCTGTCGATAAAACAGTTTGGAAATTGATTATTATTTAATTTTTTGTCAATGTAAGAACGTCATCTTAATGTTATTTATTCAAGTTAAGTATTCAACTGATTGAAGAAGAGAATACATACACATGAAATCCTTGTGCATAGCCAACAAGTGTATTATATAGTAGTGCAGTGACTGATACAACAGCTTTAACTTGTGACACACAATATTATTATTAGCGTAGTCATTTCTACAATATCATCTTGAATTTTTTTTTTTTTTTGTTTTTTTCATTATTATTATTACATTTAACAATCTTATTGTTTAAATTTATGATAATTCAATTAGTACTATTACATTATTATACTGATAATTACTTAAACAATGTGTCAATTTATAAATAAATTGTTTACGAGAATAGTTGGTGGAAAAAAATGAATAAAATTACAGTGAATTAATTTTGAAATAAAAAAAAAAATAATCGTTAGTTAAATTAATGTTACTTTTTTAATTGTTAATTGAGGTTATATGAATTGTTGTTTTTTTTTTTTTTTGAGTAGTTTTGTGAGTAATTATGTTTCAAAAGTGAATTATTCGTATATTAATCAATGTAAGATAAGTAAATACAGTTTTATGATTGAAGAATAAATAAGTGAGTGGCGCACATTTTATTTCTAGGTCATGAGGTAATTGAATCAGCTGATAAATGTTGTTTACATTTAAAAAAAATTATTTCTAACAAACTTTAATTTTTTTTTATATAATTTTTAATCTTATAAATAATTCTTTCCCATCAAAAAACATATAATATTTTACTTTATTTGTTTAATTAAAAAAAATTTTTTCTTTTATCAATAAATATATATATATTTATATTAATAATGTTAATAAAAGTATAACTTCATGGCAATATTAATGAAATGAATTTATATGTTGATTAAATACCCGTCACACTGTGGTTCATATATTTAATCAGATATATTTATTTCAAGGACAATAGGAATTGATATTTATCCTGTAAATAAAAAAGAACATCATTCTTATGTATTTTGTTGCTTATGTATTTTTTATTGATACTATATTAAAAGTGGATAAGATTCACCTTGACGACATAACGACCTTGTTGATAAGCTTTACTCTTGTTTAACATAAAATGGACTTTTATTTATGATATATTCATTTAAACAACCATTTTTATAATCAATAATTTGATCATCATTCATAATGAACTTTTTCAATAATTTAATTAGATTATTTATCATTAAATTGAAAAATAAGGTTAAATGAGGAAATAAAAAAAAAGGGATATAATTGTTATTGTTAATGGAATAAATAATAAAATGAAGTTAAGTAGAAACAAAAAAGGAATCAAGTGAAATTTAGATGGCGAAGTAAATATGCTTTAATGACGTATTAAAATATTATCTACATATATACACTTTTGTTGAGTTGTCTTTTGTTTTTCTCATTTGCTAGTAAGTGCGTCAATTTATGATCAAACATATCTATGTATACTCATTGATGTTACGTACATAGTTTTATGATTCACGTGCATATTGTTGACGTAAAGCATAATGTTTTTTTATTAACGAAATTTTAATTGAGAATTTCTTTGAGTAATGAATGAATCTACATGATGTATTGGTTTTTTTTTATTATTATTATTTATTATTAATTAATGTTTTTGATTATTTATTGTATTGTTTTTTTTTTTACAGGTACAAGTCAATATGCATATATTTGAAATACTTATCAGCCTATTGGTAATTCGAGCAATTAATTGTTCCAATCATTGTCTTACGATGATAAAAGGTAAGTAATCAATGGGTCATTGTCAAATAATTTTGCACAGATAAATTTGACCCAGTAATAGAGTTGTTTAATTATTGTTAAACTTAAAAAAATATTGTGATACTTAATGTGAGAATTATTGAGAAGTTTTTCATTTAATTTCATATTTTCTCATAAATACTCCATCATAATTGATGAAAATGTGTCGAACAAATAGTGAATATCAACGAAAAACAATGAGAGATCTGAAAATTTTTGAAATATTATGAAAAAAGATGAGAAAATTGCAAGATTTTATTTCTCAGTTTTTCTTTGACCTGTTCCAATTCTCAAGAAAAGTATGAGCAATTTTCGGGGATGTCTGAGGAAATTTTTTCTCTAGGGTGCAACTAATATTGCATCTGACTTGTTTAATTTAATAATAAAAGGTTAAACGTAATGATAATAAAGTTGTATTATTTTACATCTTGATCCACTAAATCTGGAATAAAACATCAATTATTACCTAAACATCACAATGTATCATAATAAACCAAAGTTTAGTCGTTCCTAGACATTCATTTCTTCATATTTATGCCACTTCAACTTACTTTTACCTGCGTAACCTTTGACAATGACCCTAGTTATATTTTATAAACACAATGAAATAATTGAAATTAACATTTAATAAACAATTTCAGAAGTAAATCCAAAACGAGTCGTTCATCTAGATGGACAGCCTCTAAACATATCCTTGGAGTTGACCCGTCGTCCAACGCAGCGTTTAATAACCCGAATAATGGAGATCTTCTTAGTTGAGGTTCTTGGTTATCCAGGTGTGAATGTTGTTGAAAGAGATGATTGGTTTGATGCAATCATAGTATTTGCACGAATGTCAGAAACGCTGACCTACGGTCACAGAGTGTGAGTGGAAGGACACTTCAATACTATGATTATTAATCCAAGATGTTAGTTTAATTATTTAAGAAGCCACTAATCATGATGATTATTATATAGAATAAATAATTATTTTAGTGTTCCAGAGACTATGGTTAATATGGAAGCATGGATTCCACCACAAGAGGATACTCAGATGTTTCGAAATCATTATAACGTTCGAGAATGTGGTTCTGTAACTAATCCAGGACGATTTGGTTGGTTTATACCTGGTGATCTCAGTGAACCTGATGATACATGGAGAATATTTGCTAAACAAGAATCAGCTAATCGGTTTGACGTTGATACATCTACACTCCTCGTCATTCAAAATTATACAAAAGATCTAGAAACTGGTCAATTTTATTGTCAAGAATCATTTTGTCATGAAGGAATGTATATCCCAAGTCAATGTCAAGGATTAAATCAAAAATTACAACCATGTGCTTTACTTCTTGCTTCAGAATCTGATGTAACATACTTTGTCAAAGATCATATTGATATTCTAAAATTGTATGTCAAAGTGGCCTGGGTTGGACCTCATTTAAAAAACTTGACGCGAATGTTAACAAAACAGTACGTCTTAAATTATATGAATGAATCGAATTTATTCAGAAGATCATTGGTGATCTTACATTGGACACCAAGTGATATCATTCCGAATGAAAAAGAATTTATTGCTGTGGACTTTCCTAAATGTGGTACAAGAGGTTTAAAATTAGATTGTGTTTACGAATCAAATCGATTAGTTAAATTGGCATGGTCTAGATTGGAATCAATAGCTAAGTTTGCTTGGGAAGCAATTAATAAGGCACGATTTAGTCCTAAAATGTATGATGATCTAATGGATCGATATAATAGATTAATTGATAAAGGGAAAAGTGAAAAGCAAATAGCATGTGATTGGCTGCAAGATAATTTAAATTATACATTAAATACATGGATGCCAAATAATGCTGATAAAAATGAACTTTTTGTTGGTGGTATTTTTCCAATGAGTGGTGGAATATCTGGTAAATCGATCGTTATTGCTGCACGAATGGCTAAAGAAGCAATTAACGTAAATAACTCATTACTACATGATTACAATCTTACACTATTAGCAAGTGATGGTCAATGTAAATCGGATATGGTAATGAAATCATTTATTGATTATATTGTTCACAATTATTATAAGAAGCTTATTGGAGTATTAGGTCCAGCTTGTTCTGATACTATTGAACCACTTATTGGTATTTCACGTCATTATAAAACTGTTGTAATAAGTTATAGTGCTGAAGGTTCTACTTTTAATGATCGTAATCGGTATCCATATTTCTTCCGGACTATTGGTGAAAATAAACAATATCGTCATGTTTATTTAGAACTTTTTAAAATATTTGGATGGCAAAGGGTAGCAGCACTTACGGAAGATGGACAAAAATATACAGAATATATTTCATATTTACAAGAGATGCTGAGAGAAAATGAGATTAATTTTTTAGGAAATTTTAAATTCCCGAGAGAAAGAGAAATTCATGAAATGACTCAGGTAAGTTATTTTAGATTAAGTAATTAAATATTTATTGATAAAATGGTTTATTTATTTGTGTTTTTTGGCAGTATTTGGCAGATTTGAAGACAAAAAGAGCTCGAATTATTATAGCAGATATTTATGATAAAGCTGCTAGAGAAGTTATGTGTGAAGCATTTAAATTAGAAATGACTGCAGAGAAGGTAATACAAGAAATGTTATTGATTAATAATACATCAAACTGTGCTTTCGAAGATGGCTTTAATATTGAATAGCTTTTTGCTTAAATGGTTCATGTTAATTAACATATTAGGGTCATTGTCAAAGGTTGCGCAGGTAAAAGTAAGTTGAAGTGGCATAAATATGGAGAAATGAATGTCTAGGAACGACTAAACTTTGGTTTATTATGATACATTGTGATGTTTAGGTAATAATTGATGTTTTATTCCAGATTTAGTGGATCAAGATGTAAAATAATACAACTTTATTATCATTACGTTTAACCTTTTATTATTAAATTAAACAAGTCAGATGCAATATTAGTTGCACCCTAGAGAAAAAATTTCCTCAGACATTCCCGAAAATTGCTCATACTTTTCTTGAGAATTGGAACAGGTCAAAGAAAAACTGAGAAATAAAATCTTGCAATTTTCTCATCTTTTTTCATAATATTTCAAAAATTTTCAGGTCTCTCATTGTTTTTCATTGATATTCACTATTTGTTCGACACATTTTCATCAATTATGATGGAGTATTTATGAGAAAATATGAAATTAAATGAAAAACTTCTCAATAATTCTCACATTAAGTATCACAATATTTTTTTAAGTTTAACAATAATTAAACAACTCTATTACTGGGTCAAATTTATCTGTGCAAAATTATTTGACAATGACCCATTGATTACTTACCTTTTATCATCGTAAGACAATGATTGGAACAATTAATTGCTCGAATTACCAATAGGCTGATAAGTATTTCAAATATATGCATATTGACTTGTACCTGTAAAAAAAAACAATGCAATAAATAATTAAAAACATTAATTAATAATAAATAATAACAATAAAAAAAAACCAATACATCATTTAGATTCATTCGTTACTCAAATAGTTTGACAATCATTAAACATTCTGTTACTGGGTCAAGTTTACCTGCGCCAAATTATTTGACAACGACCTATTGATTCTAAAGTAATTAAGACCTGTATAAAATATAAAATTAATCTAATTCTTTTCATTTACCAGGGATATGTGTGGTTTTTACCATTATGGTTACAACCAAACTGGTATGATACTGATATTCACAATAAAAATGGTGAAAGTGTTCCCTGTACAACAGCAGATATGATCAAATCGATAAATGGTTATTTTAGTGTGTCTCATGCTTTTTATGCTGATGATAATGAAATAATGCAAGAAGGAATTACAGTACGTCAATGGCGTGATCGATATGAGACATTATGCAAAACAGCCAACCAATCACCATCATTGTATGCTGGATATGTCTACGATGCGATGTGGACATACGCCTATGCTGTTGATCATTTGATCAAAGAGAATCAAAGTTATGTATTTGATTTACATTCAGATCAAACAGTCAATCGATTGACCGATATCATTGCTAATACTGACTTTAAAGGGGTGAGTAATAGAACGTTATCAACAATTTATCATCTTCAAATGATCAATATTGTTTATTTAAAATAGTTAATATATAAAAACTGATGATTGTTTAGGTATCAGGGAATATAAAATTTTATGGAGGCCCATCAAGACTTTCAAAAACTACAATTGTTCAAACAGTTAATAATGAATCGATAATTGTTGGTAATTTTTATCCAAATATTTCGGAGAAAAAAGGTGAAATAATTGGTGGAAAATGGATATTAAATCAGTCTAAAATCATTTGGTTATCGGGAAAAATACCAGATGATGGATCTGAACCTCAAGCAAGATGTATATTAGCTGGATTAGCTGAATCACTTGATGTTAGTTGTGAAGTGGCTATTGTTATTGCTAATATCATTGGACTTGGATTCCTTGGGACATTTCTCATCACTGGACTTGTTATTATTAAGAAAAAGTAAACACTTAATTATGATTACTATTCAATCATTTACATTTTTATTTTTCATATTATAATTTATTATTATTTTATTTGATATTAGGTATGATGCAAAAGTAAGACAGCATGAAAAAATGATTGAATCTTTTGGATTGGATCCACGACATGCTACTTTTGATTTAGATAAGTGGGAAATACCTCGTGATCACGTGGTGATTAATCGTAAATTAGGAGAAGGTGCTTTTGGAATGGTTTATGGTGGTGAAGCATTCTTTCCTGAGAAAGGATGGCTTGCGGTGGCAGTTAAAGCTCTAAAGCTAGGCAGTACTACAGAGCAAAAGCTTGATTTTCTAAGTGAAGTTGAAGTAATGAAGCGTTTTGATCATAAAAATATTATTAAACTTCTTGGTGTTTGTATTAAATGTGCTCCAGTACTTACCGTTATGGAATTTATGTTATATGGAGACTTGAAGACTTATTTATTAGCTCGAAGACATTTAGTAAATGATCAAAGTTATGAAGATTCAGATGAGATATCGAATAAAAAGCTCACCGCTATGGCACTAGATGTTGCTAGAGCATTAAGTTATTTAGCACAAATGAAATATGTTCACAGAGACGTAGCATCTCGTAATTGTTTAGTGAATGCTCAAAGGGTAGTTAAATTAGGTGATTTTGGTATGACTCGTCCAATGTATGAAAATGATTATTATAAATTCAGTCGTAAAGGAATGTTACCAGTAAGATGGATGGCACCAGAGTCTTTAAGTCTAGGAGTATTTACACCAGCATCTGATGTTTGGTCTTATGGAGTTCTTCTCTATGAAATTATTACATTTGGAAGCTTTCCATTTCAAGGGATGTCCAACAATCAGGTTTTAAATCATGTAAAAGAAGGTAATTGTTTGGAAATTCCAAAAGGTCTAGACCCAAAGTTAGAACAATTATTGCGTTCTTGTTGGATTATTGATTATCCAAAACGTCCAACAGCACCAGAGATAGTCGACTTCTTAGCAATGAATCCATGTGCTTTAAGTCCATGTTTAGATGGTCCAAGATCCAGTGTTCAACTGGAAAATGGTCAGGAATTGGATGTAACATTAACTAAACCATCAAAAAAATTTTCTTTATCATTAGGATGGTCATCATCACAACGTCGTTTATCATCATTACCATCAATTACACAACCAACTACTCAATTAGTTGATATCAGTACGGATGAAGAAGTGAACAATTTGGATAGATTACTTGAGATTCCAATGAATAGCAGTGATATTGAAAATTCTTTACCTTTACTTTCAACAAATAGATTATCTAGAGTACTTGAGGATGACACTATAACTAATGGAAAAGACATTCCAAGTTATGTGAATACTCAACCTGGAGAAAATTTAGTTCCATTAGCCAATGGAAATATTTTATTAAAACAAAGAGATGTGACAAATGATGATAATTCAGAAATAAATTCGTTAATTTAATAAATAATTCAATAGCGAATGCAGTTAAATTAAAATGCATTTGCAATGTCTGTGAAAAATTACATGACATTCATCAAATATAATAGATTATCTATTAATTTATTTACTTGCTCATAAAATTTATATGCTCTAGTCAATTTAAATAACTCGAATTTTACATAAATATATACATAAATATGTATATTGATAATAGATAAATTAATATAATTATATTGAATATTAATAATAATTTTAGAAAATTAAAGCTATTTTTTTACCACAATTAATATATTCTATCGCTTATGATTGCTATTTAAAAGTATTGAAAAATTACATTATTTATTATATAAGACGTTAATAATAATAATAATAATAATAATAATAATAAAGAAATCGATTTTTAAGTAATTTTTCAAGAATTGTAAAATATGTATAAAAAAAAAAATTAATAAAATGAAAAATATATTAAATGTTATTGATCATTTGTTTTTATGTTTATTTCCAACAATTGTTTAAAAAGAAATATTTTAATTAACAAATCTATTAATTCATCAATTTAATAGTCAATGAAAATTTAATTATGTTTAAGAGTGCGACTGTTAATGATAATTTCGAAAAAATTCATAATTATTAAAAGATTACTAATAAATTATCTTTGATTTTTGATTGTGAATAAAATATATATAGACAAAAAAAAAAAAATTGATCAATTTGTAATAACTACAAAAGTATGCTTGATTAATATTAAATATAATAAAAATTATATTTAAAATGCAATTAAATCAATAATTAAATATTGAGATGTTTTTTTGTTTTTATAAATTATTCATATTAACTATAGTAAATCAATGAATTAAATAATTATGTGAAAAAGGCAAAGTCACACTCTTTTACAAATAATTATTTGAAAAAAAAAAAAATTTTGCTTACATACATCAACCGTTTATTAACAATAGTCAAATTCACATCAATAATAGAAAATGCTATTATAACGAGTCATTAGCGTGATTTCTGCTGAGAACCAAAGAAAATGTGAATGAATTTATATTAATCTTAATTATTTTGCCCACATCATTTATTTTTTTTATCATTAGCTTTCTTTTATTTACTGTAATATTGGCGGTTAGCTCATTGAAACTTGACCATCAGCAAGTAATCTTTCGACTGCAGCATTAATATCTCCATAGGTAGCAATAAGAGCACGAAGATTAGCATCTCTATTAACAAAACCCATAGCTGTGAGTTGTTCTAATTGTGTTCGGTAACGTTCTTCTGGTGGTTGGACAGCTTGACCATCAACACCCTCAACTCCACCTTGATGTAAAGCCATTTCAGATACCATTCGTGCCATCAATTGTGTAAAAGCATCTTGTGTAGTTGCATCTGTAGTTGATGTTGTATTAGTATTAGTTGTTGGAGCTCCACCACCAGTTGTTGTTGTTGTAGTCGTTGTTGTAGTTGATCCAGTTGTTGGTGGAGGTGTTTGACCTAGACCTCCTAAATTACCACCAGTAGCAGTTCTCAACTGTTCTATTCCCTGTTGAATTTGAATAATAGCTGCTAGAGCATCAGGATTTGTAACAATATTTTGCATTTGAGGATTCTGTAATTGTTGCACAAATGCTGGTAACATTACCCTCATTTGTTCTTGAAGTTGAGGATTCGATCTGAAAAATGGATTAACTGTCAATAATGATTCAGCAATTGCTGGATCATCAGCCATTGCTTCAAGTATTGATCTAGTGTATGGTGCAATTAACATGTTTCTCATTAATTGAGGATTTTCCATCATTTGTCTCATTAGGCTTTGCATTCCTGGCGATTCTAAGAGTCCTCTCATGCTAGAATTACTGCCACCACCGCCACCACCACCACTAACTGGAGTACTACCAGACTCTGGACGATCAGAGCCCCAAGGATTCGGTAATGGGTCTCGATTTTCTTGACCTTGTTGTGGATTTGTCACTGAGGCATCCGAATTATTACTGTTTTCTACCAATGCTGCAAATGGATTTCTCTCATTTGCTTGAAGCATTGGCTCTTGTATATCACGATACATACGACGAAGGGCACTATGTCCACCTGGAATGCTTTCGAGATTAGATAAAGCTCGATCATGTGTACGCATTAATTCTTGAAGCATTGATGGATTACGAGCTAATTCCATTGTTTGTCTATAGATTAAAAAAAAAAGTATAATTAGTAAAAATAAATTATTTAAATCAGTAAAAAGTATTCAAAATAGTTGAATATTTACCTCAGTAATTCTGGATTATTCAACATATGACTAATTTCCGGATTACGTTGCATCAACTCTTGCATTTGAGGGTTAGCAGATACAAGTAGACGAACATTTTCTGGATTATCCATTAAACTTTGCACTAAAGGATTATCCATGACTTGATGCATTACTTCAGGATTGGATAATAATTCTCTTTCCATACGTTGTTGCATATCAATAAAATTAGCAGAACCTATACCCAAATTTTCTAAACCTGCAAAACCTCCCAAACTTCCAAGGCCAAAAGGATTTGTGTTTGCATCAGCTAAAAGATAATTAATTAATTATATTGATTTATTTCATGAAAGAAAACATGTTTTAGAGTAAAATTTTGATGACATTCACCTCCTATTCCTCCTATTCCCGACACTGGTGTTGGTTCTGGTGCTGGAGGTTGAGCTGGTTTTGGCGTTTTTATGACTAAATGAACCGTCAAACCATCTTTAATATTATGTGTCTCAAGTGTCTCAGTATCTTTCATGATTTTTCCAGCAAAAATGAGGCACAATTGTTCTATTTGAGCGTTAAATTTTTCTGCTACAACTTTCTTAAACTGAAATGAATAAAAAAAAACAACTTAATTAATATAAAAAAAAAATTATAAATAATTACTTATGAATACAATAATATTAGATAGGAATAAATTAAATACCACAATACGTGAAGAGTAATGACGTGTATATCAAAATAATTAGAGTACGATATAATGACTATAAAATATTTTAATAACATTTTACTTACATCTTTAATCGCTGCATTAGGTTCGATTTCAAAAGATTGCTTTTCTTTCGGTGTTTTAACGAAAATTGTAATTTTCTTTGGAGTTTCTTGGCCTTCTGCCATCTTGGACTGTAGTGATGACTCGTCTACTTTTAACTCTTAACACAATGTTAAAGTTGTTATATTTATGGAGTAATTGGAATTTTAATAATGATATCTTTAGTTGAACCGAGGCGTTAAAACGCTCTCACAAAATTTAATCTTAATCTATAACACTAATTATTTTTTGACTTATTTTTTTCCAAAAATTTTGTTTTCCGGCCTTACAATCTACGTTGTATCACGCTGTATTTTGCATCTGAGTTCCCGTGGTTCCCGTCGTACTCAGCTATCAACCTGAAAACAACAATATCAATGAGAACTGATAACTAACCTCCATTTTTTATTTTCATACTTTTTATTTTTTATCGACAGAGTGCGCGAGTGTATATTTTTTAGTATAGTATTGGAAAAAAAGGAAGAGATACAAAGGTAGGGGCAATCACGAGTCCAAGCTCAGCCCAGATAACCAACCATGTTACAAAGAATACTTACATCCTAAAAACAGACTATTGCTACTTAGAACTATACAGTGTATGGTCTATACTAAATTTCCTGGCGCGATTTACAAAGCTTTGTACTTATTTTAAAATAACCATTTTATCACAGTACAGCAATATCCTTAACTGGTCTTAACATTAAGTTTTAGCTTTAATTAGATTTAATTTTTCTTTAACACCTTCTATAACAATTTTTTGTCCAATATTATATACATTTTTTATGATATGATTGAACCAGAAACAAAACAAAAAACTGAAAATAAAAATAAACGACAAACAAATATACATTTTTCTTTTTTTCCTTTTTAACTTATTCAATGTAACACCTATAACTGTATAGACACTTTTACTTCCTGTTTCTACAGATTACCTTAAAAAATAGACCTCTTTATCTTTAAATACTTAACTCAATACTGTCAGAAAACCTGGCCACCGCAAAGATGACTCTCGGTCCATACTATGTAACATAGATTCAATGCAGTACGGAGGAAAGGATTTTTGTTTCCTAAATCTTTGCCAAACAATGTTCGTATATCCTCGTACTTACTACACTGAAAGAAAACATGGTTTGCTGTTTCCTCGGCTTCGCCACATTCACAAATAGCAGATCGAATGATATTAATCTAGCAAGACTTTCTTTAAGACTAGAGTGATTGCATCTAAGTCTATTAATGGAGACCAGAGGTTTCCTAGCTAAATTGAACTTACCGAACCATGGGAGTGCGCTCTCTGAATAGTAATTCTCGTGTGTAGAATCTTCCTTTATTTAACCCTTCACATTTAACAACACCAGTTAACAAAGTCATTATGCATTTTTCCCTTCCAAAAGGCTTTGAAGTCGGAGCTTGGGAGCAGAATCTGGGAGTCGCGACCCTTCATAACGCTATCGTTCGCAGCTGAGTCCACTTTTTCATTATAAGAAATCCCTACATGTGCAGGAATCCAGAAAAACTTTACTACCCTACCAGTTACCTGTAGACTGTACACTAAATGTTTAATTTCATCACCGATCAGCACGTTCAATTTACCCGCGGAATCTAATGGAGGCCAACGCCTTCAGGACACTTAAAGAATCCGAAAATATAACCAGTTTATTTAAATCCGTGTTAGCAAATTTTTCAAGGCTGCAATATCGCCATGGCCTCAGCAGAGAAAATGAAGCGTAACTTAACCGTCTGTTCAGGCTCACACTGCTTGTGGCGACTTCTAAGTAGGCGAACCCTACAAATTCTTTACCTATCGTCTTTGAACCATCTGTAAAAATTACTTACGGCATCACGAAACTCTTCACGGAATAAATTCCAAAAAGATCTTTCAAACACTTAGAGGCTTGGACTTATGAATTTCCTGAATTTCTTTTCCTTCTTCCCAATGTACCTTGGCTGGAACGAACATCGATTGAAATGGAAACTTAAAGCAGTTAGGGCGTGAATCACTAGAGATCAGATGACTTATTGGTTCTATTTCCTGAAAACAACGTACTAACCCTGGAGTTTCAGTACTAAAGACCATGGTAGGACACTCTCTGAGTTCGGATATTTCACTGAGGATAGCAAGAACTTTATGGTTTGAGTTTGAGAAACAACGAGTTAGAAAATTATGAGTCATATACCTAAATCTAAACTCCAAGGTGGTTCTTTAGACTCAGCAGCTATCACATTCAGCGGAGTTGAGTTTCTATACCCCATTGCTAACCTCAAACGCTTTGTTTTGGATTCTATCTAATACTTTCAGAAGGGATTTCTTGAGCGACACAAACAGAAATGCACCATATCAATTCTGGACCTAACTAGGCTTTTATACACCTTAATCAACGTTGGAGGATCAGCCCCAGTCCATGTCAACCTTAAATAGTTTATAATTGCCATAGGATTAATGCACTTTGACCTAATAGCTTGGACTTGGTGATCCCATTTTAGCGAGCTGTGAAACAGAATGCCAGAAATTTAATTACTTGCTGAGACCAAATTCTTCTCTATTTATTTTTATACACCAAGACTTAGTCGCGATTTAGGATCGGAGCTAAAAACAATCAACTGGCACTTTTCTGGAGCAAACGCAAGTCCACTGTCCATTTAAAAAGGAATAATCTTATGTACCGACTCCGATACAGCTTTTAACACACTTTTTTGGATCTTTATCAACTGCATAAATACATACATCATCTGCAAATTGAAGAATTTTGCAATCCTCCACAATCCAAGACTCTAAAGACATCATGTAAACTGAGTACAAAACTGGGCTCAGTACGCTACCCTGAGGTAACCCTCTGAAGACTTTTCTATGACAGTCTATTGTGTCGTATTTGACTGATATTACCCTCTCCGACACTAAGTTATGCACAAATTTCAAAATTAATTTAGGCCATCCTACACTAATTAGTCTACTAAGTAACACATCTCCGAGCACATTATCATATGCGCTTCGAATGTCCAAAAAAAGAGCACCAACACACTGCTTCTTGTCAAAAGCTCTCAAAATCTCCCGCGTTTCAGAGTATAGCTAAATTAATCCAAACATGATTTACTTCTTCGAAATCCAAACTGCGTTTCAGGGAACTTATTAGGAAATTCCAACACACCATGATATTCTAAGATTCAGAATTTTTTCCAAGATTTTTAACAAGCAAGGTGCCAACGATATTGGCCGAACAGCGTTCCCTTGACTCTTAGGAATGAAGAAAATTGAATACTGGCGCCATTCGTTTGGGAAGATTCCCGAAGCAAAAATTGAGTTGTATAACTCCAAGAGGGCCCCTCTGACTTCTTTAGGAAACGATTGAATCAACAAATAATCGATCCGTCCACCCCCGGGCTAGATTTAGTCCTCGAATTCTCAATTGCGACCTCTAATTCTTCCACCGTGATAGGCAAATCCAGAATACATCCCCTTCCACATTTTCTAACATCGGATCCCCTCTTGCTACCAGGATGGCATAGAGAGTCTATCCCAACCTTCCACCCTCTCCACTACCTCTTCATAAACTCGTTCGAGCATGCGACGAAATTCCAACCTTTTTTCAAAGCTTTCAGCTTCTTCCATATGTACGACGGACTTGTAAACTATTGATACTATTTAAGAAGACCGGAAGTAGTCCTTTTTTATCTTTCTGATCCCCGACTTAGCCCTAGCCTCTGCCTGTTTATATTTTGTAAGAAATGTTCCTCCGAAGGATATTCTTTTTAAACGAAGAAAGGCAGCAACTCGTAATCTTACCAACTTATCACATCGCTATTCCAGAAAGTGCAGCTTTTCTACGCTCTTTCTCCTTATGAACTCTGCTCCCTGTATTTAGATTCCTACTACACACCGCCCCTTCCGGTGTAGCCACATTCACACAGTCCTCTATAATTGCTGTAAACGTCGTATATTTGACCTGAATCTCGAGATCCTCGTTTTGGACAACTGACCTAATTTCATTACTGCCGAAATTCGAGTTCCCTGACCAACCGCCCCCAATCAGTTTTACTATTGTAAAGCCTTTTTGGAGCATGATTGCTTCCTTTTTTCTCAACTACCTTGTCAAGTCAATAAATATTGGGAAGTGGTCCTGCCCCACGTATCCCTACTAACCTCCACTCAAACAGCGACAAACACCACAACTTGCGAACGATAGATCTAGAGCGGATTCTGTTCGATATTGACGCGAATAAAAGGTCTTGACTGCCCCATTCAGCAACCCAACCTCCGACTCCTCGATAGCTTCAAATAATTTGTGTACCTTCTATAGAGTTCGCATCACTTCCCCATACCTGGTGATGAGCATTGAAGCCCCTGTGGACCAGGAAGTTTCCACTGAATTGGTTTCAAAAAGCGCACCCACTGGTCCTTCGTCATATTTCGATCCGGAGGCCTGTAACATGAGACTACTAGAAAAGGCCCTTCACACGTAATAATTCTATAGCACACAGCTCAATGTATTGTTACAATTATACAAACCATGTTTTCTCTTATATTTAATATTACTTCTCACCAGAATAGCAAACTCCACCCCCAGGGCGCCCTACCCTGTCTCTACGCACCACATCAAATCCCTTGACCGAGATTGAGTCATCATCCGTTAACCAGGTCTCCGAGAGTAACATCACATCAAAATTGGAAGCTCTATATTGTAATTCAGGTACTTTCTCTTAATGCTGCAGCAATTCCAGTGACAAAATCTGAAAGTATTCGCTTTATTCGCCATTGTTTGATAAAAATGCAACTCAATTGTTCTCATCACTCTAGAGATCAACCTGTCCACGTCTGGGATCTTGATACTAACTCCTTAAGTCGCCCTGAACAACCTGTCACTACAGTCTCCATCTCTTTTTTCTTAAGTTCGTGTAAAAAACTGCAATCTCGCTGTTCAGCTCTGTTGGAATTCCGTCACCTTGGAGATTACTTTGTCTTGAGTCTTGTTTTACCATCAGCCTTTGGTCTTTCAATATTACCACTAACCGCCTGTCGATACGATCCATCTCTTCTAGTGTTATGCACCAGGAACCTATTCGCATTTCCCAGGACTGGAAAGTTCAAAGAGTCCAACCGAAGGCCTCAGGTTTTCTTGAGCATTAAATGTCTGTTGAAATACAATCCCTTGCGGTTGGGAATGACACATTCTTTTCTGCAATGATGCGACTGATCTCATAAAGTTCCCGAAGTTTCGGGCACTTACTGTCCAAGGAAAATGTGAACCTTTACAGTTGATGCATTTAAGCATGCAGCCATTTTCTTCATCATGCTTGTTATTAACCGCACCTGAGACACTTCTCCTCCTCCTGGCAAAACTTATTGAGTGACCAACCTTGCCACACACTGT